AGGGCAGATGACAAAGCCCAGGCATGCTTAGGGTTGGTTGGTGGCTTAGATGGCAAAGTACAAGGATCTGGAACGCCTAATGACAAGGCACTTAGGAACATTCTTACTGACACCTTCCTCCTAATTCCTTTCTTTTCAGGAGAGAACCTCTAGTCCCTGGACCAGCCAGAGGATTGGTGGGGAGGGCAGCCTGAGGCAGCTGCCTTCCACTAGGCCAGCCAGATGCAGACAAATACTACAATAACAAACAGAGCTGACGTTCCTTTAGGATGGTTGGGCTCATGAAGCATCTTACACATTGACGTTATTCCAGGCAACCCCTACCACATTCTGCAAGGTGGACAATGTAAGTTCTCATTTTATAGCTGAAATCCGAGGCCCAGGGAAGTCAGGGGGCTTGCCCAAAGTCACATCCCTAGGAAGTGTCCAAGTCTGGACCGAGAACCCAGTTTTCCTCGATCCTAGATCTTTGCCTTTGGGTCCTCTCTGCTCCCCTCCCCCCCCCAGGCCTGAATGAGGCAGGCCCTCAGGAAGTATTTGTGAACGACTGAATGAGTGAATGAATGACTCCAGCGCTGAATGCACAAGATGGTCTATGGGCTTCCTTCTCACCCACCTGTATCAGCATCCCTCAGTTGCCATGGCAACAGAATAACAAACCACGGGCTGCCAGAGAATCAGGCTCCAGGGACCTTGACTGGGAAGACTGATGGAAGGCCTCCCCCATGCAGGCTTCCAGCAGAGGATGAGAACAGAGCCATGCTTCTCTGCATGGCTCACCGGCTTGGTGCCGGGGGCTCTATGGGGACCAAGGGGCTTAGCAGAGGCTCCATCCACACCAGCCAGCCAAGGTTCCCCAGAGCCTCCCATTGCAATCGAAAACAACCTTGTTTGTGAGGGAGACAGTGAGTCATGAACACCTCCCAGCACCCAGGCAGTGTAAACAATGAGTGAAAGAGGACATGGGGGCGGTCAGCTAGAGCTGGAAGGACCGAAATATCAAGAGCTGGGAGAACAAGTACCACCCCCTACCCCACCCCCACGTCCCTGGGCTGGGCTGCCATCTTGGCCTAGGTCTAGAATGATGCCACGGGGGTAGAGAGGGCACTTTGTAGATTGTCGAGGCAACACCACAGGGAGGGGTGAGGGGCAGGAATGCTTAGCCCCCCACTTTACTGATGAGGAAACTGAGGCTCAGAACCTCAGAGCATAGGGAAAGCTATTAAGTGCAAGAGAATCATCCAGTGCCAGAGCTGGGAGTTCAGAACAGGGAATATCTGAGCTGGGAGGGCCCTGAGAACAGGGAATGTCAGAGATCTAGGAAGGAGCTTAGAGGATGAAATGTCAGAGCTGGGAGGGAACTTAGAACCTGGAACGTTGGAATAGAGGATGTTAGAGCTGGAAGGCCACTTTGAGATGGATAAATCTCCTAAGTAGGGCATTCCATATTCCCTAGAGACTTCCTCAATTTCAGGATGATCAGATAAATGAAATCATCAGAATAATACTATTAACAACTACCCCAAGAACAGCTGATGAGAGGTGGTTCTCCTGTCTTCTTCCTTGCGTCAGGGTTCATCTGGCTAGAGACCAGGATGGGGCAGCGACCAGAGAACACACCCTTGGGGGATCAGCTGAAGGAAATGGGGAGGACTTCAGGGAGAGAGGATTCATTTGGTGGGGCCCGGTGGTGGATAGAGCAGTGGGTTCCCAAGTCGCAATATTGGCTGGTTCTGGAGACAGCTTCCTGGCCAGCAAGGCCTGAGGACATGTTGTGGGGCTCAAATTGAGGTAAGAGAAGTCATTATTCTGAACCCTGAGATATATTAGAAAGTGACAAAGGCTGCTGGGAAGGGTGGGCAGCCTGTCAGGAGAGGCCTTTTTGGAGAGCCCCACTGTCTACTTTCCAGGTGACCTAGGAGGTTCCTTCAGGTACTGGGATGCACCAGCTGCCTCCTTCTAGTTTCTTAGATTTGATGACATTTGTGAAACATTTTACTATTTCCAAAAAAGCAGCTGATTTTCTAGTGAAAAGAACTTGGAGCCAGGAAGACCTGGGTTCATATCTCAAATCCTAACACTTACTATCTCTATGACAATGGGCAAATTCCTTCACCTCTCTGAGCCTCATTTTCTTCATCTGTAAATTGGGCACAACGGTGTTTGTGCCTCAAATGGTTGTTGTGGGACTCCAGAGAATGTTTGCCAAGTGCTCTACAAACTTTAAGGGTCAGAATTCTGTTTTCTTTTTGATCTGGACCTTTTATTTCATCTGGATGTGGGAACTCCCAGGTGCAGAAACTCTCTCCACTGATGTAAGGTTAACAACTTGGTAAGCCCCCTAGTTAGCAATTAGATAGCCCTCTGATCCCTAAAGCTATTAAAGTGGTGAATAGAGCTCTGAACCCAAGTTTGAATTTTACCTCAAATACTTATTAGCTGTGTGATCCTGGGCAAGTCACTTTTGTTTGCCTCACTTTCCTCAACTGTAAAATGGGAATAATAATAGCTCCTATGTCCTAGGGTGGTTGTAAGGATCAAATGAGGTAAATATATAGAAAGTGCTTTGAAAACCTTAAAGGAATGCACGCTGGTATCATTCTTTTCTATTTTTGTGTTTATGCTGCACATAAAGCTGCATGTATTTTCCCCTCCGATAGAATGCAAAGTCTCTGAGAGGAGAGGGTGTCTCATTCTTGATCTTTGCCTAGCACAGTACCTGGCACCAAGGAGTCACATTTGTTGATTCTCTATAATTTTTTTTCAGTATGTCACCTAACCTCTCAGTCTGGGTCTCCTCATCTGTAAAATGGACAGTAGCAGCACCTCCCTCCCAGGGTTGCTGTGGGGATGAAGTAAGATTCCATTTGTAATATACTTTGCAAACCTTTAAGTACCAAATAAATGCAGTTGCTGTCTTTGTATTCATAGTGAGTCGCATACAGCTGGGGCTTAATAAATGCTGGTTGATTGATTGTATAGTCTTGAGAGTTAGCTAGAGCATTAAGAGGTCAGGTGACTTTCACAGCTGGAAAATGAAAGGAGTTTCCTTCCCCTGGAGGGTTTTTTTTTTTTAGCAGGGTCCACAGCCCGGGGAAGAGATGCCAACCACACCTGGGGGCCAAACTGCCTCAGTTTCCTGCCCGGGATTTCCACCACCCTCCTGCCATATTCCAGATTTCTTCTGGTGGGTCTCTTGTTGCCCCACAAACCAGCAGCCATGGGTGAAAGTTGAGTGCGGGGACCCTGCCCCAAATCACTCTTTGGCTCGTCTGCCACTCGCCTCCACCTCCAAGGACTCCACCACCTGCTGGTAGTGAGCAAAGCAAGCCGTGGAAGAGCCGGTGAATGCCACCTTCTTTCCGAAGATCCAAACTGACGCTTCACCTTGTGGGACAAAGACTCAGCGTCCACCCGGAAGGAAAAGGAATCCCCGTGAATGGGATTTCTTCAGCCTGCCGGCCCTACTCTGCGGGAGCTTAGACTCTGACCAGGGCCACACACTTGTGGTTGCTTGACAGGTACCCCTCCCCCCAACAGACCTGCACCGTAGCTCTTGGAGGTGACAGAGGACAAAGTTCAGGTCTCCTCTCCCCCAAACACGGCACCGTGGATCAGAGTCCCTGGCTGTTCTCCAGCTGTGGGGACCACACGTGCGCTCATCTCTCTCTAGGAGGCTGGCTCGGCCCAGGACCTCCACCTCTCTCTCAAATTGACGTAAAGGCAGCTGCAGCCCAACTCTCTCTGCAAGCCTGGATTGTACCATCTTGAGCCCTAGAAACCCCAGGACTGGAAGCTCAGGCACTAACCCCATGAGGACCACACGTCCTGCGCTCCCATGTATTAATCACCACCTGCATGCTGACCATTCTCACACCCTGACGCTGCCTCAAACTCTCTGCCAACCTCCAATCTCACATCTCCAGCTGCCCGTCCCACGTCCCCTCTACCCTCCTCCCCTCTGCTCTCTGGGTAGCTGGGTGGTGCAGTGGATAGCGTAGGGCCTGGAGTCAGGAATCTGGCCTCAGACACTTACTAGCCGTGTGATTCTGGGCAAGTCACTCACTTAACTGTTTGCCCCAGTTTCCTCATCTGTAAGACAAGCCGGAGAAGGAAATGGCAAACGATTCCAGGATCTCTGCCAAGAAAACCCCCAATGGGGTCATGAAGAGTCAGACACGAGTGAAGTGGCTCAACGAGGAGGGAGGGAACCCCACCCTAGGACCCTAATCTGCTCCTTCTCTGTGGTTCTAGGCTGAGCTCCCAAATGGGAGAAAGGCCCAAAAGGCAGAGTCTGCAGTGGATTCTCTTTGAAACTGCAAGTTGCAGCAGCCAACTCAGACCACTGAGACTCCCGGGATGTTGGAGCAAGAGTCAACAAGACGTGCAAACGTTCAGATACGGGGGAAGGGGACAGAGAACGAGGAGTCGCAGGCTCCCCCCCAGACTCAAACCTGGGTGGCTATAACAACAGCGACTGTGGTCTGGAGAGAAACAAGAAGTGAGCGAGAGGAGAATGAGCTGGGCTTTGGACAGGCCTAGAGACGTGGCTGTGGACACGTCCAGGAGAGCGAGATGGGAGCGTCAGCTGTCCAGACATGCTAGAAGAATTCATGGGAGCTTCTGGAATCACCAAGAGACAACGTAAAGAGAGGGGAAGACTCAGGATAATGGAGGCCGGGAGGCTGCTGGGTGACAGGGGCCTGCTCTGGATGAGGAAGCTGCCAAGCCAACAGGAGGACTGATCGGGCAGGGAGCAAAAGCAACCCCAACGAGCCTCTCTGCTGCCAAGAAAAGCGAGGAAGGAGCGAGCCGGTCCCCCAGGGCAGTCCGGCAAGGCCACTTGGCCTCTGGGGAGCCGCGCTCAAGCTGGGCACAGACCAGCCCCACGTCCTTCGTGCTCTTTTCAAAGGCTTTAATTCGGAACCACGGTTTTCAAATCTGGGAAGAGAAGAGCCTTGTCGTAGTCGCTCTAGTTACACACGCGAGAGACCGGCAGCTCCTTGGATCCAACAAGGCTTTATTTCACACAGAATACAATATGGCGGCATTAAGACCAAACTCAAAAGACGCTGCACACAAGACCGAAGACTGGCTTTAGCTCATGTATAATTAGGCAACAGGACAGCAAGTCATCAAGTAGCGAACAAGTGATAATCTTGAGGAAGAAGGTGCTTTTTCTAATGCCCATACCTGAAAAATAACAGAAAGGTCATTATCTCCTTCTGAACACAACAGCAGGAACACCTCCAGGCTAAATCTGGTGGGAGCCATTCGCACACATGGACCATGCGTGGGGCAAGCCTCTGGCCTGTGGCCAGCCCCTTCCTGGCCCTTCTCCTCCCCACCCAAGCACCCGTCAGAGGCCGGTCATTTCTACAGGGGACACAAGGGAGATTCCCGGATCTGAGGAAGGACTGGCTTTTCCAGATCTGCCTCCGCTTTGCTCTCAGGCTTCCCCCCTTCAGAAGCAGCCTCCCTTGCCCCAACAGAGGTCATTCAATTCAATTAAACAATCATTTCTTAAGCACCCACACATACATCCCATGCACGTGTTGAGCCTTAAGGACACTAACACAAAAAAAACCAAACTGCCTTCAAAACACTTAAATTCTATTGCCGAGAAACAACACCGATCAAGTCAATACAGAAGATACAGGAAGCACTGGGGGATGGGGGTGGGGGGCCTTCGGTTCCAACCTGAGGCAAGGAGGGCATGGGGACAGGGGAAATGTTGTGTCTGGAATCAGCAGGGCCACTTTGGCTAGAAGGTAGAACAGTGTGTGAAAAGAGTCCTACGAGATACAGGAAGAGACTGGTTGGCTTAAACGCACAAGAGAAAAATGTGTATGCTGTCATAGAGCCACGGCAGGGGCCTGGCTCCAACCTGCTTCAGGAATATCAATCAGGCAGCGAGTGGACAATGGACAGAGAGGGAAGATTACTTAAGGAGCAGTTGGGCGGTAGTCCAAAGGACAGGGCCTGCTCTGGGGCAGCTGCCACGGGAGTGAAGGATGTGAGAGATGGCATGGAGGGAAGAGCAGCGAGTCTGGGTGACTGATTACTGCAGGGGATGAGGGACAGGGAAGAGCCGGGGGGGGGGGGGCCCGCTGGGAGGCTTCAAAAAACCTGCCTGACTGGACAGACGGACCCAAGCGGAGTGTGGGATGCCCACGAGTGCCCCCCAGGCAGCTGGTGAGGACAGAAAGCCCGGAGCTCAGGAGAGGGCTGGGGTTACAGAGCTGGGGAGTTGTCTGCAAGGGTCTCTAAAGAACATCTACTTCAATGCCCTCCTTTTACAGACTGGACCGTGAATCTCCTTGGGACTCAGGTCACAAAGTAAGTGGTGGAAGGGCTGCGACCAGAACCCTAGTCTCCATACTCCTAATTCTGTAGCTGGCCTTATTTTTTCTTGGGGAAATTTGGGAGAAAGGCTGATACTAGGAAGTGTAGGACAAGCCCATTTTCTGTCTTCCATTCTCTAAACCTACCCCAGAGCCTCCCTAAACCACAGGTGAAGCACCAGGTTTCGGCTGGCCCCACTCACAGGACTGTGGTGAGACCCTGCACACGCTCCTCTTGGCCTGGGGCTTCCTCAAGCCCATGCTGCGTGGCCAAGCAGGGCCTGTGCCAACCCAAGCCCTTGTCTCTCTGGCATCCTCATCTTCAGTCCTGGCCCCAGCCCTCCTTTATCAGTTATGTTCCAATAATGGAGCCGGTCTGTACACAAAAACCTAAGGATTAACAGGCAGTATCTTAGTAAAATCAGCCTTTGGGGTTCATGCTCCAGGAGGATGTTATAAACCAGGTCCTTCTGGTACTCACTGGATCTCGGACAGGCGCCAAAACAAGGTCCACGGGACACTCAATTCCATGTTATGGAAGGTTCTGGTATGTTTTTAGTAAGAATACCAAAAACTGTCCAATCAACAATCAGACAGATAACACAGCACTCAAATATTAAGAAGAATGCTTCCAATCTGGTTTTGATAAATGTGCTTAGAGGGCTAGAATCCCAAGTATCGGAGGAGAAATGGACCTTTGAGAGCATCTACTTTAACTGAAACCAGAGGAGGTTAAGTGGTTTGTCTAAGCCCACAAAGGTGTGAAATAGCAGGGCCAGAATTTGAACCCAGGTCCTCTGGCTCCAAAGCTAAAAAACCCTACAACGCTGTCTTTCACTTTGCAAGGCCTAGAGCCCCTTTGGCCTGGCCAGTGCGATCAATGCTAGACACTAACAGTGGCCTCTGCCCCTTAACCTCTGGGATCCAGGCCTAAGGGTGGGGATCGCCCAGCTCACGCTCACTGAAAGGCAGCCTACATGGCCACGGGCCTCTGGAGGGGTCTACCTGAGCCCTGCTCTCCCTCACAGAAACTGGGAGGGGTTTGGACCCAGGGGCATCTTCTCATGGGCACTGCAAGGTTCCTCTATGGCTGCATTTCAGGGCAGGAATTTGTCTTATGGTTCTTTCACATCTGTCCTCTAGGCACACAGAAGGTAGTCTAAAGATTTACTGAACTGACTTAAGTGATGTGCCTCAGCCGTCTGGTGAGAAAGGGCTTCAGCGATGGTAACTGCGACGGTTTCCAAAGCTCCTTCTTCATAGTTCTGGGAGCCTGGGAGTGCAGGTGTCTTTGGGCTTATTTTCAGATGGGATGAGATGAGACGTCAGCAGCCCAAGTCACACAGTTCGTAAGGGTCTGCAGCGCAGGGACTGGAACCCAGGGCTCCTGCCTCTAGGTACACCACAGGGGCCAATCCTCTTTACACTCTTATTAAATGAACTGGACCAGCGGCTGGCCCAGGGCAGAGCCTCTCCCCGGGCACCTCGTGTAGGCACCTGAACAACTGTTACTCACTTCACCAAAGTCTAAATTTAGAAGACCCCACGAGCACAATCAGTCCCTCCCCTCGCCCCCACCCCAGTCGTCGGCCATCCCACATCACACCCCAAACCGCCCAGAGCACCTACTTCTGAAACTCCCACTCTCTGTTGTCCAGCGGGCACACCTGCCTGGTTTTGAGCCAGCGAGAGATGCAGTGGAAGTGGAAGGCGTGCTGAAAAAGAAGGCAGAGCGCATTGAGGAGAATCCCACCCGTTGTCCCCGCGTCCAGCTCACGAGCAGAGCAGGGCAGAGGGCTGGGGAAAGACGAGAGAAGGCGAGAGGGATCCGACACGAGAGGAATCTCTCTCCTCCATGCACGGAGAGATTCATTCTCAGAAACTTCATTACAAGAAACAGAGAAAACACAGGACACACGTGGGAGACGCTTTAGAATGGGGGCTCCCATCATGCCCTGCCCTGCCCTGCCCATCTAGCAGAGGCGTCGAGAACGAGGCTCCCCCTGCTCTGCTGCCACAGCTGAGCCTCTGCTCTTCTCACACAGCTAGGCCCTGAGCCCTCCCCTCACCTGGGCCTCACCACGAGGTCCAGGGCTAAAGAGACCAGAACTCCCCCCCACCCCAACAATGGCAAAGGATGGCTTCTGTCAGCACGGACATTTAGTGGAGGCCAAGGTTCATTTTAAACACACTGAGAGGAAGCAGTGTGAAGGGCAGACTACAGTCAGGACAGTCAAGCGTCCTCTTCCTTCGTGACACAGACATGGAATTGGGGTGAAGGGACTGAGAGAAGTCGGGAGGTAAAGGGAAGGAGCAGAGAGTAGCCTGGAGAGAGCAAGCAAACGATCGGGATCCCCACTGCAGGTCAGTGACCTTGGGGGCTCCCATCCTCACAAAACTGATTATGGAGAATGACCTGCAAGGAGCATCTTGGGAAGAAGCAGCTGGGGGCGGGGCAGGGGGGCTGCCTCATTCTGGGGGGAGGAAGAATGAACTTTGTTAACTATCACAGCCAAATTCAGGCATAGTAAACAAATAGAACCACTGCACCGTGGGCATGTAGGAGGAGGAGTATTATACCACACAGACAGCCTGGCAGATGCGGGGCCTGGGAACAGTCACAAGAGCTCACTGGGAGAAAGCGACAGAGATGCCAGGCCCTATTCTCCACCGGTAAGTGCCAGCCATGGGCTTTTATAAGGGCAAGTTAAGCCAACCTCCTTGACCTTTAGCCCCTGTGCATGGGTCTGTGACCCCGTGGAGTTGCCCTGGTGCATACCAGCGCCTCCTCCACCCTGCCCCAGCTGGGCATGGCAAAGGCTGGCTGGCACAGACCTGGAAGCAGGATAACTTAGCTCTTCCTGACCTCCACCTTCATCCTACCAGAGTAGCTAAATACTCTAGGGGCGAGACAGCCACCACACTGAGCTGCTTCTCTGTTACCCTGGTCTGAGAAGAGACTCCAGGGGAGCAGGGGCCCAAAGTACCGTGTCCTTCTGTATCCTACGCAGAGAGCAGAGCGAGGGTCCTCAGCTGGATCCTAACTGGCTGAAGGTAGCTGGGCAATGGATTGGGAAGAACGCTCAAAGGCATGAGGAGAGGAGTCAGAGCTGAAAGGAAGCCTGGGTCCAGAGAAGCTGTGACTTATCCAAGGTGCCACAAGTACCAAATGGGGGTGGATCATAGGAGACTTCCCCAACCTAAAGGGGAGCTTCTGGCCATCTCCAGGAAGCTCGGGCCTCTCTGAGAGCCTCCTGGGCTCTGGCCACATAGTGGGGAATGTGGGGAGCATGAGGGAGGCCACTGGTCCTCGCACATCTAGATGACCTGACATCATGATCGTGACCATGAAGCCCTGTCTAAAGACTAAAATTTATTAGCCCCAGGGAGCGGCATGCACACAGGGCAACATGGCCTCAGACACCTCCCTGGGAACAGCCTCCAGAGTCGGTCAAGTGGTGTTAACGAAAGAGCAAAGCCGACTGGGCACCAGAGTCTGTCGGACCAATGCTGATCCAGCTCCCGAATTTATCCACCAGACTTAGCTCCAAATGGCTCTGCAAAGATGTATCTGGCACCATCAAGGCTAGCAAAGTCCTCCCGACAGAAAGGTGATAGCCAAAATATGCCCAATGAGACATATGTTTTTGGATGGGGCCAACAGGGGAATTTTGTTTGGCGTGACTATGTACATTTGTTACAAGAGTTTTCTTTATCTTTCCTTTTTCCCAGTAGGGAAGGGACAAGTGGGAGGGAGAGAAAAAAATAAATGCTTGTTAACTGAAAAGACTGAAAAAAAAAAAAAAAACAACAACCCAACCCAGAAGACCAGTGAAGCAAATGTTCCAGAGGCTTGAAGGCCATTTCCAGGGAAGAGTTCCTTAAGCATTCTAAATGTATTGGAAAAAATAAGTGGCCCACTGAAAGCACTCTCTAAAGCATGTTTGTTAAAAAGTCAGCCTTGTGCCCAGGGTCAGGGCCGCCCTATTTGCAATGTGTTGGCCTTGACATTCCTTTCACTGTCCACTGTGATCGACACAAATGAGTGAGGAGCTGAGAGCTTCTGGGAAGAGGACAGCAGGAGTGTTGTTTACAGCAGCGCTGTATAATGGAACCTTGCAAATAGTTACTGGCCCACAGCAGCGATAAGTAAAGCCAGGCGAATGATTTTTAAAATCTTACTACCCGCATGCCCCTTAGGTAGAGCTCAATGTGGGAATGTTTTCCATTTAACTGCAAACCTGACAGGACCGACAAGGGAGTAATGCGTCTACTGGAACGTAAAGATGTTTCTCTTACATTGCAGACGCCCCATGCGACAGTACATTCTTCAGAGGTGGCAGATGCCTGGTTGGCTTGACATTCTATACCTGTGGGAGCAAGATTACACAGTCTCAGGAGTAGGAACCCTTTTACCTGTCTGTGACAGCAACTGCCTATGCACCTTGCCAACTACTGCAAGGTGTGTGTTTGTGTGTGTGTGTGTGTGTGTGTGTGCAAATGGGGAACAAAGCGAAGGAAAATTCCCAAGTGGACAGAGTAGGTCAAAATCACTTCATCCAGGAATGAAACCTTGTGACCTCCTTTCCCTCTTCCTTCCACTCTGCCTCCAGTCCTGACCCTTCTCCAATCTACCCTCTGCATCATCTTCCAAAGGCCCTACTAGCAGAATTCTCCTGCTCACATGTCTCCAATGGGTTCCTACTGCCAATTCCTGTCCTCCCCCATCTGGCTCTAACCTTCATCTCCTCTCCCCGACCCTGCTGACATCCTTCTCTCCCTTGGCGCCCAACGTGGCTCATGAAGCCTTCTCTGATTCACAAGCTCTCAGCCTTGAGATCCCTTCACTGACTCCAAGCTGTATTTGAGCATCACCCTCTACTTGCTAGGTCAGTAGAGTTGTTGAACCCTCCTGAGGTAAAAGCCACGTCTTTTCCCTCAGATTTCTTGCAGCATCTCATGATTTCTTTGGCCTTCTCATGCTCCAATTTGTATTCAAGCTATTTGGGTACATTTGTTTGGGCCCATGAGATCACAAACTCCTTGAGGTCAGGGCCTGAGTATCATCCACCTCGTTTGAACACTGCTTTACACAGAAGCACTCAATGTTTGTAGAATTCAACTGTCTTACATGTAAACTTTGCAGTAGCTTGTCCTTTAAAAACAGAACCACAAACAAAAGTTATAACCACTGAAAGCAGATGGAAGGCCCCCAGAAGTTCCTTGAGGGATATGTTTAACAGAGGGCCCCCACCTAAAGCAGAACTTTGGTTTCCCACTCGTGGACCCACTCTTTGTCTAGCATTCATTCCCACTGGCTGACCTAAATGAAGGCCTAAAGCTACTGCTTGTCTGCTGGGGACGGCAAATGACCACACAGGGTCTCAAGGACAAGTTCATTTCGTGATGGAGGGACGACTTAACTAGAGGATAAAAATCTAGCCAAAGGAGAGAACTATGAGGAGGGTAACAATTTCAGAGCCTAAGTGTGAGGACCAGGACGTAACTGGCTTTTCTCCAAAGGTGGAAAGCTTTCTAGTTTGGCAGGATCTAGCACAATGTTCTGTACAGAACAGAGACTCACTAAATATTTGCAGAAATACACTGGTTAAATACGATCAGCATCATTACTCACGAAGAGCCTGATTTCAATGATGGCCTTTCTTGGTCAGAAACTTCCTGAAATAACAGAGGTGGCACAGGGGTGGGCACCAGGATGTCAGATGAAGAGGGTTACGAAATTAAAAATTAAAAAAATATCAAATGTGTGAGAAAACATAAAACCTGTATTTGACAGTTTGGGGATAGAGAAGAAAGGCCAGGTCAAGTTTAGATGAATCCAGTGCCTGCCTTGGGTCAAGTCAGGGGCCAACAAAAGAAATGATCCTGAGGAAGACCTCGTCCTGCAGACTGGCACAGGCTCTGTCTGTCAAAAGAAGTGTCCAGGACCAGGCAATCACCAGCCTCGGCCAGGTCGGTCCTTTCCTGGGGAACATGAAAGCACCTGGTTGGGAGGGAGCAAACCCTTCCCCTTCCCCAATCACTTTAACAAGCCATGACATTTACCCTTAATGTCTGTCAAGTCGTCCTCGTGTGATTTCTGGGGCTCCCTGCCTGTCTCCCCCACACACCAACTCTCCCCCTTTTTCTGATCCAAGTCTAAAATTCCTTTAATGAGGAAAAAGCCCTTCATTTCACAACTCGTGAGTCAACTGAATTCGGCCAATATTTGCCAACTGCATGTTGGCATCAGGCTGGCTAATAAGCTAGTGTTGGATGAAAAGCCCAAACCCAGACAGGCCCTGCTCTCGAGGACCTTACATTCCACCAGGTAATACAACACAATCGTAGAGGTATAATACAAGCAGGAAATGAAGGGATTTTGGGGCTTGGACGTTTGGATCAGGCCGAGTGCTCAAGAAAAAGCTGTGGAAAGTGGGGAGGAATCTGGGAAGGGCTGGGGGGGGGGAATCCCTCAACCAAGCTTTGGAGGAGAGATACGGACTTGGAGAGGCCAGTGAGAGCCAGGGAGAGAAGATCGAAAATGGCTGGGTGGAGTACAAGCCCACAGGATGGACTTCAGGGAAGTACATTCAATGGAACCAGTCAGCCAGTATTTACCAAGACCCTATGAGAATCCAGGTGCAGTGGTGTGGAAATGAGAAGAGATCCTCTTTTGGTCTTACTAAACAGGAAAGAATGGCTAGCAGGACAGCAGTGGGCAGCTGAGGAGAGGTCACTAAGGAACTGGAAATATGGCAAAAAGAGGCTGAGGACCAAAAAGAGATAACCAAATTTTGCTTCCCGTGAGCCCAAGTTAAATCGGAAGAGGACAATGGAAGCCACGTAAAGTTCGTACTGAGCTATCTGGCTCTCAGTCCAGTGAAGGCAGACGCCTCTGCCTGACATGAACCCATCTCTCCAGTGTCCACTGATTTCTGGAAGAGACCACTTACTACTGACAGAGCAAAGGCCAGCCTGAATCTTCTGTAAGGCCTTTCTTCTGAGAAAACATTCATGGTGATCAGCAGGCTTGAAGAGCATACATGAGCCCAAGCGCACCGGGCATTCTCAAAAGGTGCTGCCCAGCATGTGACATACTAAGAACCGCTATCAGACATGTCTGGGTCAGCATCCTAGGATCCTCCGATCCTTCAGTCTAAGCCTGTCTGCACTAACACTGGACTCCAATGTTTGGTGGGGTACATGCTGGCTTCAGATGAAGCTGGTAAGAAAGCGAGGAGAGACTCTTTCCTAGAGAATGGTTTGGTCAAACTAGAATCCAATTACTTTGGAAAAGGGAGGGCAACCTTGACAGCTCAAAAGTTTTCTGAGAACCTTAGAAGATCAGACATCGGCAGGTAAGCTCTTTCTAACCCATTACTGTACAACTTCCATACAGCGCCCAAACTGACGATGAATATACGTTCAGGAGAATCTCGGAGAAGCCTCATTCTTAGAGGTCTGTATTCATTCAAGGTTTAAGAGAAAACCCGTAAGGAAAGACAGCAAACACGGACACAGTAAGGCGTGCTGCTAGGCTGGCTCTCTGATAGGAACTAACGCTCATTTTTAAAATGCAGAGTTATTTGGGAAAACAATGGGAAATGAGCACGAAATTTTAAACAACTTTTACATGAGACCAAACCCACGTCTGATCCTCTTACTTCTGGGCAAGGACCAATGAAACTAGCAATGCACAGATACTGGCATTGCTGTAATCAAAGACCACACCCACACACATTGAAGGTTGCACATATGTTCTTCTGTGATCGGCATCTTTCAAATATACATGCAACACACACATAATATATATGCATGTATTTGCAATTTCTTGGAATTTGCCTGTGTGTGAAAGAGAAACACCCGCCGATTCCTTTCTCCCTTTAAAAAAGCCTCACAGCCACAGATAAACAAAAAGGTCCTACCTAAAAGAAAGACAGTCTATCCAACAACCAATCAATACACTACAAAATCCTAAGAGCCAAGATTACTTCCCACCAGAAACCAATGAGTTTTATTTTTTAATTTAGAAAATGTAGCTATGATTACAGACTATTCTCCCTGGCCGATAATTTAATCATGAAAATATATCACAGTTCCCTGAAGCTATTTCAAAAATAAAGAACTAAATTTGGGCGTTTGTAGGTTTCTTGGCCTAATTGCTGATTACAAAACAAACCATTTTTGCACACTAACTCCTCGAGATCGGCTTTTTAAAGTGTTCCTGGTTGATTTCCTTGTCCTATTACTAAAAGGACAGCCATTCAACAGCATGTGTTGAGCAGCCGCTGTTTCCCATGTGGCATATGAAGATGTAAATACAATTCCCTCTGAGCTATTTGATTGGGAATCTGAAATTCACGACGGAGACACAGACAAGTGTTTCCCCTTAGTCTCCTGACCATCCCTTCGACCCGTGCCCACCAAACAATGGCCGTGAAGGAGCATTTTATGACTTTATTTTTCCTTTCACTATTTCTTTCTGCCTTTTTGTGCCTGGGCAGGACAGCAGAGATTATAAAGAAAGTCAATAGTGCCTCTCTACCATTCATTAGGAAGTGTGGCCTTTCCACCCTTCCATGTCAATGGATTTATTTTCAGTCAGCCCCGCCCCCAAGTCAAGGGTAAAAATGGCTTTAAAAGGTGCACAACCTAGATGTAGCACTCTTCTCTTGAAATCACTGTGAAGAAAAGGAGTCCAACTTGGCCGGCCACCAGCCAGGCCACTTTCTCCTTTTGATCCCCTCCCCCAATGACTTACAAAGGTCCATAATGTGGTTCCTGCAGATGGCACAGTTGTCAACTACAATATCCCAGGCCCAGAGGGCCACTGCATTCCACTGCAAAGAGAGAAAGGGGAGAACAATGCACACTTGCTGCAGAATTCTTACAAGCAAAACATCCATCTTTCTGCACCAAACTGCAGCTATATCATTTCTTCAGCCAAAGGGATCACGAAGTGGGAAGAGTGTCTATGTGACGAAAGTTACCCTTGTTTAAATCAAAGGGGTCCATTTGGACACGACTACCCCCTGTCAACTCTCCGAAAGGCTGAAATACGCTGAGCCAAGGAATAATGAACCATTTCTCAATTAATTTCCCCAGGTGACTAGGGAGCTTCGTGATGGGCAGCCTTGATTCTTTCTCTGCAAGAGGAACTTAAGTGAAGCCTCTATTTTAGCTACAGTAAGCACCTCCATCCCCCAGGGGCTCCAAGTCCCCCAGGAATGGATCTCCCATGGGGGAGCTTGGGAAGCCCTCTTCCCAAATGACAAAGCTGAGAGGCCATCTATAGAAACTGCCAAGCAGAGCATGAACTAGGATAAGATGGCCACGGGCTCACGAAATGGGTAATCCTGCGATAAAATCCTGGGATAAGCGGGGCTTGGTAACTGACCAGGTCATCGTTTCTAAATCTTCTAAGTCTCAAGGAATGAAGGACGCTAGCCGGCACCAATACAGGGGTCACAAGCGGGGTGCAAGCAATTCTAGCCCAACTGCCTCTTCCTGCCCAGCTAACTTGGTGCCCCTGCGTCTCAGATAACCTCCTGCCCCCACCCCAGGGGGGTGAGGGGGCCCCAGTTTTGTTTTTCAATATAGCCGTGGCTTTAGAATTCGGCACTGCAGCAGCAGCTGGACCAGAGGCAGGTACCTCCCAGGTGGGGTTCTGCTACGCTCCCCTCATTTTTGATGTCTTCATTTCTTGCACTTTATGAAAGGGCCCCCAAAGTCTAACTGGAAGGAGGTGTTTGTAAACCTCTCAATCCCGCCCCTCCTCCACAGCGATTCCTTTAGGAGGAAATGACCTGAGGTCCACTGTGACCGCCACCCTCTCCTCCACGTCCCCCCCCCCTTTCAACTTCAGGGGGCTGGGGCTCGAGTTCTTAGGGGCAAACCCACAGGAACAAGGAGCCTGGGAGGAGCCGCGGGACAAAGCAAAGGCAGGGGCGGTGGGGGTGAAAGCCAGCCGACGCCCCCCCCATCCCGCCTCCGAGAGGGAGCAGACGAGAGGGTGGGGCAGCCCCCAAGGCGTCACGAGACCCCGGGTTCGGCTCGGGAGGCGGGGAGGGGCTGGCCTGGGCGGGGCAGATCCGGCCCCACCCCCGCCCCACCCTGCCGCGCCGCCGCCGCCGCCGCCGCCTCCCCCAATGACAGTTCAGGCTCCCGGCAGGGGCGCAGGAGCCGCAGCCCGCCGGACTCTCAACAACGGCCGCGCCCATTGGCCCGTCCCGCTTCCTCGCCGGGCAGCCTCGCCTGCGCCCATTGGGCCGCGGCCGTGCCCATCCCCGCCGAAATCCCGCCCACTTCCGTCCTCCTGTGGAGAACCGGGTACCCCAGCAACGCCGGGGAGCGGGGGGCCCCCAGCCCAGCAGTCCCCAGCTCGGCCCTGCAAGCGGACCCGCGCCCCGCCGGCCCCTCTGAGGGAGGCGCCGGGCAGGCCCGACCTTTTTCACTTCAAAGCGCTTCTTGCCGGCGCCGCTGTTGGTGCCACTGGGGGTGTCCACATCCATCGCCGCCGCCATTTTGGAAAGCGAGTGCCCGTCGCGCGCTCACTGCGCCTGCGCGGCGGCGCACGCCTCCCCCCCTCCCGCCTCCGACCTCCTCCCTCTCCAGCCCCGCCCCTCCCGCAGTACGGAGGCTCCGGGGCGTGGCTTCTGGCCACGCCCCTTAAAGGCGCTAGTAGGGCTTCCTCCCCCCCACCCTGGTCTCCCCAGGTTGTCACTGGGGTTGCTCAACCCCCAGAGGGGGCGGGGCCGGACAGGGAGGGGCCGAGTAAGCCCAGCTGAAACTGAAAAGACTGCCCCTCCCCACCTCCTTCCCCCCGCGCTGATCCCCAGGAGGCTCCGGGCCCCCCCATACGCAGCCCCTCATCCCTGGGAGCCACAGGGTCCCCGCGGGTGTGCTGCGCCACAGCCCCCTGGTCTGGCGTGAGGTTGGGGGGGGGCAGCCCGGCCCGTGCGCCCCACCCCACCACCCGCCCCGGACCGAGTACGCACTTGCAGACACGTACCCACGCACGTGCACACGTAAGGCACCTCCACCTACGCAACGCATCCCCCCCTCCCGCCTCCCATTCTCTCCAGGGCTCCCCACAACCCCAGCGTCCCCCGATCCCCAGCATTCCCGAACTACCTCCCCACACCCGCCGAGATCTGAGGTCCCCCTAATTCCCCACAGCACCCTCATAGGCTCTCTCTGGGTGCCTGAATCTTCAGTGTCCCCCCTTTAACACCCCCCCACCCCCCATATCCCCATTCTCCAAGCCCACGTCTTCTCCCAGATGAGAGGAGTTCTCCTCCAAAGAACCCTCAAGACTTCTCTCAGGGGCCCCAAATCTCCAGTTTCCTCCCTCACCCCCATACATCCCATCCCGTAAGATCAGGTCTTCATCCTGGGTCTCCTCTATACTCCTTCTAAAGGACCCTGCTGTCCCCTCTCTGATCCCCCAGTCTTCCTTCGGCACTCCCCTTGATACTGCCCCCCAATATCTCCAAGATCATACCTCCTTTTTGGGGACCTCGCTACATTTCCCGAAGCTTCCCCCAACTGTCACAACCCTCAAGCGTCTTCTCAGGGTCCTTGAATCTCCTCACGGTTTCCTGTGGATCCCCACCCCAAATCTCCACAAAGCCCCCATATCCCTCGGGGGTCCCCACATCTCAACAATTTCTCCTTTTCATCTTCCACTAGAGCCAACAGCGTTGCCGGTCACTCCCCGCCTCCCCCCTCCCCAATCTTCCGGATACAAAAATCTATTCCTTGACAACTGGCCCTTCCTCTTCTTCTCTAGGCTTTTTCTTTTAGCTCTAGAGGCGATGGGCCCCCTCCCTCCCCTCCCTCTCTGTGGAGGTCTTCAAGCAAAGGCTGTGCAGGAAGGGGCCCTTTGGGGAGAGGAGGCTCTCTGTCCACTGTCTAGCTGGCTCTCAGGTCCTTTCCAACCCAGAAACTGTGATTCTTTGAAATTTGAGGCTCTAAATCTGTGACCCCTTGATAAGACTCTCTCTGGCCCACTGCACTCATTTTACAGAGGAAACTGAGGCCCAGAGAAGGAAAGGTAGCAGAATCAGGATCAATTGCCCACTTTCTAATTCCAAATTCAGCCTTTCCCCTCCAGCTTCATTCTCTCCCCTAGCCTGGGAAATGCTGCTTTTGGTTAGTCACCACCTTCCTCAACTGCCAGGTGAAAGAACTGTGCCCTGCTGAAGTGGGCAGGTGCTCCGGGAGGCTATGATGACCCATGACAACCTCCTCCCAGCAGGCTTGAAAGGCTCGAGGCCAAGGGAAAGCCAGGTCCCTGTAGCTGGATGCCTGTTTTTTGGACATTCAGAGTTGAGAAGTGAGATCTAGAACCTCCTTTCTGAGACTAAACAGAACAGGTCTTTTCCAGGCTCTTTTTAAAAAAACAGAGATAGGTCTATAGCAGGGGTGGGGAACCTGTGGCCCTGAGGCCTTCTAGGTCCTTGGGTGCGGCCTTTTGACTGACCAAACAGTTTGGATTCAATCAAAAGACTGCACTTGAGGACCTAGAGGGCCACATGTGGCCTCAAAGCCCAAGGTTCTCCACCCCTGCTCTACAGGTAAGTAGATATAGATGGTGCATATTAGAGATAGAGCAGTTATTAAGTATTTACTGCGTGCCAGGAACTCTCTGCAAAGAAGTGCGTACCACAAAGTCCAATCTTTACGCCGTCCCAAAACGCCATTGGACCAGAGATATGATATTTTTCTTTTTTTCTTTTTTTTTCTGGTTTGTTTGTTTTTAGGCAATTGGGATTAAGTGACTTGCCCAGGGTCACACTGCTAGTAAGAGATATGATATTTTTCTTAAAAATTTTTTATAAGCTATATTTCAGTTTCCTTGTGGCTCCTGACAGGTTTCCATGCTTGGTCATTCCTTGTATTCGCAGAGCTTATTAGCACAAAGCACTTAAATACTTCATTCATTCTTTCCTTCTGAAAGCCACATTAACCTGCTAACCTACTATCACTCTATTGTAAATTTCTAATTCATAATTGATTCTACTTGCCTTTCCCACCCGGGCCATTTCCAAGTGTTTTTCAGGGTTCACCTTGACCAGACTCCTCAACTCTAACAAGTTTGAACCCTGATGGTAAACTCATGACTCAGAGGCCTTCTCTGGTCTAGCCCCCTCATTTTACAGATGAAGGAACCAAGTTCCAGGGCAGTCAGAGCAGGGTTTTGAAGTCGGGTCCTCAGAGGTACAAGATTCATTAGGCTCACTCTCCACAAGTGGCTTTCATAGATTGAAGTCTGTTCTCAAGAAATGGGACAGCAGTGGACTGTGAGGGCCCTGCAGCGGCCACTCTCTGAGAGGCACTCAGATGAGAGGCTTGCTCTTCATTTCCTCATCTCACTCATTGCTCTCGTGCCCGTATTGGACAAAAACAGAGCTGTCACGGGGCAAGCCCAGCCTTGCAGAGATACTGAGTCTGTACTACATATGCTGTGCTGATCCAACGAGCTTTTGGTGGCCCAAGTTTTAAGATCATTTTTCCTTATCCAAGCAGGAGCTAAAATCACGACCCCAAATACTGATTTCCTCTTAGGATGAACTAAAAGCCAAATACTGCGATGAGGGAAGGGGAGGGTTTCCCTGTATCCTGCCCTGGTCAGGACATAACCCTGGTTATTATGTTCACCTGAAGGGTAGAGTGGGAATGAGGCCACCTTTTAGGACAGGTTAAGAGGGTGCTCAGGTTGAACCATCTGAGCATCACTGAAGGAACTGGCCATGTTTGGTTTGGAGAAGATAAAGCCTCCTTGTCTTCAAGTGTTTGAGTTGGGGATGAAGGATTATTTGTTCTGCCTGGCCCCAGAGAGGCAGTAGACCCTGGGGTATTGTTACAGAGGCAGATTCTGACTGCATCAAGGGAAACTCTGTGATGAGAGTGTGGCAAAAGCAGAGGGGGCTACTTCTTTGGAGGTCTTCTGACAAAGGCTCCATGGGGCCATGTGTCGATTGGGGCTTTTGTAGACATGATTCATTCAGAGGTTAGCAGTCAGACGAGATAGCTCTTTCTACTCCATTATGACGATTTCTTTTGGTGGGGGTGGAGGCAAAAAAAGCAGTGGCATTTCATATTATCAAGAAATGTTGGGATGGGAAGGAGCCTTAGAGATGCTGTTGTTCCATGCCCTGCTTTCAAAGAGGGGCATGTAGGTCCCTCAAGAAGTGAACTGCTCAAGGTCATACAAACCAGAGAATAACAGAGCCTGGCCTAAAACCCAGGTCTCCTTGACTCCTAGCCCGAAGCCTAGAGCTCTTTCCACTCTCCACCTTCTTTTTGAAAACCCCTTGGGGTTTGGTTGAAAATAGCTGCACCTGACAATTTCCGTGCTTTCCATGATTTAGGTAGCGCTCTCTCTCTCCCTCTAAGAAGGAAGGTTGGGGAGCCATAGACAGTGATGGACAGATTTTCCTAGTCATGCCATATGAGTCAAGAAGTGGGACCTGAACCCAGGTCTCTACCTGATTCAAAGGCTGGCTTTCTACCTACTATGGCAGGGCGCCTCTTACTTATCAGTCGTCAGCTCAGAGATCTTGCCTTTGCCTCTAAAGGAATTTCCCTGGAAAGCTTATGACGCATGCTCTGTATTCCAGTTAAATGGGAATCCTTGTCCACCCTCCGGCTTCCTGCTTCCATGAATCGGCTAACTCCTCTCTCAGGTCTGGAAAGGACTACAGCCCTCCTCCCCGCTTCAGTGCCTAAGTCAGAAGCCACCTCATTCAGGAACCTTCTCTGACCCCATCCTACCAAGTGAAAATGATCTTCCCTGTGGCCAGTTTTTCATAGACTAGGAAGGGGTGGGGAACCTGCAGCCTCGAGGTTACATGTGGCCTTCTAGGTCCTCAAGTGCAGCCCTTTGACTGAATCCAAGTTTGACAGAACGAATCCTTTTATAAAGGGGATTTGTTCTGTGAAGTTTGGATTGTCAAAGGGCCACACTTCAGGCCCTAGAGGGCCACATGTGGCCTCCAGGCCGCAGGATCCCCACTCCTGGTCTAGGCCCATAAAATCAAGAGTTGCAAGGAACCTCTGAGATCATCTCATCCAAACCCCAAATTTTAGAGAAATCTGGAGCCAAGGAATGTGAAGCAGCTTGCCCAGGGGTCACCCAGGTGGGTCCCATGCCCCATATCGGTGTTGTTTAGTATAGGCACTGCCTTTAGACACGGATCCAGCCCTGCCACCCTCCCCTCACTCCTTACATGTTGTGCTTTTCCCCCATTAGCCTGAGGATGGGGTCTGTACCACGCCTAGAACACTGTTTGCCACACAGCAGGTAATTTAATGATGGTTACTTGCTGCTCAATGGATCCCTGAGCTAATGAGTGCTTTGTGAAAAAGGAATTACTTACCCCTTTAACACCAGAAGAAACCTTTGGCTTCTAAAACGTGACAATGAGGCCAGAAGCAACAGATAGTATATTGCAGTTTATTTTTTAAACACTAGTAACAATTTTTTTCCCTTGTTGGGAAATACCTGATATCTTGGCAGGCAAGTCTTTACAAAGTAACAGCATTTTGTCCAAATTCAATATTCATAGCACATACAGCAAGTTCACAAAACTGTCAGAATGCTGGCTGAGATCAGCTACCCCGTGAGTAGACCAATGCTATTCCCCACCATGAATCTGCCATGATTTCCCCATGGGGGCAGGAAGCAAGAGGGTAGTCAGGAACACCCAGCCGTTCTGTGAACTTGGGAAGGGCCTTGGAAGAAGAGAAGAGACACGAGTCTTCCCCCAAGGGATGCATGAGGTATTTGTGAGCCAACCTTTCTCTCCTGTTCCAGTTACGGATGGGCCTAGACCAGCACCAGAGCAGTTATCAGCTTAAAGGGACGCCACCCTCAAGCCACAGGCTTTGTCGGCCCCAGTCTGACTTTAACACTGTTTAAATGGCGGAAATGAAGACCCAAATCCAAAAGCCCCCCAAATCCCACCCCCTCTTCTGATTTCCTCTTTGTTATTGCTGGCCCTTCTTTCTGCTCCCATGGGAAAAGCAGAGGAGCTATCTGTGGTTAGAGCCGAGGAGATCCTAACTCCCTGAGGGGCTCACCAAGCTGCTCTGAAGATAGGTTCTGAAACATCTTAAAACGACCCCTGCTCTCAGTGAAGAGGGGAGGCTGTGTGACACAAAGAGTCCTTCCCTTTCAGCACTTTCTAGAATAAATGCCAAACATGGTGCTTGGAGATCAGACACATTATAAAGGGTGCCCACCCAACGGCGACGCCTCAACAACGAGGCTGCTGCCTTCCCCTCTCTTCACCCAGAAACAAGCCAAGGTTCTTTCTTGATATGAACAAACACAAGCAGCAACAGCCACCTCGAGATAACAACTTTCCATGTCTATGCATTGTTCTTCAAACTTTCCTCAACCTCCACTTGGGAAAGAAGAAAGAGCAGAAAATAGAACTGAGCTTCTTTCTTGTCACTGCCCAATCAAGTCTGCACGCTGGGGGTGTAGGTGGGCGTTGAAAGGATGGGATGCTTTTCTGGCTGGAGGATAAATCTTTCTGGGGTGCACTGAGGCCGTACCCTGGGTAGAACTGTCCACTTTCCAATTCCCAAACCTAGTGAGCCAGACACCTCTTTTATAAAAGCCTTCGAGGTGATTGTGCTTGGGACTCTGACCTCGGGAGCACCGGTTGTTCAGGTCAAGTATCCAGGAGGATTTGGTTGGGATTCGGGGACTGAACAATGGCCCAGCAGCACTCCCCCCCAAATCTGCTACAAGGCACACTTGAGGCTCTAGGGCCCAGATGCAAGTCCCCAGTGACTTGAAAGTTTCTTTTTGGGGGAAGGAAGAGATAAAGAGTCAAATGCAAGCAAGCGTTCAGCCCAAAACTGGCTGGTTTCTTAGCTAGAAAGTGGAAGACTTGTTACTATGTGTTCTTTCACAAGGAATGCTATGTAGAAAGAAAAGGCAATCTTTTATTCAAGGACCCTGAGCAAAAGAAGCCCTTCTGCCTTGCTCGTCTCATTTTCTACACTTAAAATGGGCAATGGGAGACCCAAGTTGGGGCCCGGGTGAGGGAGTGTATGTGCGTGCGTCAGGGCTGTAAAGGGACATCTCGGCTCTCTGGGCCTCCTTGTGGACACCTGCTCCAGCTGTCCAGCCACCATGGGCCCCATCTCAGAGGGGGTGGGGGGAAGGGCAGCCCGGATATAATTTGTAACACTTTGGCTTTGTAACATTATCCTTGCCTCCTGATGGAGCGCCCGCCCTTGGCTTCCTCCGTATCTCTCTGCAGTCCTATCAGATAGGCACCCTTCCAGCACTCCAAGAAGGGTGTCACTTCTCAAGCTCGCTGCCCTGACGTGTTTATTAAACAATCCCATGGCCCTCTTACTGGCACTTTCTGAAGCTCGGGCTTTGATTTTTGAACTGACTCTTAACCCTTTCCCAATGCTTCCTCCCTTGCCGGGCCCCAGCACCAAGGCCAGAGCTGGGTGTGCCTCGACAGGAGCCAGGACAGCTGAAGGCTCATCAGAGGCTTTACCGGCATTAGCACTGCCCTGCAGCAAATGGTGGGAGAGACAGTGAGTCTCCCCCTACGCTGCAGCCTCAGGAAGGAGGCCGGTCCCATCACTTGATAATCGGCCAGGGAAGAGAGGCAGCTTGACCAAGGAATGGGAAACACAGGCAGAGCTAACCCTGCATGAGGAAGGCATGAGAAGGGGAGGGAGGCTGCGGCTTTTCAGGGTCTGTCCAGAACCAAGCGCCTCTCCTGCCCTACTCTGAGCCTTCACGTGCACTGAGGTTGTAGCTTCACCAGCCAGTCCACCAAAGTCAGGCAAATAAAGTGGCCAGCTGAGGGCTTCTGGGTGTGAACTGCGGGCAACAACAGGCGTCAGGCCCCATGCCCTCAGCTGAAGACCCATGGGAGAGAGGAAGAGGAGAGAGGAAGGAGACGCCAAGGGCCTGATCTCTACGTCAATGACTGGTGGCCTCTAGGGCAGGGTCAGATGGTGAACACTCAAAAAACACATTACACGGAAGCCTTAGCCATGGAGTCCCTGGAAGCAGGAACACAGAGGGCTGAACTGGGAGGGCAGGACATGGGCATCTTTTTTCTGCTTTTGACAATAAACGATTTACTAATTAAAGCTATGGGTACACCTCACCCACCCTTTACCTTTAAACCTCGAGCTGGCCTAAGTCACTACTGAGTGTGTAGATGATTCCTCCTCTTCCCGGAGCTATGTTCACGTATAGCTGAATAATTCCCTCTTCAGGCTTCCCAAGTATAAAAGGAAAATGTCTGCATAAAGACTCTCCCCGACTCCCAAATAAGGAAGTATATACCAATACGTATGTGTGTGTACATATATAGATATATATCTATATACACACACATACATGTATACATGTATGCATATACATATACATGCATAAACATGTACTCAAGAATATATGTATATGCACAACCACGGAGGATCCTTGAGCCGCACAGGTCTACCCAGGCGCACAGGTCAAGAACCCCGGTCACAGATGCGCTCAACGTGGTGCATCTCTTTAGGGCAATCGGCAGACAGGATGAGTGGCAAGTCCTCCGTCACCACCACGTCATCCTCAATGCGCACGCCGAGACCTCGGAACCTCTCAGAGGCGTCACAGTCATCTTCGGGAACATAGATGCCTGGGAACAGAAGAAAGGGGAAGGGCATGGTGACCACCCAGGAGAAGAGGAGACAGGACAGGACAACTTTTCAAAGGGTCTTTAGATGGAAGAAATCCAAGCTCCTTATAGCTGTATGGAGAAATACTCCAAGTCACTAAAAATGAGAGAAAGGCAAATTCAAGCAGCTCTGAGGTTGCACCTACGTCACATCCATCAGACTGGCACATTAACTGCACCCACAGCTGTGGGATCAATGGTCCAGCTGTTCTGGAAAGCAGTTCAGAACTGGGCCCCCAAAGTTACTAAACTGCACATCCCCTCTGGTCCAGTAATAACCACTGCTAGGCCTATACCAACGAGGAAAAAATCCTCTATGCACAAAAATATAGAAGCTCATCATATCAACAGAATGGGGGCAGGGCATGGCTGGACAAATGACTGTGCATGTGAGGAAAGGGAACATGATGGTATATCAGTGGGAAGACCCACATGAACTGATGCGGAGCAAAGCAAACAGTACCAGGAGGAGAAGGCTTCCCCTGACAGCAATCTGTAAAAATGGAGGTGACGGAAGGCCTTGGGCACTCCACCCCCAATTCCAGGGGTCTCATAATGAAGCACATTCCCTCTGTCTGACAGAGGGTTGACAGACTCGGGTGACAGAGGCTGATGGATTCAGGACTAAAACAGATTTTGGACATGGCCAACATGGAGTTTGGCTGGCCTGTGCTTACTTGTTCCAAGGGCTGGTTTGGTTTTTTACTTCTTTTCACTGGGGAGGGGGTGGAGGGAGGAAGAACAAAAGAAAAGCTTGAGAATAACAATGCTGCCCCCCAGTCTTGCCGCCTCCTTCCCTGGAGAACAAATACTGCTGTGGTCTTGGCTTAGCTATGCTCCTTCTGACCCTGGAAGCAAAGGCATGGCATGAACCAGAAAGGACCAGGGCAAGACAGTCCTACTTCCTGCATCTCTATTCTCAACTCTGTTCCTCACCTCTGCCCATTAAACAGGCTCACCAGGTCTGACCAGTGGACATTTGTAAGGATGTCACTGAGGCAGAGAATCTGAGGGTGAGAATGCACCACCAGGAACCAAGAAGTTGACTTTACCTGTGAAATAACGTTTCAATGGGCTGACTACGGGAGAAAAGAGACCAGGAGGATCTGGCGCAGGGTCTGAATCCAAGGGTCTCAGCTCCACTACCTCACAGAGGAGGCAAGCCATGGAAAATTTTCCATGCGAGACAGCTTTGAAATTTTCCTTTCCGTGGCCTTAAGGGGAGATCCCCAGTGGGATAATCAGGCAAACATGAAGCAAACGAAAATTCACCAGCACACCTCCCTGGAAGCCCCTGGGATCCATGACATGGGGCACAATGAAGGCCAGGCCAGGCATTGTGGGAGGAGCTTGGCTTCTGAAACGCCACAAACAAGACAGGACCATAGTGGTCCAAGGCCAAGAGGCCAGCACAAGGCTGGATCCACTGGGCTCGGATCCATTCCAGCTCCGGTCTCTGTGATTTCATAACTGACACATTTGGAATCTACGACAGGAGCAGCTGGAGGTGGAGGTCGCTGCTCTGTGAGCTAGAGACAGTACCCGCAGCCTCGGCAGCACCCCAGATTTCACTCCCAACATCACGGCATCAGCCACATCAGGTGACCCATTAGACAATCACACCTTTCTCCGAGGCATATGAGAAAGCACAGGGAAATGTCAAGAGGCAAAAGAAAGCTGGGCAGTCCCACAGGGTGCCTGAGGAGGTGCTGCATCTGAGGACAGGAGGACATGCCCAACAGCTCGGGGGCCTCTGAAAGGGGGGGGGCAGCCATGGTGTTTCCTAAGTGCCGGGATGGAAGGAGGAGGACAACCCCAATTTCTCGCTATCTGATCCTATGGCTCTGTAATAGCGTTTTCTGAAATTTACATAAAATGGAAGACTTCAGTGAGGCTTTCAGTTTAATATCAGACTGATAGGGTTCTATAAATAATTCTCTGAGTCTCGAACAACAAAAGGCAGCTGGGTGGTGCAGTGGATAGAGTGACTTGCCTGGAGTTAGGAAGACTTGACTTCAATTTGACCTCCGATACTAGCTTTATGACCCTGGGCAAGTCAGTTCACCCTGTTTGCCTCAGTTTCCTCATCTGTAAAATGAGCTGGAGAAGGAAATGGCAAACCATTCCCGTATCTTTGCTAAGAAAACCCCCAATGGGACCACAAAGAGTTAGACATGACTGAAAATGACTAATCAACAAAAACCACAATATAAGGAGACTTGATAGATACTCATTGCTGAATAGTAAAAGAAGAAGTCGAGAAAGACAATCATATTATGTTAACAAAAGAGTATAAGAGTGATGCAGTCTGGTCTGGCCAGACCAGGCCCCTTTCTTCAGCCGGGCAGCACAGGAGATAAAGCACTAGGCCTGGCATGAGGAAGACCCGAGTTCAAGCCCAGTCTCAGACCCTTACTAGCTATGTGATCGTGGATAAGTCACTTCACTTCTGTCTGCCTTAGTTTCCTCAAAGGGGGCTAACCATAGTATTTACCTCCGAGAGCTGTTGAGAGGCCCGAATGATACAGCACCTGCAAAGTGCCCAACAGTCTGGCTCCAGGAAAAGCAGCCCTGCCCAGGAGTGCCGGCCACGGCGCTCAAGTCCCTTTGCTTCTCAGAGACCAGAACAGAGAGCTGAGAAATCCCATCCTTTTCGCAGGGATGCAGCGCTTGATCGAGAGTTCTGATGGTGGGTTGAAGGAATGGGGGAGCTATCGTTCCTGGAAACAGACTGGCTTCTCTGGTAAGCTAGGAAGGCAAAGCTCCCAGGGAATCCACTCAGCACCTCATTTAGAAGGCGGCCTCTCTTCAGAGGAAGGAGCCTAGTGGGCCGGCATGACTGGGCCTGGGTTCTTTGGGGCTCAGCAGAGCCTAATGCTGCAGCGGCCTACTGTGTGGGTGCGGGTCAAGTGTGGAGGAAAACCTACGGTAAATAGAACTCTCAGATCAAGATCGAAGATGCGCGTTTTTAACCGAGGCAGAAGTTGGCTGCAAAGGCCAACGTGGCCACTGACATCTCCAGGACTTTCAGGTGCGGGAGGAGCTACCCATGAAATCCACAGCGTCCTCCTCTGAGAGGCATAAGCGGGGGCCTGATTGAGCCGATGGAAAGGTGGCAGACGAGTCCGAGTGCCGGCATTTCAGCTTGTGGCCCTCGAAGAGAGGGGCACACGACAGCTCGCAGAGCCAGAGGGGAAAGGCACGAGTCAGCCCAGGAAGGTTAATTCAATGACAACTTGGCTTACACAACTTCTCAGGGATCTTTCCTGAAGTAAACAAACCTTTAAGAAGTTTTCTGGGATATTGCTGAATGGGCCTATCTATGTATTGGTCTCCAGAAGCCTGTAAGTACATATGTGCGTGCAGATGTCAATGAACACTTCTATGTAGCAGAACTACACCAAGGTGGTGGTAGGAGTTATTATTCACCTGGAAGACATGCTGATGAATCAGGACACCACCAAACAACAGAGGGAAAGTGTCAGTGAGGAGCGGAGGACGTGACTCCAAGTACAGCTCCGGTGGGCAAACAGGACGAGTGCAGAGACTGGCGAAGGGGCCCTGTCCTGCCTCACAAAAGGGAGGCTGGGATACTTGGAGTCCCTTCCTGCTTCTGTCCCTCCATGTGCTCTCCCTTCCACCTGGCTGGCTACAGGCCAGACTCGAACCCTTCAAGAGTATGACCCAGTCTATCACAGAACCCAACTTTATCCAGGATCAGAAGACTGAAAGGCCTGAAAAGAAACTAGACCTGGGAAAATACTGAAAGTCAGTCTGTAAGTCTCCAACCTGGCTGTGGCAAAATACAACATCAGCACCCCTAGTCTCTCAGCTGAGTAGAGGACCTCTTTACTGTTTTTAACTGAGTTAGTTAACTAGCTGAAAGAGGGAATGGTGGGTAAGAAGTCAGGCGAAGAAGGGGAGGAAGGAATCTAAGCTCCATTTCAGCTAGCATCTCCATCTGTCTGAAATCCAGATAAGGATTCACATCTAGAGTGCCTGGCACAAGGTAGGCTCTTAATCAATGTTTACTGACTGACTGACTGATCTGTTAGGAAATGGACCTTCCAATTCTGGAGGTTAACGGGCCAGTCCTGGTGGGATTAGGGTCCCCGGGTAGCAGGAAACTCTTAAGATGTTCAGGTCTAGCCTCCTTGGCCAGAGGAACCCAAAAGTCCCTGCCCACAACCCCAAGGGAGATGAGAATGATCCCATAATATCTGCGGTACTATATTTGAGTGGATGCATGGGAATCTCCCCAAACAGAAGGGTGTCCCTGGAGTTTTCTGAAATGGCTCAGACCACCTCACGGCATTCACAGCTCAGTCTGGAGCCATTTTTGCTTTGACAATTCTGTGCTGCCCCCAGCCCAACATCAGGGAGGGTGGAGGAACAGCCAGTGCCCACGTAATGACTTGGAAAGGGTCAGTCACTTCCAAGATGAACAATGCTGACTTGGAGTGGCCTGACAGTGCAGGCCGGCCTGCAGGGTGGCAAGTGGCCAACGGGATGCTGGGCCAGGTGATGACTTCATTACTATCACAGTCTAGCCAAACTAGTGCCGCAGAGTGGGCCAGGCAAGGACAAAGGGGGGCTTCTCAGACACCGGCTTGCATGCCTACTAACTAGTCTGGCTGTGTTCATTCTCCGAAGGAGAGGGGGACAAGCTGATCTGCTCCTGAAATCATCCAGCAGAAATCAGACTGAGGAAGAGAAAGCAAAGGAAGGGCAGCCATAAGGATGAAAATCCACCCAGGAGAATCGACTAGCCTGATAAACTGCCCAGGTCCACTCCTGGAGTCTGCCCATGCCCCATGAAATGCCACAGGTTCCTGCCTCCCTCCACTGCGATTTAGAAAAATGTGCAGAAACCTGAAGCATTGGCTGCTCTCCCTGTGCACGAAAGCAGGTGCTGAAGCCTCACCTGGATGCCCTCTCCTTGTGAGGAGCCAAGACGCCCCTGAGCAAGGACCCATGCCTTACCAGGGGTGGTGACGGGCCTAAGGGATGCAGGGTCTGGCTCTGGGACCATTGACAGGTTGCCACACCTGAAGGGGACACTCCAGGAACTGAGGTCCACGATAAAGGAGCCTCATGAGGGAGGCGTGACACATCTGTCACTAGCCCCACATATCTGGGGCCCAGGCTCCCACTGGGGAGATTCCCATTTACTGGACATTACGCAGTGCAGAGAACAAAGATGCCCGGGGGATGAGCCCCAGCTGCTCCCCCAGGGGGTATCTCTGCAGGCACCTCTTCTCCTTGGAGGGCATCAAGGATGTGTCTCAGACAACACGGACCAATGACTGCCAGTTCTGGATCTTGGTAGGAATCCTTCCTGGGCTGTACCGGAGACAACAGCTGCTAACCAGAGTCTCGAGCCCCTTCCCTTAGGCCTGGGGGAGAGCTAGCCTGGCTCAGAAGCAGGGCAGGGTCTTCAATGGCTGCTCCTCTGCGAGAGCTGCAATCACGGGGTGGGAGGACATCGGCCCACGGAGGGGACAGAGGGGGCAGCTGGATGGGACTGGCCAGAAGCCCCTGAGGCCAAAGGTCTTTATTCTCTGGGCCACCATGGTGCCCCCTTATTTAATGATTTCTTAAGGGGTGTAGTCAGCAGGCCTGGGGTCTGCTCGCCCCCTACCAGTGCCCTCCTCACAATAGACAAGCGTAGCCCTAACTGCCACCAACACTCAGACCTGGTTGGTCCTCTCTGAGACCAGAGGTGACAGCTGAGAAAGTGGGCGTGTGGCGAAGAGGATCATGTCACGGAGACTGTGATGAGGAGAGACTGCAGGGGGCTATTCCAACCCCTGAGTCTCAGAGATGAGGAAACAGAGGCCTTCAAGTGACATGAGCTGCTCAAAGCCCCAGAGGGAGAGGCTCGGGAGCAGATGTTCTTGGACACTCCACGTCCCCTCCCTGCCACGTTTGTGTGCTCTCTTTCTATGTACGAGCACCCCACGGCTGTATGGAATAAAGAGACCTTGAGCGGCAGAGACGGTGCCAACCTGCACTGGGAGAGGAGGGCCCTCGCCAGGCGCTCCCTGAACCTACGAAGTTCCTGGTCCAGCCTCAACAAACACACAAACACATGAATTCTAGAGTGACATCTAGGAGTATGGGGGAGGGGCCGGGTTTCCAGAACTGGACTAACACAAACAAATGGATAAGTACTTTGGAGAGGATGCTGCTTCTCCTATGCTGAGAAGATGCTGTCTGAGCACCTTCTCTGCCGCATCTGCTCAAGGTCAAAGCTTACTGACACAGAGCGGGGACTCAGCAGGGGCTCTTACCTGGCTCGATGGTGACCACCATGCCGGGCTGGAGGGGCAGCGAGCGGGACATGTCCGGAGTGTCGTGGACATCCATGCCGAGGTAATGGCCGACATGATGGGGGCAGTATTTCCGAGCTGCCTAGAAAAGCAAAGGCCTGGGTTATCACCACAAAAACGATACCAGTGAAGGGGCCCGAGGCTCAGACCTGGGATTCACACCACGGCTCCCCGTCTGGGAGCTGACTCTAACCTTGCTGGATGAGCAAACAGCGCCCCAGCTAGAGCCTGAGGCTCCCACCAGACGCAACTCAGTGCACACCTCCCCACTCACGGCTCCCTGGGAAGGGAGAGCCTGGGTCGCCACAGACAGCTTTCTGTCCATTCCCAGAGCCTGTTTTGTCTTCGTCACTCCCCCAGCTTAACCCCACACCTGAGGAACACTCAACTCTGAGATGGCAAAACAGACTTTCATTCAATGAAGATACTATAGGATTTATTTAAAAAAAAAAAAAGCCTTCCTTAGGAATTACAGTAAAAAGCAAAGTAAAGTGAGCCATTTCCCAATTGATAAACAACCAAAGAATGTGAAAAGGCAGTTTTTGGAGGAAGAAATCAAGGCCATCAACAGCTATCAACATGAAAAGAATGCTCGAAATCACCACTGATCAGAGAAATGCAAATTAAAACAACTCTGAGGTACCACATCACCCCTATCAGATTGGCTAATAGGAGAGAAAAGGAAAATGATAAATGTTGGAGGGGATGTGGGAAAACTGACACACTAATGCACTGTTGGTGGAGTTGTGAACTGATCCAAACATTACAGAGTATAATTCGGAACTCTGCCCAAAGGGCTATAAAACCGTGCATACCCTTCAGCACAGCAATGCCACTACTGGGTCTGTTTCCCAAAGGGATCAAAGAAAAAGGGAAAGGACCCATTTGTACAAAAATATTTACAGCAGCTCTTTTTGTGGTGGCAAAGAATTGGAAATCATAGGGATGCCCGTCAATTGGGGAATGGCTGTCCGGGTTGTGGTGTACAATTGTGATGAAATACTATTGTGCTGGAAGCAATGACGAGCAGGATGCTTTCAGAAAACATTGGGATGATTTTTATGAGCTGATACAAGGTGAAGTGAGCAGAACCAGGAGATCATTGTACACAGTAACCGCAATCATATGATGATCAGCTGTGAATCACTTTGATATTTGGATCAGTAGTGATACAAGGTAATTCCAAAAGATCCATGATGAAGAATGCTCCCCACCTCCAGAGACAGAACTGATGAGGTCTGAGTGCAGATTGGGGCATCTTTTAACTAATTAAGTGATTTTTCCTTGCCTTTTTTTTTTTTTCCAACATGGCTAATGCGGAAATATGTTTTGCATGATTTCACATGTACAATGGGGATCATATTGCTTGTCTTTTCATGGGGGATAGGGAAGGAGAAAATTTGGAACTCAAAATAAAAATTTAAAAAAACAAAACAAAACAAAAAAACAAGCAAAACAAAACCCCCCAAAGGCCAGGTATATTCCAGGATGACAGGAAAAAAACAGTAAAGTACAAATACCCAGGAGGGATGTTTTAGCTCTGGGCCTTTCCTGCTGCACAAAGATTGTCATGAATTCAGACCCTTTCCTGGTGACTACCAGGAAATGAGAGTTGTTTCACACCTGCCCAAACTTCAGTCTGAGGAGGGGGGTTGTTATTATTATTAAAACCACTCCCGTTGGCTCTCGTGTTAAGCATTTGCTAGCAGATTAGACAGACTGTTGCACTGTCAAAGAAGTTGCCTGAACTGGGAAGAATGTGGGCCTTTTGTCTTCAGATAAAAATGGCTCAGGGAAACTCAACACCTTCATGGCACAGGGAGATCCATCTCTAACAGCTGCTTGATGTAACCTGTGACATTCTCAAAGTAGAGTCTTTTCATTTACATTAAATTCTATTTGCTTGAGATCTTGACAAAAATCTTCCAAAGAAAAGGATAACACTAATCGGCTGGCCCTCCACACACCGGGTAGTAGCACATAATAGGTGCTTAATAAATGCACATACTCACTCATGAGCTCTCTCACTTTGTCTCTCTCTCTCTCTCTGGCAGAATATTAACTAGTCTAAGCAATAAGGTCCCCCAACCGGTTTCACCGCAAAGAAATCTGACCAACCTGCCCCTGGCCCTCTGCTTGGTGCCCATAAACCACCATCTTGGTAAGGGATGAAGGGTTCATGGCAGACTGGGCTGTCCCCTGCTGGCAGAACCAGGTACTGTCTCTCTCTGTGCTCTCTTAGATCATCCTCACCCAAAAGGAGCCTGGCTAGGACACTATGATCAGGGTATGGTTCTGGAGGCAACACTGCTGGCCTGACCACTGGGCTGGGCTCACTCAGCCCGTCCCCCCTCTTCCCTTAAGAGGCAGTGTCCAAGCACCATCGTCCACACAAACAATCAGCGTCCCCCCCTCAGTCCCTTCGTACACTTCTACAGGTCTGTGACAGTGACAGCACCCTGGGCTCCAATGGGGCCGATGCAGGCTGACGCAGGCGGGGCCAAGGGAAGCAAGGGCACGTGTACCTTGGTGATACTGTGGGCTCGGAGGCCGGTCACCACCCCGAGCTCCTGCAGCTTCTGCCCGATAAGAGCCAGCATGTGGTTGTAAATGTTCTCCAGGCTCTTCCCAGGGCGGCAGAGGGCCAGGCATGCCTTCTGGATGTCCAGCACAGCTTCATAGAGGTCTGCCTGGGCCGCAGAGAACCTGCAGAGAAGAGAAAGGGCCACTTTGCCACCACCAAAATGGAACAGGGGAAAATGTGGGTCAGTGGAAAGAATTAGCTTTCAAGCTTGAAGAGGGGCGAGGATGGCCGGAACACCAGTGATGACTGGTGTTGTGGAATCTGAGGAAAGGGTTCTAGATTTGGGGCCAGAAAACTGGGCCTCTCAGCAAGGTCCCAAACCATGTTACCTATGTGACCACAGGCAAATCCCATAATCTCTCTGGACCTCAACTGCCTCATGTGTAAAAGTAGGAAGTCAAACTCGATGACTCTAAGGTCCTTCCCTGACCCAAATCCAGGTTCTCATACAGCATGAGCTCCTTAAGAGCAGAAGTCCTTCATTCATGTTTCTGTATCTCCCATACCCAGCAGCACCTGGCACACAGTAGGTGCTTAATGAATGCTTGCTGAGTGATCCTATGAATAAACGTCATACCACTATTCTGCTTTCAGTGCCTTGAAAGGGAGAGCCTTGCCATCACCAGGAGCTGGGAACCAACTTCTAGGGTGATGACAACACTGGGGACGTCCCTCTGTGTTCAATGCCCCTGAGACTTCCAGTTTCCGTACTGGCTCCTTAGAGTGGGAGTGAGACTCCCAAAATGAGCTGGGAATCCAAGTTCCAGAGAGCTATGAATGGGGCCTGGCCCTGCCGCCAAAACTACTGGGCGAGGGGTGGGCGCGATCCCCCACCAGCTTAGGTCTCCTACTTTGTCTGGTCCGCCTACTTGATGATGCTTGAGCTCCATCCCCACTGGCGCCATGTTGGTCCCAGGGCCTACCTTCCATTGACTGGCCAGGTGCGGGTAATATCGCTTGCGTAGCCAGCAGATTCGCAGCCGCCATCCAGCAGCACCATCTCCCCATCCTGCAGGGGAGGAGGGAAAATCAGACGGAGAGGCGGGGTGAGGTGTGTTTCCAGGCTGACCTAGGACAGCACTTTGTTCTCTCAGTCTGTGCTTTCTTTTTTCTTTCAATGGGTCCGATTTAAAGGAAGGAGAATCTTTCCTGGGCCTGACCAAGAACAGACACATTCTGCTGAGTTTTCTGCTACTTCTATTCTGCCTAAATGAGCACGTTTCCAGCCCTTCTCTGGACCCTCTCGCCCACTGTCCAGTCCTGTCACACACACAGAGGTTGTCTTTCCCTTTCCTACCCACACTTTACTTTGCATCTCTGGTTTCCTTACTCCAACTTAAGCTGTTGGGGAGAGGTGGCAGAATTTGAATTTGGGCTCCCACGGGCCCAACCCTGCAGCTCCAGACTTGAAGATGAGTCTTTTAGTGATGGGGTCATTTGATGCCAACTGTGATGACACCATCACCCCCTGAGAAAACACCCATAACTCAGATCTAAGCAGTGCGAAATTATAGGAGAGCAAACCCACACTGCTGTCTGGAAGGCTTCTCACCTGCAACAGGCCTCTTCCTGGACCTGCAGCCCTCTCCCAACTCCTCCCCGTCCCTTATCCCTTCAGCTCCAGAGCTAGACGAGGGGCCGGCCATCAGAAGGAGTCAGGAAAAGATCAAAGGATTTCAGCCAACTGCCAGCTCCATAGGCCAGCGGCATCATGTGGGAGCCAAAGAAAATGAATGCCCCAGAGGGCATGAGGAGCCCAATGGCTTCCAGGCGGGGGAAGCCAGAGCCCCTTCTGTCCTCTGCCCGGTGGCCAGTGCTGAGGACCATAAGAGGGAGGACATGGAAAGCCTCAGAGGAGGGCGGCCTGAGTGGGAAAGAGCTATGGACAAGCAAAGATTCGGGGAGGGAACCCAACGGCTACGCTCCAGAGGGGCAGAGATGCAGCAGGAAAGGCTCAAAGAGGTATGGTCAGACTTGAGGTCAGGAAAGCCACCCTGGAAGGGGCTGCCCGGAGAGGCCTAGGGAGGATGGATGGCCATTTGTTGGAGCAGGGCCTCTTTCTGGGCAGGACCAGAGGAGACGGCCGGGGAGCCTCCTCAGCTCTGGGGCCTCACTAGTCCACAACCTGCTCTTGCCTGCGACCTATACCATGCGCTCATGTCCTCTGCTATCTTGGGGTAGAGCTGATGAAAGACCAGCCAGACACCCTCCGTGCTGGACTCGCGGCACCCCCACCACGGGAGCTATGCGGCAGCTGTGAATGCTGGCCAGCTCTCCCACCTTCTACAAAGCCCCTGGTGTTTCAGTTACTCTAAAGAATAAAACAAAGCTTCCTGAGAACATCGTCTCAGTTCTTCAACAGTGGAAAGAAGGTGGAGCTCAAGTGGGGCTCCCCAGGATGAGACGGGAGGTGACCTTTGCCCATCAGCGGCCACTGAAATGCCCGGCCTCCTACTGCCTGCCGGGTGTGAGTGCTGAGTGCCGAGTCTGCCAACGGGGCGATGGTCAACTAACGTGGTGACAAAAACGGGCGGATCAGCACATGCCAGAAGGTAGCCGAGGGATCATTCGGGCCCAGTCCGATCTGGGCATCCAGGACACTGAATCTAGAGGCCTAGCTCAGAGCCTCATGAGCTGGGTGACATGACCTGTCTGCACCTGTTTCTTCAGGTGTTCCCTCACCCACTAAGTGGGAGCAGCGCTCAAACTGCAGCTCCCCCCTCGCTCCCAGGGCGCTGGGAGCAAAGTACTCTGGGGGTCTAGGTCTCTACACACCTGGAGCCAACATGGGAGGAGTTTGGGGGGCAGTGGGCTTCAGGCTAGCGGGCCATCGAGTGCACGAGTGCTCCTTGGTGGCACCTATTGGACCTTAACCACCTCATCGCGCTGCCTCAGTCACACTGAGACCTGGGAAAGGCCAAGGTGCCCCACTGCATCCTGGGCCACCTGCCACCGTCCTGATCCACACCTGGCCACTGGACCCAGCCGGCTCTGGAGGAGACAGTGAGGCTGGTGACCCTGCACGGCCCTGCCTCACTTCAAGCCAACTCACTCACATGTCATGGCTTCGCCTCCCCGACGTCACGGGCCTTGTAAGAACACAGGCCAAACAGCAGCAGCAGCTCCTTGGTGGGATAGGTGGGTCCAGAAGGGGACCTCCCACTTACCTTAATAATCTGGTTGTTCTTTACATAGTGCAAAGTATTAGACCGGTTACCCCCGGCGATCACAGGCGGGTAGGCCAAGATGTCTGCACCCCGAGACCGACACTCAAATTCAAACTGCAAAAGTCACAGAGACTAGAATGAAGAAGGGACTTTGGTTCTTCTGTCCCTACTTAGCTCCCTTCTGGAGCACGAAGGCTGGACTTTATTCCACCATTTACTACCAGAATATCAGACAGGAGAACTCTCAGACCTCCCTCAAGCCAAGCCTCCATGGGAGGCGTCGTGGTACCTGGCACTGGGGCTGTGGGTCTGGGGTGGGCCAGGACTTGACCTAGAGGGGCTGAAGCAACAGGATCAAGGGGGGAGGGAAGAAGGGGGTACTCCCTCCACCCCAAACCGCTCACGCTCCAGTTTCAGGCCATTTTTGTTGGGGCCTCATCGAATGGCCAGAACGGCCAGTCATCCCCACCGAGCACTGGTTTGCTTAACTTTTGCATGCTTCCTTAAGAGGCCATTAGCAGCTCCCCTCCCGGTGTTCTCTTGTCCACACCCCAGAACTCGGCCTCTTTCAATGGCCCTATAATCACCCTGGCTCCCTTCCCCTAAATCCTCTACTCCTTCTCTTCTATGGTCCTCATCCTGGGAAGGGCAGAAGTGCCCCCAGCTCTATCAAGGGTGTAATGAGGGCAATTAGCGACCTCAGGGGAGAGAGGATGGACCTCTATTCAGGTTCCCCAGGCCTCCACGGGCTTACTTCTTAAACAATGGGGCAATGTGGACCGCTGACGCACACACGCCTCGTGACCTTTTCAGTCTTTCAAATGGCCACCAGCCTACTCTTTTCGGGGGAGTAAAAGCTGATGCTGGGCAAGTCATCAAAGGCACGAATTTCATTAAAGCAGTCCCTGGGAAGCCAGGGCCAGGGGAACAAAGTGCTGTTGCTTAGCTGGGCTGTGCCCCAAGGCTGGTCCGATAAGCTGTAATTTGGCATTCGTCAGAACAATGTTTTCTTCTTTTCCAAATACACAACCGGCCACTTGGGTCAACTCCACTGTATTTTCCGGTTCTTAGGATGTATATAACTTCCTAAGTGTATAGGTGTTATTTCCTTAATTGCAAAAAGGAGGAGAATCCCTGTTCTCAGGCCCCTCCCAGTCCTGACATTCCATGTTCTCAGACCCTCCCAGTCCTGATATCCCCTATTCTAAGCTCTAAGACTCCATGAAGCTCGCTCGCCCACTGCCCACCAGCTCAAGGTTATCTGCAAACTCCTGAAGCTTACCTTTCAGTAATCCCTTCTCTCAGTGAAACACCCACCTTTGCATAAAGAAATGCTTCATCCACTGGGGCTTTGCTAGCAAACATGGTCTCTATAAAAGCCTGCCAAAGGAAAAAGGGAGAAATACAGTTTTCTTTTATCCAATACGTCACTTCCTGTGCTACACAGCTGCAACACCAAGAACCAGTCCTTCCGTTCTCCCGGGGCCCAGATGGGACACAGCGAATCCACCATGGGCACTGAGCCGGAGTTGAGAAGGCAGAACGTTCTTTCCAAAGGTGCCTAGCACACCTGCACTGGGAATGCCACAAGCACTGGGCCTGGGTCAGAAAACCTGGCTCTGGTCTTCCTTTTACTGATTAACTGCTGAGTGAGCTAAAATGAATCTACTTCCTGATCTGGAAAGGGGGAACAGCATCACTTGGCTCATCTTTTAAAAGATCTTAGTTGTACTGATGGCCCTATCTCCTTTCAGAGGGTTACTGTGGGGACCAAGTGAGCTAATGAATTCACACCCATCCACAATGCAACTGAACAAACATTTCAGGAGTAGCCACCATGTTCCAAGCAACAGACTGGGTAATGGGGACACCCAGGTAGGCACTGTCTTGGGCCTCAAGGAGTGCACAGGACCCACACCCTGGTCACTGCAGCACCAGCTGGGGGAGATGATGACAAAGGAGAGAACCAGACAGACCTCCAGGAGGGCGCCTGCTCCAGGACGAGCGAGCGGCTGCACAGTCTGAAGGGGACCTTGAAGAGGAGGGCCGGCAGGGGAGGCGTGCCTTCTGAGAATGCAGATATGGGAGGGGGGGAACAGGCCGCCCTGTGGGGCTGGAACCCAGGGGATGTACAAGGAAATCAGGTCAGACACAAGGCAGGGCTCAGCCTGGGGAAGGCCTCGGACGCTACCGTCGTTCCCCAGAGGTCACACGGGATCCTCCAGGTAAACAGAAGGGAACCACCAAAACCTTCTGTGCAGAGCAGTACTGATGGGTGAATGGCAAAAGCCCTGCAAAGGCGAGGCAAATATCACAGTGAAAGGACGGCCAACTTTCCAGTAGTGCGCACACTCCTCAGTGGAAGAGGCCACGTGAGGCCGCACAGGCCTCTCTCCTAACCCCGTGCCGCGAGGGCAGACGGTCATTCCTGCGGCTTCCAGAATGGCACCCCCGCTTCTTGGGAGGTCATGTACTCCTCCCAAGACTTCACAACAGACATACACCACGGCGGTCTGTGTCCACAGTGCAAAGGGTCAGTCTGGGGGCCTGGCCTGTGGTCTCACTTTGTCTCTTTACAGTCATTCCTTGTCACAGTGACAGATGCAGAGAGAGAGATGGTATAACCCATTACAACTGCCAGACAGACGCTGGAGAGTGAAGTCAATGGAGGGAGCCAGTGGGGGGACGCCTCTCCCGGGAGAGCGGGTCTGTGTCAACACAAGCCAGACAGCACAGGGAGATAGATGGCAAGAGCTCCGAAGCTCCGGCTGATGCGTCCAAGTAAGGCTGGCCCTCAGGAGGGGGCAGGGGAAAGGTGAGCCTCTCGAGGCCTCGCAGCAGAATGCCCTTTGCCTCGTTTGTTTTCAATATGGTCTCTACAAGATGCTTGGCATGAACGGTGGCTCAGAGACAAGATGTCCTATCTAGGAACTATGGCATTTTCTCCCATTAATGACACTTCACAATGAAGGGACAGACACAACTTCAGCATCCCTGCTGCCCTCTGCCCAGATCATCACAGCCCTGCCCTTGGCACCTGGCTAGGGGCTAGATGCGTCTCCAATACTATTTTTAAATACATCTGGATTTCTTCTCCTGGGTCAGTCAGTCCACAAGCATTTGGTAGAGGCCTTCCTGTGTGCATCATATGGAATGGATTCCTTCCCTAGCTCTGCTGTTTACTAACCTTAGAAGCTTCCTTCTCTAGGCCTCAGTTTCCTCATTTGTAAAATGGGGGGAGGGGGCAGGACTAGCTGAGTTCCAAGTTCTCTCCTCCCATCTCTCAATCCTAGGAGCTCTGCCCTTTCTTGGACAAGGGATGATGGGGCTAGGATTCATGCTATGAGAAGGGTTTCAGCTCCACAACTCTGGGTCATCGTCCCCCACCCCCGCCAGCAATTCTTTGACTCTAGTATTGTCTTCGGATACAGAGACAGGCGGCGTGTGGAGGAAGGGACAACTGCTCAGGGGCTCTAGTGAGCAAACCCACAAAGGAACCCAGAGGAGGCAGATTTCAGCTGATCATCAAGAGATCTGGGGCCCCCAGGCTTGTCCAACCCCCCCAAAAGGCCTCCCGATCCCCAGCTCCCGGGCATAGGAGACACCGTCTCAGAAGTCTGGGCCCGGTCCATACCTGGGACGTCAGCCGCCCAGCGCCCTGCAGGAGCGCTATCTCGGCAGGGGATTTGACGAGCCGAAGGCGCTGCACCAGGTGCCGGACAGCTCGCACCCTGTTTCTGCTGCCGGCTTTGGCCTCTGTCACAGGCTTCATGTAGTCAGAGTGTAGCTGGGCATGGGAGGGCTTGGTCCAGTCATACCAAACTGTACTTGTCTCCGCTTCCAACAGAAAACCAAAGAAAACCAGAGGCAGAGAGAAGAGTCACAGAAAGATAGCAGAATCGCAAAGGGCTGAATGACACAAAACTCCCCTGGGACTGGGCCGTGGTGGGGCACGCTCTCCGTCACGGGTCTTTGTAGAGGTGACAGTCGGGTCATGTGCTCTAGAACTAGGGATCCCTCCTTGCTGGTGATCTGTCCAACCTCATGTCATCCACACAGCTAAGCTGGTGGTAGTGCTGAGGCTGGGGTGCCGGTGAGGATGAGAAGTCAACTGAGCAAATGGGACCCTTGAGTCTGAGAGATGCCATGCCCTCCCAAGGGGTCTTTCTGTGCGGGGGGCGGGGAAGCTTTCTTATTAATTATTCTGGGAGAAATTCTTCTCCAGAACTGCTGTGGCAGTCTAGCAGGGGGACGCCAACTCCCACGTCACCCTTCCCTTCTAGGCCAATCTCGAAGGATTGGGAGAGGGAGGTGCTGAGGCTGAAGAAGAGAATGCTGGCTCCCAAGTCGGGAGGGCCTCGGGTCACAATGTGCCGTTGGTATTCAGCGGCTGGGTGACCCCGAAGGCCCTTCTGGGTTGAGAGCTAGGCTCCTGGGACAAGACACAGTGACAGGGCCAGTTTTTCAAATGGTTTTTCTGAGGAACTGTGACCGGGTTTTTGCCCATATGAGCAGACAACCCTTTCTCCCATTCCAGTGCAGGACGTATGGCAGCTGCCCTCGCCTGACAAGCTCCCGTTTGGACCACTTGGGGGCACGCGAGCTAAGCGTGTCTTCTAACGCACACCCACCCAACGGAGAGCCCCAATCGCAGAGAGAGGTGGAAGGGACGAGACTGCACGTATGCTCAACTTTGCACCCAAAGAGAAATAAGCCTGGCCCTCTCTGGCTTCTTCCACCATGGCTCAGGGTACAAAATCACTGCCCAATTAATACAGCCTTGAGAGCCCTCAGGCAGTGAACATCAAATAAGTTCTATTTCATCCACCTTTCAATTTTCTTAATAGCTCTGCCAGAAGATCGATCAATCACTTCTGGGCTCTCAAGGGGGAAAAAAAAAGGGGGAGATCCTGTCCCTTTCTGTCTTTACAGGTGCCATCCACCAGGTCACCAGCACAGTCTTGGTCCTGTGGGGCAGAGAAAACCTGCCAGAAGCTCGACTTTAGGTGGTTAGGGATCTAGTGGGATCTCTAAGGGATCTGGTGACTCAGATCCCAAAGGGAAATGAGGACCAAGTGGCAAAAGGGGCACTAGCACCAGGTGCCCTGGGGCCGGCTACCGCGTCCTCTTGGTACCTTTCAGTTTGGGAAGCAGATGCTTGAACTCCTCCAGAGGGAAAGCTTCATCCACACCAGTGAGAGCCACGGCTCCGTCAGCCCCCGAGCGTGGCCCGTCCCAGAGCTCCCGGCTGGGATCCCTCCGAGGGACAAAGAGCACAGCTCTGTGGGCAGGGAGCTCCTTGCCGGGGAGGCTCTGGAGGACCAGGATGCTGTCGGGCTCCTGGAATCCACAGAGGTACAGGAAGTTATTGTCTTGGTGGAAGGTGTAGGGGATATCATTGCTCATGTAGAATGTGGGGTTGGAGAGCAAGACTGCTGTGTGGTCTGTCCCACCCTGGCCGCGGGCTTCGCTCTGGATCAAGGCCATCAGCTTGTGTCTGCGCAGAGCGTACTCCACCTGGGACAGTCCTGGCGTCACCTCGCCTAAGGATGACAAACAACAAGATTCTGCGTTGATGGAGAGCCACGTCACAGAGGAGGCCGCCCGAGGAGGCCGTGGACAGGGATGCCTCCCACTCCCTCGTCCGTCCGCTCTGAGAGGCTGCTACCGCCTGACAAGCTGGGGGAGAGCCTAGAATGGAGAGAGAGAGAAAGAGGGAGGGAGGGAAGGAGAGAGAGAGGGAGAGAGAGAGAGGGAGGGGGAGAGAGAGAGAGGGAGAGAAAGGGAGGGAGGGAGAGAGAGGGGGAGAGAGAGAGAGAGAGAGAGAGAGAGAGAGAGAGAGAGAGAGGGGGAGAGAGAGGGCAAGGGCACTGGTCCCCACAGGCCTTGATACCAGGCAGGCTCCCAACATCACCTCTAGTCTGACCATTCCAAAACGCCTGGCTCTACTGAAAGTCAAAAATGTCCTTCCAAATTCCCAAATTGTCTGGTTGGGGAGAGGCTTACGTTCCGTGCACAAGTTTGGTAGCTCATAGCCCAGCAGAGACAACAAGGGGCTACCTGAAGCACAGCTCGATGTGGCCTGGATCCCGGGGGATGCTCCTGAAGCTGCCTGCCCCAGCTCACTCACTCCACCTTCCTTACCTTGAAGGTTTCAGATCGCAGCACAAATTATCATCAAGCAGCTACAGCACACCTCCTGAGAAAATGCCAACTAAAGAAGGGGACTATGGGGGGGCATCTGGGAAGGCTTTCTTAAAAATTTTCAATGAATGGAACTGCTTGTTGAAGGGGGAAGAAGGGCATGACCGATTCCCCCTGAACCCCCCCGGGCGTTACCTCCCTGTGGAAGGGCCTCCACTGGCTCGCTTCTCACTACTGAATAAAATCCAGATTCTTCAGTTTAGCCGTCAGGGCCTCTATCAGCTGGTGATATTACCTACCTAACCATCTCGCTACTGCCCAAAGTGGTCCCTAAAGTCCATCCTGGAAGCCTCCTTACTGCCCTTATCCACGTGGGAATTGTCTTCAGGAATCTTCTTTAAAAATGGCGTTACCTGGATCTTAGCAACCCATTCTCTGGGGAAGGGGGACCTAGGGAAAAGGGCCCAGTAAAAGCCCATGGTTTACTGGCACCAGGCAGCACCCTCTCTATTTGCTCTCTGCTCATGAACTGGAGCAAGAATTTGGTGGAGGACCACGCTGCTAAGGATTCCAAGCTGCCAAGGATTCCTACCGGAGGAGAAAGACAGATGAAACTCAGGAGGCGACTGTGATGGGGTAGACAAGAGGAGCCGTAGGTGGCAGTCGGGGCAAACGGCTGGAGAAGACAGCTTCACCAGCACGGGCAGGATTCGCCACGGGAATCTCAAGATCCAATGTGCTTCTGGCCAAACGACCAGGCCAGAAACGAAGGGTCAAGAAAGCTTCACCAGGTGCCTGCCGCAGCAGCGGGGAAACCTCTAAGGAGACAAGGCAAGGCCACAGACACCCAGGCCCTCGGCTTCAGGCTAGGACGAGGGAGGTACGTACAAATTCCTTGAGGATCAAAAATCCCGGGGAAAGCCATCTGATGAGGAACTAAGGACTGAGGACACAGGTTTCTGGAGGGCTGGAGGCTGCAGAGCGTGGTCAAACCAAACTAACTGGCTAAAACCTTTGAACCAGTGTTACCATCAAAGGGTCCAGCAGCCAGGCTCGAGCCAGCTGACCCTGAAGCTAAGAGCCAGAGCGAAGGTGGGGGCAGTGGGCCCGACTTCGCAGCTCCCTGCCTTCCCTTACAGGCCGTGGTGACGAGCAAACAAAACCAAGTCTGTCAAGCGCTCTAGGAACGTCTGCTCTCATTCACTATTTATTCTCACTCACCTCCCATCCCCATCTCCTCTATCTCCTGGGTATTTCCTAGAGAGAACTGACCAAGCCTCTGACTTCACTGACCGCACCAAGGGCTCATTCTCTGACCTCTCCCTCCATCCTCTCCTTCAGCCACAAAGGAAAAGACGTCCCTAGTTTTCTTTAAGACTACTCAATCAATCTCTGTTCTCTCTCTGCAAGGGGTCTCAGAGGCCACTGAGCCTAACACTTCTATTCTATCACGAACCAGGCACAGAGCAGCTACTAGGGGCCAAAGCTTGGAAGGGGCTAGGAGAGGACCTCAGGCCCTCCAGGCCCCATGCCCTGTGCTCTAACCACTGCTCCACTAAGCCTCCAACCCAACCTCCTCCCAAGGCCTTAATCCAGAAATCAGTTCCCTCTTTTTTTTCACTTGTATCGCCCAGGGCTGGGAGGCTCCTGTGAGCTAATCTCTGCAGAGCACTGAGTGCCCGTTATCAGAATTATTATTGTTATTATGCTCTCTTCCTGCCTGGGCTCCTGCACTATCCTGGTTCTTTTTCCTCCTCCTCTCCCTCTACTATCTCACACCTCTGGCTGATGACTGGAGCCTGAGCCGTCAACGAATGAGTTCAACCCCGTCGTTTTAGAGATGAGGAAGCCGAGGTCCTGAGACTTCAGGTGACGTGCCCAGAAGTGATGTGGGTTTCTGCTGAGACATTCACATGTCCACACCTCCCCTTGTATAACGTGGGCCCCAGAGGATCACACAGCAGCCCCTAGAACCGGAGGGGGCAATGACTTAGCATCCAAGGAGCCCAGGCCTAGAGTGGGGAGGGGCATCAGAAACCATGGACCTCGTCATTTTCAGGAGACGCGACAGGCCCAGGGAGGCTGGCCCGTCACGTCACAGGTGGAATCTGAACGTAAGCCCTCTGACTTCACGCGGATTGTCCCTAAGAGGGTCAGGTCCCAAGGCTGACTGGACTTCCCTTCTGATTACCCCTCTCCTTCAGCACCGATGCCAATCCCCATGACGACTCTCGTGTCATCTCTGATTTTCCCACCTGTCTCCCTTCTTACGCTCATGGGGCTGCCAAGGCCTCTCAGGCCATCCAGTTCCATCAGCCCTGCCAACAAACACCCCTGCAGCACCCGGCGAAGCACCTGGCTTCCATCGTTGGCCCAGGGTTCACATCCTACCCCCGCCGCTTCCTGCTTGTGCCACCTAACCTCTCTCAGACCAAGGTGGGAAATGGACAAGAGGGCACTCTTAAGCCCCTGGCACTCGCCTGCTGCCATAGGGCTGGCTCAGTGCTGACCTACCCTTTAAAGCCAATTCCAACAGCCCCTCCCCCAGCTAAAGTCATCTTTTCTTCCTCCAGTTTCTTACTGGGATTTTCTGGAGATTTCTCCATTGCACACATGCTGTTCTGCCCTCTACACACTTCAGCACAATGTCTTCCTACATAAACATCTGCTGACGCAGTCACTAAAGCCTGCACACACGCCTGTCTCCATCTCCTCTGCGCGCCCCTGGCAGGGGGCCTGGCCCGTCACGGGCACTGTGAAAGGTCAGACGAATCGACTCCACGGTCATCTCTCCTTTCATGCCCTTCCCTCACAGGGTCGTCACTTCCCTATCCTGGGCTTCACCGTCCCTTTGCTGTAGCGGGCATCCAACGGCCACAGATGCCCGTGCCCCTCCTGGGTCCCTCCTTCACATCCATGGCCAGCTCTGTCGGCCAGCACAATCCTCTGGCTGCGGGGGAATGACTGAGACAACGGGATCTTCAGCGGGCAGCACTGCTTTCTCCCTACAGAGAAGGCACCTGACTGATGGCACCTGAGATTTGCGTCCTGTGCTAGCTCAGCCTGGGGCCAGTGGACCGTACTGTCCAAGGCCTGGTCTGACGTGGATAAGCAGCGTGCTCACCAGAAGGTGGCCACTAGGGAGGCAGTAATAACAGCAGCCAGCAAAAACTTCACAGATCATCCCCTCTGATCCTCACGACATCCCCAAGAGGCAGGGTTACTCCAAATTCACAGATGAGAAAACCGAGGCAGACGGGGTGAAGTGACTTGCCCAGGGTCACACAGCAGGACTAGTGCTCTATGCACTATCGCGGCACCTATCAGCAAGACAGTGAAATAGACAGTGAACTGGCCTGGAGGTCAGGAAGACAAGAGGCCGTCCTGAGCCATATGACCCTGGGGACTACAGTCACCTCCCAGACCTTTCTGTGCTCATTGAGAAATGACAACGACAATACTTGACCCTGAACAGTACACTTCAGATTTGTCCTGCGTGCCTTGAGGCAGCATGGTGTAAACAGCGGGTTCAAATCCTCTTTCCAACCTTACCGGGTGATTCTAGGCAAGTCAACCTATCTACGGCTCAGTTTCGTCATCTGCAAAAGGAGGCAGGGGCCTCCGTGGTCTCTACAATCCGTGATGCTCAGAATCGTTTCAACTGCTTTATTGTAATTTCTCCTAGTACTTCGCAGTATCAGAAGTTCACGATGGTTGCTCAAAAAAAGGAAAAAATGCCCCTTCCCCAGTAAACGTCTCCTGAGACAGAGGCAAGATGGAGACATGTTCCCATACAGACGGCAGCAAACAAGCCCCCAGCAGGCAAAGAACACACACCCGCATGCACACATCACAGGAGACTGGTGGAATACAGGAAAACTGAGGTTGAGGCAACTGGAGAAAGAGCCTCGAAGGCCAGGCCAGGTTGAAGAGCACGGGTTCGGAGGGATCAAAGGTCTTTCTTCTCCCTTGGGATGGACATCATTAAGAATTCACCTAGAGAGCTCAGGCTCCAGACATCTCTCTTGCTCTGGAGCTGAAGAATGGAACTTTTCTCCCCATCCTCCCTCCCAATCATTATGTCTGGCTCCAAAGGATGGACTTTGCCACTGCAGAGACACAGAGGACTTTGCACCGCAGAATGCGGGGCTCCAGACTGTTCTTAATCCAGACGGTGGTTCTGTACTTGGTGGCTTGTCCAGACACTTGGTTTTTCTCCTTTTCCTTCTCATCTCTATTTGCCTTTGGGTCATTTCATTGACCTTTTCTCTTCTGTGACCTGGAGAGAGCCAGGCACTCGTAACAGAAGAGTCACCCTGGAGAATGCGGCTGCACGGAGGTTTCTGGGCTAGCTGTGAATTTCATTTATCCATGTTCTTTACCTCCGATTGTCATTAACAACAGAACTGACCGCATAAGCTGGAACACACTGATCAGTCACTTAATATGTTCAGCCACTGCGCTAAGTGCTGGGGGGAGAAAGGAAGAAACCAGTCCCCGCCTTCCGGGACCTTAAAATCTAACAGGAGACAACATGCAAACCACAAGATACGGACAGGATCAATGGAAGGAAGTCTTAAGGAGAGGCACTGACATTGAGGGGGGAACCAAGAAAAGCGTCTGACAAAAGGTGAGATTTTAGCTGGACTCGGAGGAAGCCACGGGAGCCAAGATGCAGCAGAGAGGAAGCAGGGACGTCCAGGCACAGGGGCAAGGCGTCAGAAGTGGAGAACCCAATTCGAGGGAGGCTTACAGAGACAGTTTTGATATCCTTCCATTTCCTTTAAGCACATATATACGTCTGGAAAAGACCACCCAACATCAGAGCTGGAAGGAGCCTGAAGGATCATCCACTCCAACCCTTTATTTTACAGAAGAGGAAACTGAGGTTTCATGGAGGCGACCCACCCAGACTCCCAAAGCTGATTAGTGGCAGAGCGGAGATCAACTAAAGCCCTCGAGTATAGCACAGCACTCTAGCGGAGGCCTATGCTGAGGCTGGCAGCTATGGCCCAAAGGCACTAATTATTAGCTGCACACTTCCCATTTAAAAAAAAAAAATTAAAGTCCAAGTAATCACAAAATCATATAAGGCAAAGGACCCTGGTTCTTTTCATTTAAGGAAAAAGGGAAAAAAAAGGCTGAGACAAGAAACTTTAACCTTAGCAGCAAATTGGGCCATTTTTACATCTGGACAGTGGACTGAAAGTCCCAACGCTGTTCTTGGATGCATTCCAGCTGATAAGACTGCAACCGAGCAGGCATTCTCCCACCTTATCAAATCATAAATGGGTTCTAAAGTGTAAAGAACCAAAAGTCTGGGAAGCAAGTAGGGGTGACCAGGTGAGGAAGACTACGACTACGCTTGTTTAACCAATCCAAGGGTTATATTTGGGAAGCCTCCCCAGCAGAGGGTGGACAGCTTACAAGCCAGCCAGGGGCTCCTCCAGGACTCCCAAAGTCACACTCAGCAGAGCAAAGAAATCATTTCTCCCGATCTCATCTGAGGAGAGACTCTCCAAAAGTTTGGAAACAGGCCAAAGGTATGGGCCCCTCTGGACAACGGCTTCCTGTGAGTGTGTCCTGAGGCAAGGTGGGCCGAGAGTTTTATCAAGCATGCTCTGGACCAAGGAGACGGTGCAAGACTTTTAAAGGTACGCTCTTCAATACTGGGTGATTGAAAAAATGTTTCCTCTAATCATTCTGCACATTCAAACTTTCGCTGTATCTGCTTATGGAAGTCGTCACACTGTGCTTAATTTATCACAAAACTACCAGGGGGAGAGGAGCAAAAAAAAAACTATCAAGGTTTCTCTTACCAAGAAAAACACGAACTATTTGAAAATGTAATAATGAAATGTGGAACATTTTTAAAAATCAGACCACATTTGATCCAGTGTCTTTTTCTTGGTATTACCATTACATTTTCAAGAATACTGTCTTGAACTCACAATGGAAAATGCTATCCACATCCAGAAAAAGAACTATAGAGTCTCAATGTAGATAGAAGGAGACTATTTGCTCTCTCACTCTCTCTCTCTCTTTTCTGTTTCTTCTTTCTTGTGGTTCCTCCCATTGGTTCTAGTTCTTTACAATATGACTAATGTGAAAATGTTTAATATGAATGTATATGTAGAGCCTATATCAGATTGCACACTGTCTTGGTGTGGGGGGGAGGGAAAGAAAATTTGGAACTCAAAATCTTACAGACATGAATGCTGAAAACTAAAAATAAATTAATTTTTTAAAAAAGGATACTGTTTTGATAAAAATAAAAATTCCTCTTTTCAGCTAAGACTTAAAGACTTAAACTTCAGGTAAGACTTTTCAGCTAAAACTTAAGGGAAATCTGTCTGGGAAAAATCTGGTAGAAAAAGGATTTCCACTTCTCTTTAGAGAGAGAACAGAACATTTTTGCCTGCTCAGGCTTGAAGCTGGCCATTCGATGTCAGGAATGGAGGAAAGCAGCACAGTTCCCCCACTAAGAGTCCGTATTGTGGGAGCTCTCCCTATTTTATAGATGAAGAAATTGAGGTAAAAGCATTTGCTCAGATTTTAAAAGTTCGCAAGCATCTGAGCCTAGCCAACAGCTCCTCCTGACTCCACTGCGCCCCCTAGCTGCCTATGGCTTTACAGCCTGATGAGGACTTCATTTTTCCCTTCTAGCAACTGAAAAAGGCCAGCACGGAAGGGGAACCAGTGGCCATATGTGGCCCTCTACGTCCTCAAATGGGGCCCTTTGACTCAATACAAACTTGACAGAACAAATCCTTTGGGGATTTTAGGGCTGCAGGTTCCCCACCCCTGAAAGGCTTTTTCAAGTGACAAAAGCCTTTACTTTTTCTTATTTATGCTCTTCAGAGAGCCCCCCAAAACTCTAAAAATTCTGAACGCAATTCTCTTCACCTGTCCCTTCCAAGAGCTTTGGTTTACTTCAAAAGTGAGGTAGGGAAAGCGGGGTGAAGGGGAATCACCTAACTTTAAAATTCCTATATTTAAGAGACCTTAAAAAAAAGGGTCTATCCTTTTTTAGTCAAACTAATATGGTGATTTTTAGACCTGGAAATGACACTTAACATGCTTGCTACACTTCCATTTTTCTTAAAATCCCTCCTCCACCAATGGATTCAAAGTTTCCAAAAACTGTACTTCTCTGAAGTAAGGCAGAAAACAAGTCAACAGCAGGAAGGCCAGGCGTGGGCCTGCATCTCTGCCTCTGCAATGTCTTTAGCTGGATGACTTTCCCAGGCTCCAACGTGCTCTGGCCTCCTACCTTTCAGGTTGGAGCTGTCATTGATCCACACAACACTACCCCCTTCTTTCCAGCAGAGGGCAGCAACAGGCCCAGGGCCCTGCACATGGCCTCAGCAGAGCAGATTCTCTACAAGCGTACTTTTTCTAAAGCACACACACACTCTTGTAACACCCACTTGCCACCTTCACAATACGACTGGTTATTAGGTGAAGGGTCCAGGAAATGCAGCTCACCATCTGAAAGTCCCTGGCCACAAGAAAGCAATGGTTTTCAAAGCATCTTGGGAGAGAACGAGTTAACTTGATAGCGGGTCAATGACTTTTCGCTTTACCTTCCAGCTTTCTTGCATGGTGAGCTGTGATTCCTGAGGCTCAGACGACTTCCCAGCAAGAGTTCCAGGGCCAGCCCTCTGTGAGAGCCACCCTGGTGCCCTTCCCTGAGTGGAGACAGTCAAAGAGAGAGCCACGAGGGTAGAGGCAGCTGACTTCATTCACCTGCTCACACATCTGCTCAGGAGTGAGTGTGAAGCCCACCCTGGCTGGGGGGCAGCTATGTGCCTGACTGTTTAACAAGCAGTGACTGAGGAGAGGCTGGAGGCGGCCACAGCAACAGCGAAGGGAGGCCACGGTTAGCGGTGGCAGCCCAGGCTCTTTCCAAGGGCCCCCACTAGTGATCAGAATTTGGGACTATCAGGTGAGATGCTTATTGTGCACAGATGGTAAAGGACTCAAATGAGAAACAAAGAGGCGCCAACACTAACGGACAAGCATTTATTAAGTACCTACAGCGTGCCAGGGACTGTGCTAAGTGCTGAGAATACCAAGAAAAGGCAGAAAACACTCCCTGGCCTCAAGGAGCTCAAGGCCTAATGGGGGAGACAACAAATATAAATCTGTAGTCAAAAACATGAACTTGAAAAAATGGACTAAATATTTCTTTGCCAATGGATGATGCTAATTGTAAACAAAAAACTAAACCACAAACCCAAAACAAAAATCGTCTAGACAACGAGATCATTATTATTGGAAGGTCCCTTTAGGGCCAGAACACACAAGGTACTGAAGTGGAACTAGAACGAAAAGCCAGGTCTTTCCCCTAGTCTCGCCTCCTGGCACACACCAGGCACGCTCCAGCCAAAATGGAGCCCTCGCTCTATACCAGCTCCCTGAAGCCTTCTCCTCCAGCTCAGCTCAGGACAGCTCTGGACTGCAGGGGCAGCCCTGACAACTTTTCCCATCTGTGCATGTGGAAGATGCCTAGCCCGCTCTCCAACAGACAGGAAGCTCCTTTAGAACAGGGACTCCTGGTTCCTGCAGCCACAGCATGGACATCTCAACACCAAACTATGTGATGCCCCACAAAGAAAATGATGTCGACTTGGCCACCGAACTTGCAGGGGTTACAATCAGATAGCACGCTGTCTTCCACTGAACATTTTGCTCCTCATCTCCAGCCTCCATTCCTTTGTCCCCAGGCCTAGAATGCTCCCCTCCCACCCTGGAGGAAGATTCCTTCCTGCCTCTGGAGGCCTCTCAAGGCCGCTAACTGTCAGCCTCCCCGGGGGGCCAGGCTGTTTCAGCCTGTACTCTGAATGCCCAGAGCCTAGAACAGGGCAGGTGCTCATTTAGCAAATGATTACTGGTCAGATGCTGCGGTACAGGAGAGAGAGCTGTGGAATGAGAACCAAGCAACCTGGGCCCCTTTTCAGCCTGTCTGATGTCTTCCTGTCCACTTGCTCTGGGTTCCACCCCTCCCCTATCCTTTCCCTGTTTCCTCCTATGTAAAACAGGCACCCCTCAAAGGGCTTCAGCAGAGCAAGCCCAGCAAGAAAGGCCTCCACTGGGAAACACACAGAGGCTCAAGCTCCCAATGTGTTACTACTAAGCTGTTACTAACTTTAAGGGAAATATTTTATACCTTTCAAAGTCGGATGTAATTTCTCCTTTCCACAAAAACTTACCTCCCACCTCTAATTAGTATGAATTCACGGGGTTTTAGTCTATTTGTGTTCTGGACCAAATACTCATTTGGGGAGATTATTCCTTTGCAGAAGAGCAGTCCTTACCTGGTCTGAGAAGGTGTGGGTGTGTAAAGGGGCTGGGCTGCCCTAGATACCGGCTGGGAATCTTCCTCTCCGGAATGGGCTGGAGGGAGAACCTCCTCGGTAAAAAGGGTGTGTGTCCTAAGGAAACAGTAGAGAGGATGAAGGAAAATAAATAGGTCTCCAGAGTCTACAGTCAACCAATGAGTATTTATGGACTGCCTAAGGACGTGCCAGGCCCTGGGATAGGAAAAAAGGAATGGTGCAATCCTACTCTTGAGCTTACATTCTATCCATATATGCTCCAAGCAGTTGGGGAACTTTACTCAGAGGGAAAATTGTTCAGTAAGCTTTCTCCCCTACTCTTAGACCAAGAATTTAATTTGCTTTAGCATGAAACCAAACAGCTCAATAACAATGTCTACTGTCTCAGAACCAGCCTAGACCAGTCCAGAGAGGCCCAGCACCAGGATGGCGGCATTCTTCTGCCACAGACACTCCAGATATGCTTTCACAAGGGAAGGGGATAACCAGAAGACACTGGAAGCACTGGATGGTTTTAGGAGCCCTAGGCTAGGAGCCAGGAGTCTTTGCCATTTACTGTCAGCTAGGAAACCCTGAAAACCTTAACTCACTGGCCAGCTAAGAAATGTTCCTTATCATTCCTACAGTGTCATAGAAATGAGCTGTTTATTGCTAATCTCTGCTAAGTCATAATGATAAACACAATATTGACAACAGTTATAGTCTGGCTTCCCCAAAGCCCCCAGTGAAAGGTCATCTACAAAGCTGAATGAAGGTGGCTCCATGGCGGTGATCCCAGAGTGGGGTGGGGACAGGTCAACAAAATCCTGTTGTGGGGAAAGGAAAGATCATAGAGTTTAAGCTAGGAGGTACCTCAGAAAGGGTCTACACTCAACTGTGGTCTTCTGGAGAAGAGAAGATAGCTATGAAACTTTCTTTGGGGGAGGAGGAAGGGAATGGGAAAATCACATAAAGATGAGGAAGCTCTTGCAGGAAGACCAATCCTGACGTGGTGATACTCAAACAGATCTCATTAATTTAGGAGCTCCCTCCAATGACTCGTCCCCCTGTCAATTCTGGGGAACTCTTCCCAAAGAGAGGCAAGCCTTCCTCGATTTCTCCTGACACTGTACCAGCTGAGCTCTTTTTCTGTCCACTTCTAAGTTTGCATTCTTCTTCTCTGGCCATCTCTACACAATTCCATGGTGGTCCTTTACTCCTTTCTTCAGAGTTCCTAAATATTTATATGTATCACTGCCTATTCAACCCCACCACAGACCTCTGCACTGCCCTCCGGCTGATTTTCATTTCATTTGATTTCATTTTCTAGTTCTTTGGAGGCAGTTACAGTCTGGGTCACCCTCCATTCCTGGCTCCTCCTCCTCCCAGCTCCCCTCATTCATGTGTACAGTGTCCCCAATATAGAACGTGAGCTGCTTGAAGACAAGGACTATTTCATTTCTGTCTCTCCATTCCCAGCTTTTGGCACACACTAGATATTTCACGTCTGTCAAATGACTGAACTGTCATGAGGTTGGTCTAAAGCAAAATGGGTATGTAGATGGACTTCCCGGGGCTCATTTGCAGGATGTGGAGGAGCGTCACAAAGAAGGAAGCAGATAGGGCCCACATCCATGAGATCAGATTTGTGAATGTGGCAAAAATATCAAGAGAAGAAAACACCACCTTGAGCAAATCATTTAATTCGGAGCCTCAATGTACTTATTTTTTTTTTAAAGGTTGTTGTTTTTTTTTTTTTTTGGCCAGGCAATTGAGGTTTAAGTGACTTGCCCAAGGTCACACAGCTAGTACGTGTCAAGTGTTTGGTCTGAGGCCGGATCTGAACTCAGGTCCTCCTGACTCCAGGGCCGGCGCTCTATCCACTGTGCCACCTCGATGCCCCTCAATGTCCTTGTTTTTAAAAAACAAGAAGACTGGCCCAGAAGATCTGACCCTTCCCTCTAACAAGTACCTTTCCGCTCTAACATTCCGTTAATCAATTAAAAGTGTATGTATAGTCAGAGGTTTGTGGCCTACACAGCTTCAGGGGATTACTACTCATCATGACAGGCCGTCCGCCTTCCAGTGTGGAGCCTAGAATGGTGACATAAGCCTACGTTCCTATAGAGCACAAACAACGACTTCGTACTGGGAGAGCTGAAAACCAAGGAACTCAACGGGACTGAGGCCCTCCGTCCCTCGGAGGCCGGCCACGTCCCTCGCCCCTCCTGAGCTTACGGGGGTTGCTGGTCCAGCCTCATCCCCCTTAGCTGCTGGTGCTCCAGACTTCCTTCCAGAGGTGGGAACGCCCCGCGGGGGCCGCAGGGACGCGCTACTCCAGGGCCGCAGAGCGTTCATTAAGTGATCGGAAAGCGCCTCTTTCTCTTCCCGCCCCGCTGCTCCGAGACCCTGCCTCCCGGGGAGCCGATCCACCTCCTTCCCGAGGCCGGGGGTGGGGGAGGGGCTCGCTCCCCAGCCCTCCGAGCCTCAGTTTCTCCCAGCCGGCAGCCCGGGAAGACTCGACTCTAACCTGCGAGGCCGCGGGCTCTCCTGGTGGCGGGCCCGAGCCGGGGCGCCCACAGCGGCCAGGGCATGGCCGCCAGCCCCTCGCGCGTGCGGGAGAGCAGCTGCTAGCACGAGGAGGCGCCGCGTCGCCGGGAGACCCAGGCGCTTCCGGCCGCGCATGCGCGCTGGGTCAGCGGGGGGGGGCTTTCGGCGGGGGCGGCGCGCGGCGATGGCGTCACAGGCGTCCCGGCCCCGCCCAGCGCCCCTCCGGGGCTGCCTGCCGAGGACGCCTGAGTACCGGCCTCTCCAGCTGCCGCCTCCCGCCCGGCCGCCAGCCCACCGGCCTTCACCGGTTCCGGAAATCAGCAGCGGTATGGGGGGAAGCGGAGGCGTCCGCGCCAAGCACGGCTGCGCGTTCGGGCAGGCGACGGGCACGCCCGGAGGGGCTTCTAGAAGGTTCGTGCGCAGGTGCGGCGGGGCGGGGCGCGGGGGAGGAGCCGCCGCCAGGACCCCAGGGCCCCACGAGACCGGCCGGGGGGCGGAGCCATCTGCCGCCCAAGACCCCCTCCGCTCCCACGTCGCGCGTCTGCCTGCCCGCTTCCTCCGCCTCCTCCGTGTCTGCCAGCGCCGGCTTCGTCACGCGCGAGCGCGAGCAGCCGCCCGCCGCCGCTGCCCCTGCCCCTGCCCCGCCTCAACATGGACAGCCGCAAGCTCAGCGAGCTGCAGGCCTTCATCAGGCTCTGCCAGCAGGACCCGGGCCTTCTGCACACGGACGAGCTGCGGTTCCTCCGGGACTGGGTGGAGAGGTGAGGCCCGAGCGGGGCGGGATGGGGACCGTTGAGGAACGGAGGGGGAGGCGGGGGCCGAGGTGCGTGCGGGGCACGAGGGGCCGGGGGGCGAACAGCCCCTCTGTGCGGGCCTGGAAGGATGCCTCCTCGGGGGAGGGGCGCGCGTGCCCGCGCTGTGCGGCGGGGAAAGGTCCCGAGTACACGAGGGGGAGGGGCGCGCGTGCGCGATTGAGTGAGGGGAGGGGCGCGCGTCGCGGAAATGTCCAGAGTACACTGGGGGGAGGGGTGCGCGTGCCCGGACTTAGAGGAGGGAGGAGGCCCTGGGTACTCTAGGGGAGGAGCGCGCGTGCCCGTGCTGCGCAGGGGGGAGGGGCGCCCACTTTTTCCCCTCCCAGAGGGGGCCTCATGCTCTGGTCCGGTTATTTCCGGGCACTACCAGTTCTCTCCCGGGGCTTACTTGCCCCCCAGGGGGTGGGGTCGGCTGCCCCGCTGCATTTGGGTTGGAGGGGAGAGGGGGCGTGTCCGTGCGGGAAGTGGGCGGGGCAGGGGCCCTGCAGACCCGCCCGTGCAGTCCGAGGTGGGGCTAGAATGGCTTTCTTGGGAATGGCTATTGGAGGGCACCGTCGAGGCCAGCCTTCTCATTTTTTCGAGGGGGGCAACAGTGAAAGTGAGGGGTTTTGACCAAGGTCACCCAAGTGGTGACAGGTCCAGTCCCCGATCTGCCTGGCGGTGAGTTTGATTTGGACTCCCCTGATGTCCAGGAGCCCCCCCAGGGTCTCTTCTGCACCTCCATTTGCCAGTATAAAATCATAGCAGTTTCTGATGTTAAGCCCTTTGACGATGAGAAGTGATATTTTACAGGACCAGGACTGGTCGTTGCAGTTAAGCTGAGTCGATGGCCTTTGGGTGGCGTTTGCATTTGTTATTGCAAATCGGTATATGGGTTCTCCTGGTCTTGCTTCTCTCCTGGCCAGTGCCTACAAACCAGGCAAGGGTCTGTGCCTGGGCTTTGGTGGTCCCGTCAGCTCCCACGGCTTTAGCTGTCATCTCTCTTCAGAGATTTCTGTAGATCAGCTTTGGTAGCGAAGATGGGGGAGCCCGTCTAGGGCCTGTCCCGGCTGAGCTTTCTCTTACTACTGATTGGGAGCATTTTTCATGTGCCTGGTGATAGTCTCGTCTGTTGACTGCTTGCTCCTGTTAGCTCTCCACTCCGATTTCTGACTGTTTTCTTTATACCTTGGATTTAAAATGTCTTTCCTAGAAAGGTTCAGGAAGAGTCTTTTAATCCACTTGGCAGATGCTCTGATTCTACCTGCAAAGGAAGAAAGGCACAGGGACTGTCTACACAGAGATTGCAAAACTTGATATTTTTAAAGAGGCAGGTGAGGGGCAGCTAGGTGGCACCCTGAAATCAGGAGGACCTGAGTTGAAAATCAGCCTCAGACACGTAACACTTATTAGCTGTGTGACCCTGGGCAGGTCACTTAACCCCATTGCCTAGCCAAAAAAAAAGAGGTAGGTGAACTCTAAGACCAGTAAAAAGAAGTTACTTACTGAAAAGATGTAAGGCATCGATTCTAAATCAACATTTGACTCTCAGCACAAGCTGTAGCATCTTTAGAGTAAAAAATTTTAAGCCACTTTTTTTGTTGATGCTTTTTAAAACAGTGCTATCACTTTCCATTGACTCCCCAAATCTACAGGTTTTTTGTGCTAAAATTAGTCTGTGTGATATTTTCACAAGGAGGCTTTTGTCTATAACCCAGCTCATCTGAGATTCTGAGCATGTTCTCGAAACATTCTAAGAAAGATTTTTCTATTTTCATTCTTTAGAAATACCCTACTCTACAATTTCTCCACATATTAAGGAACAGAGAAGCAGACTACCATTTGTATTTAGCTGTTAGCCCACCAGAGTTTCTATGGATTCTGAAGTTTTTAGCGTTCACAGTTTCAAGAAACTTTTTACCCCCCTGATCATTCAAATACTTAAATGGATTTGTGATCCCTTCATTTCTGGAATTCTCTTCAGAGATATAGATGGCAACTCACCCATCCCTGCTCAACCCACAGAACCCTCAGTCCTTACCAGTCCTTCCTGAAGTCAGACAAAGGAAGCTTACCCAAGGTGCTAGAAGCCTTTCTTGATTTCTGCTGACATCCGGTGGAGTTCTGGATGGGTAGATGGTAGTTGCTTACACCTTTTCTCTGTGGGGTTTGTTTATCTTTAGTTCTGCAGAGGCAGTCCACGTCCACATGTCCAGCTTCTGTGCAGCAACACTGCTCTAATGATTCCTTTTTTTTTTTTTTTTCGTGAGGCAGTTGGGGTTAAGTGACTTGCCCAGAGTCACACAGCTAGTAAGTGTTATGTGTCTGAGGCCAGGTTTGAACTCAGGTCCTCCTGACTCCGGCGCCAGTGTTCTATTCACTTTGCCACCTAGCTGCCCCTCCTCATCTCTTTATCTCCCATGCTCAGCACAAATCCTGTCACACAGTAAATGTTTGATGAATATATTTTATAGAAAAGGAAAATTAGGCCCAAGGGAGGCAAAGTATAAAGTATAAGGCCCAGAGTGTCGAATATGATCAGAAAGGGAGCAGCGATAGCCAGCGTTGAGGCCAGGTTCTGACCCCAGATCTTGGCGTTCATTCTTTCCACTATTTCATCCCATCATTCCCCCATTTGACAAGATTTGTGTTGTTTACACCCATCCATATCCCTTGCATTGCAGATTCTCAAAAACCTGTATGTTAAATGAACACTTCAGCTCTCTACATAGCTCCAAGTCAAAGGGATAGTAAACAATGATAGTAGTTAGTACCAAAACTAAAGCCCATCTTTAAAAGTTAATCAACAGGGACAGCTAGGGCTTCTGCAGTTATGGGAAACTTGGAATAAGTAAGAGGACTTGACAACTTGCTGAGAATGAACCAGACCAATCTTCATTGTCCATCTCTGGTGTCTGTCCCAGATCTAGAGACACTGGAATGGGTTTTACAGGGTTAGAGGCATAGCAAATTCTGGCCAGTAGACTCCTCTGAGCTCGTGATCATCTCTCATTCTTCGTAAGATTTTATGAAGGAGTTTATTTTGAATCTAGTGATGCCCACATCCATCTTCTCTTTTGGCCAGTCACGTCATTGCTGGCTGAAGACCTTTCCCCCACGATACATGAAAGTACCTAAGGGCTTTCTGCTCTCTTCTGGGCTAGTTGTAGCAGCTGGTTTACATTACTTTAATTTCTGGATGAAACAGTAAGTTTGCTGTCATTTCTATTGTCCACTGACCATACTTGATTTTCAGTTGCCTGGTGAAATATTTCTTCTTAACTGTAAGCCTTATTTTTTCCCTCATAATTATATTTATTGTAAAGTCTGATTTTAGTTCTGGTGAGTCGCCGGATGATTCAGCTTTCCAGAGACATCAGGGATAACTCCCTCTTAATTGTCTTCTCACCCGTTCCAATGTCAGTTTTGTTTTTGGGATCTTGCTGGGCACCATTCTTTTTGTAACAAAGTTTTGAAGATAGCGAAGTGTGATGCTTCTTCTGTACAAACTCTGCAGATTGTATAGCTTTGGCTAGCTCTCATTTCTTTCTCCTTAAATCAGCTGTTGCTGTGTACTTCTCCTGATCCTCACCTTTTCCTGCCTTTGTGCATTGAGGTCCTGAAGTGTTAGAATTGTTCTACTTCTTCATCTTTACATAAGCTGCGTTGGTTGTCGTGGTGACCATTTTGCAGACACCTGTTGTTAGTACTGTAACACGTGACCACAAATGTTCTGTGAAATGTTCTGGTTGCTTTTGAGTGTTTGGTGAAACTTGCTCTTTCAGGTCCTTTGGTTGCCTCTCCAAGCCGTACCTGTGGGTTCTTGCTTAATTTCTAGTAATTAATCAACAAGCATTTGTTAAGCATCAACTAGGTGCCAGGCACTAGGTTGAGGATAAAAAGAAAGGCAAAAACCCAGTCCCTTCTCACCAAACTCAGACTCTAATGGGGAGCTTATATGGAAATAATAATGTACATACATACACGTATACAAGAGATAGAGTAAATGAGAGGTAAGCTGAAAGAAAAGGCACTGGGGGGTGGAGACCAGCCTTGGAATAAGGTGGAATTTGAGCCGAGTCTGACAGGAAGCCAGGTGGGGAACACAGGCTGGGCAGAGGCATGCAGTTGGGAGGTGGAGTGTTCGGTCTAGTGACAGGCAGGAGGCTGGAGGAGAGTGCACAGGGGAAGCACCTAAGAGGCCTTGAAAGGCTGCCACTTGACCTCTTGTGAAGGTCTTTAAGTGGCAAGAAAAAAAAAAAAGACTTTGATCCCAAGTCATAGGAAGCCACTCGTTTGTTTGAATGGGAAGTTTATGGGGTCCTACTTAAACTTTAGAAAATGCCTTTGGCAGATGACGTGGAGGTAGGCAGGCCGTTGCCGTAATTGAGCCGTGAAGGCCTGAGCTAAGAGGAGGCTTTGGGTGGCCAGTGCGTGTGTGAATATAAGAGATGGGACTTGGTAAGAATTACTAGATTTGCCCATGGATTGTATGTATGTAGTGAGTGTAAGGATGACTGCTGGGTGGGGAGCCTGGAAGGACAGGGGTGCCCTTGGCAGCAGTAACGGTAGAGGTGGGAAGAGAGGAGGTAAACAGGGAAAGATCCTGAGACCTGGGCACGGCAGTCGTTGACTTGGTGTTGGCACCAGCAGGGCCTTATGAAGTGTGAAGATGGCTGTGACACAACATTTGGGGAAGGTGTTTGTGTAATGCTGACAGCAGTTTGTCAGTGAGCCCCCCAGTGAGGGGGAGGAGGCCTCGGTTACTGCAGGGAAACCAATTCCTTTTTTTTTTTTTTTTTTTTAACAAAAACTTTCTGTGCACTGGATAACCTCATCTCTTGAACATAGGGACTAGATCTTTGATTTTGTTAATAAAGGAAACAAACGCCCTCTCTTAATGCAGGACCGCACCTTCGCTACAGTTTAGAGAGACTTCCTTAGTCACATACAGCCAGGTCCTTCTAGCTCCAAGGGTAGCACTGGATCTCTCCCCCTCCCTCAATTACACCGTTGTTGCCTCTAGGAAGAGTTTACGTGGAACCCCTAAGAGTTGAAAAGACTAAAGATAAAACTTTAAATGCTCCATGGTACTGTTGAGGCTTAGGGGAGCTGGGACCCCAAAATCACAATACGCAGGTCCTGCCCAAATGAATTTGACCCAAATCTCCTTTCAGTCAAAGACAGGGTTTATTAGAACATCTGCCATATTGACCAGACTCTTAAGGAATCTGAACATTACTGAGCTATTGGCTAGATTTTAAGAATCTGAGCACCTTAATAGAGAGACGAGATGGCTCTTATATATGGGAAGACTGTGGGAAGAATCTAGGAGTGGCCAAGTGGTTTGGGTGACCAGAGGAGGGTTCTAAGGAGGATCTGGATGGGATTGGCCAGTAAGCTGGGGTGAACAGAATACCAGGGACCTGGACCTGTGGATCCTTTAAAAGGAGGGAGTCTGAGTAGAGATGTGACCTGGTTAGATCTGCACTGGAGGAAGTCACTTCGGCAGCTGTGCCCTGTGGGAAATTATTTTCTCTGAGAGAGAATGACATAAAACCTAATAATAGTTGGCAGTACAAAATGCTGATGTTAGCCTGGCCCCCTGGAATGAGATTTGGGGGTGGGGGGGGTCTTAAGTGAGTGGGTATCACTTTTCTCTGGTACTGTCTGTCCCACAGCCTCCTCTCCTTGAATGCTGTTGTTTATCATCAGTCACAAGCACTTACGGGGCAGTAACATGACTTGCAAGTGAATTGATTTAAGTGAGGGAGGCCTCACTGGATCAGTGTTAAAATAGAGGAGACCTTGGCCTTTTCTAGCTGAAGTCTTCAATAGGTCTCCTTCTGGCCGAGGCAACACCCATTCAGTGATTAGGGCTGATTTCCAATGAAGGCCTTAATCACTGGAAATACAAATACTAGCAGAAAGAAAGACAGACCCTGGCCTCCCAAAGGGAGCTGAAAGGGGGGTCCCCATGGAGGACTCACGGCATCATCGAGAGGAACCAGCCAGTCTGAGGAAGGGTACGAGGCCCAGGGCGAAGGGGCTTCGGTGGTTGGGGAGCCCGGAGAGGAAGCAGAGTAGCAGCAGGGGAGGTGATGCAGGTGAGCAAGCACAGTCACCTGGAAGCTTTAAAAAAAACCACGGCAAACAACAGCCGGTCAGGCTGGCCCGTCTCACTCTGCTTTGCTGCTTTGTTCTGAGCTTCACTCTTCTTTCCACCTGGTTGCTTTGCTGCTCTCTTGAGTGCGGGCCAGATCACAGAGCCTGCAGGGCATAGGGCCTGTTCTCCTTCGGCCCTTCCAGGGCTTGCCATCTTTGTCCACGTCTTCCAGCTGCGAGGAGCAGGCCCCTTCCCCTTGTGCCTTCCTGTCTCCTCTGGGAATCTGTCCCATTCAGCATACTCTTTTCCATGGACATTTTTCCTGTTGCTCATACACAGAACACGCTCGGGTTTCCAGCACCCTTGAGAGACCTTACCTTGACTTGCAGACACCTCGAGGTCTCTTCCCTTAAACTTCAACCTTCTTCAAAACATTGTCTCCACTCGTCCACCACCCACACCCCCTCTCACTGCCCAGTTCTACTGCTTAGCTGGGACAGTTCTCACCTATTGCCCCATCTACTGGAAGGAAGCCTTCCTGATCTCCCTTCATTCCAGTGCCTTCTCTGCTGGTTAGCTCCATTTTATCCGACACAGCTTTTGCATGTTGTCTTCCGCCTTAGACTGGGAGCTTCTTGAGGGCAGGACCTCTTACCCTTTGCTGTATCCCCAGGGCTTAGCCTAGGCACTTAATAAGTGTTTATTGCCTGACTGCCTGCATTGAGTTGCTTGAATGAAAGCTGTTGTTGGATAGGACACCTCTAATTTCTGGATCTGTCTGTCTCTCAGAGCCCCAGGGAAAGGTGGTGGCCATTGTGGGTCTCTCTCTCACCTGCGGTGTTGGCTTTGAGCATGGTTTGCTGAGCCAGGACCAGAAGGAGATGGTACTTGGTGTCTTTAAGGCAGAATCACCTGAGATGGCTGGCCAACATAGCCTCCACTTTGTTTTTGTCAGTTTCACAAACATTTAGAAAGTGCCAGCTGTGTGCGTGGCCTGGTGTTAGGTGCTAATGGTGACAAAATAAAGAATGGTCCTCCCCTGGAGGGTCTGTGCAGGCAGAAGTGATCAGGCCACTATCCATTGCTGGGGTCAGATCACAGGTGCAATTCTGCATTCAGATGAATTATCTGATCGTTACGTGAATGATGACTGACATTCTGCCCACTCAATATACTGGTCTCTGTCTTCCACCCTGACCTGCCGTCATCCCTGAGTGATGATTCCTGGATGCGACAATTCAACAAAGATTTTTTTGAGTTTTTATTAGTATTTTTTGTTTTTAATGTTACCTTCATTTTCATGCATCCCTCTCTCCCCTTTCCAGAGTGCCATCCTTTGTTACAAAGAAAGGAGTATGTGGCGGTGGTGGGGTAAGCAAAGGTAGACCCCTAAGAATGGCTCCTGACAGTCCCTGCAGTGCACCTGGGCCCACAGTGTGACCTCTGCAGAGAAGGAAGGTGCCATGCCAGCCACGGACTGCCTTTTCTCTACTTTTTTTGAGGCCTAATGTCAGTGAACTAAGTGCCCGCTTGGCTTAAGTAAGGCCCTGCGTTTGGTGCTGGGCATTCATGGGTGAAATGCAGATACCTTCTGTTGTAATTCCTTTAGGTTGACAAAACCCTTTTCCCTTTACAGCTGAGCTGGGAATGGAAACGGGCCTTTCTCTCCTAGGGCTTAGTTTAATAAGAAACAGATAAATGACTAATCCTAATTAGATGCCCTTGCCCAGGAAACATCCAGAGAGTTCTAAGAGAGTGAGACCTGCCAGAAGGGCTCAGTCCCTTCTGCTGCTGGTGGCTGGGTTGGTCACAAACCAGGGAGGGCTTCGTGAAGGGAAGAGACTTCATGGTCACTGGAGGTCCGGCTGTGTTGGCATGAATTTCGACCACGCAAGATACCACGTGTGCTGTCATCAGGAGGAGTTTGAATGGATGCTAGTCACAGAAAACCTGGCCTTTTATGTAATGTTTAAGGTGTACAAAGCATTTTATTTTCTTTGATCTTCATAAAATCATATAAGGTATAGACAATGGGATGCATTTCTTCCCATTTTATAGATGAAGTAGGAGACTCAGCAGCCCAGGGCCACACTGCAAGGACCTGGATTCAGGTTTGACATGCACTACTTAGCTCCACGTGTTCTTGGCTCATCTGTAAATTAAAGGGGTTGGCCAGGATAAAGGGTAGCTGGCCTCCCCTCCTTTCATAATAGTGATCCCTTAACTGTACCCTGAGCCTGTGGGCTCCAAATTCAGCAGTCTTTCTAGTATGTCCCACTTCTTGTTGGAGTGGTGGGAAGAGTCACGAATGTGGTTATGCAGAAAGAAATAGGATGAAGAAGGAATGAAATGGTTAATCATCAAATCCTGCAGAGGTCAGGGGAGGGGGAAGAGATTTGGGGAACTTGTAAAAGTGACCTTGGGGCAGCTCGGTGGCGCCATAGTGCCCAGAGCACGGGGCCTGGAGTCAGGAGGGCTCATCTGCCTGGACACTCAGTAGCTGTGTGAGTTTTTGAGCTGGGTCATGGAGCCGCTGTGCCAAGAGTTACGAGTGTGCTTTGAATATGTCAGCGTACGACTCAAAAGTGTCAGGGAGATGGTAGTAGCTTTTCGCTTCACCGAGGCTGATCAGGAAGAAGCTCAATATGTGTAGCTCCCACATGTTCCATTCAGTTTAGGTTTTACTGTGTGGATTTCTGCCAGGGTAACCCGCCCGATAATTATAAAAGGTTTTTTATGGCATTAACAGAATGCCAAGTAAAATGAATACTGCCATATGCATAGTAGAATAGAACATGATGATTGTTCGTGGAACTTGGCATCTTTTTGCACGGCTTGCTTTTCAAGTGTACAAACATTCGCCACGTGACTTTCTGTGCTGTCCCATCTGGCTGTGATTCCTGCTAGGCATCCACTTCTTTCCTGGTGTGTAGCTGTTTGTCGTCAGCTATAATGGCATAGTACAACTATGTGTGTTAAGATATTTAATGAGTGTTTTTGTTAAAATTCGAATTTTTTTTCCTTTCTTTCTCCAGTATGGGTGGTAAAATCCCACCTGCTCCACATAAAGCGAAATCAGAAGAAAAAATCAAGGTAAGTAGAGATTAATTATAATTTGATCATTGTGGGTACAGCTAACTTTGGCTTTCTTTTTTCTGATGTTGATTTATTTTCATTTTTTAAAAATGTATTCAGATCTGCCTTCTCCCCCCCCCTTCCGCCCAAAAAAATTGAGAACACAAGAAAAGCAGAACTCACTGTACACATGTATCATCAGTCAAAACAAACATTGGCCACATCCTAAAGTTATTTGTCTCATTTCACATTCTCAGTTCTTTACTTCTCTCCATCAGGGGTGGGTAGGCTATTTCGTTGTTAGTCATCTGGAATTCTGGTTGGTCATTATGCTGATAAGAGTTCAGCCCGGTAGTTATTATTCCATCATACTTACAGACCATAACTTGTTTAGCCATTCTCCAATTTATGGACACCCCCTCAGATCACTGCCTCAAAAAGTTATATAAGTATTTTTGTACATCCTTAGAGTTTGTTTTGCTTAGCCCCCTTCACTCTCCTTCAATCTACCCTCCTTTAATTTCCCCTCTCCTATTTCTTTCCTGTTTCCCTTTTGAGGTGTGTGTGTGTGTGTGTGTGTGTGTGTGTGTGTGTGTGTGTTCTTTTGACCAGTTCAGATGAGAATGAGGTTCAAGTGTCAGGTCTTGCCACCCCATTCCCTCTTTGTATAGCTGTCACTTGTGTACCCTTGCTACGTGAGATAGTTTTTCCTAACCTACTTTCCTCCTGCGTTTCCTCTCCCTTTTGGGGGGGGGGGCAGTTGGGGTTAAGTGACTTGCCCAGGGTCACACAGCTAGTAAGTGTCAAGTGTTTGGTCTGAGGCCAGATTTGAACTCGGGTCCTCCTGATTTCAGGGCTGGTGCTCTATCCACTGCGCCATCTAACTGCCCCATTCTTTTCTTAAGATCATCAAGACATAACAGAGTCACTCCTAGACCATGACTCATTGGGCTTCTTCTATGATCCCTGATGAGGACGGGGTTCACAGGGACCCTGTATCCTCTCTCCATGTTTGAATGGAAGCTGTTTATCCTTGTGTAGTCCTTTATCTTTTAAATTCATTTGTGTTTACCTTTTCATGTTTTCTTCAGTCCTGTATTTAAATCTTAAAGTTTCTCTGCAGCTCTGGTCTTTTTGTCATGAATGTTTGGAAGTCTTCTGTTTTATTAAAAGGTCTAGCTTTTCCCCTGTAACGTTATACTGAGTTTTGTCAGGTCAATTATTCTTAGCTGTATGCCCATTTCTTTTGCTTTTTGGACTATCATATTCCAGGTTCTCTGCTCCTTTATAGTGGTGGTTGCTAAATCGAGTGTAATCTTGACTATGGTCCTCCATACTTGATTTCTTTCTTTCTAGCTGCTTGCGTTAATTTATCTTTGAAGCCCTGGATTTTGGCAATAATATTCCTGGAAGTTTTCATTTTGAGGTTTCTTTGAGGAGGTGACTAGCAGATTCTTTTTTTTTTTTTACTTTGTCCTTTGGTTTTAAGAGGTCTGGGCAGTTTTCTTTAATTCATTTTTTAAAATTCTGAGTTCAAAATTCTTTCCCTGCTCCTTTCCCACCCATTGATAAGACAAGCAATATATCAGTTATACATGTAAAGCCATGCAAAACAATTCCGTGTTAGCCATGTTGCAAAAAACCAACCAAACAAAAAATCTGTTTCAGTCTACACTCAAGAGTTCATCAGTTCTCTCCCTGGAGATGGATAGCATTTTTTATCATGGATCATTGTCTTGATCAGAGTAGCTGAGTCTTCCATGGTTGATTGTCACTACAGTATTGCTGTTACTATGTATGTTGGTCTGGTTCTGCTCGTTGCACTTTGCATCAGTTCACATAAGTCTTCTGAGCAGTTTTCTTTTAAGATTTCTTTAATTAGAATATCTAGACTTTTTTTGGTCATAGTGTTCAGATAGTCCAATGATTCTTAAATTTTTCTCCTTAATCTGTTTTCTAGGTTGCTTGTTTTTACTGTGAGGTATTTTACTTTTTTTTTTAGTCTTTTAACTTTGTTTTTCTTTTTCTTGTTGCCTCATGGAGTCACTGGCTTCTATTTGGTCCGTATTTGGTCCATTCTCATTTTCAGGGAGTATGTTGCTTGGGCCACGTCTTCTACCTCTTGTGCCAAGCTGTCTGTTAATTCCCTTTCCGATTCTTTCTTTCACAGCTCTCATTTCTTTTCCATATTCTTCCTCAAGTGCTCTCATTCCAGTTATAAAAACTCTTCCTTCATCTCTTCCAGGAATTCTGGTTGAGTTTGAGCCCGGGCTGTGTTTTTCTCTGAGGCTTTGCTAATAGACATTGTGGAGTCATTCTCTCTTTCTGGGCTTGTGTCTTGAGCTTCCCTGAACTGTTATAAAAGCCCATTATGGGGGGGAGTCTTATTTGCTGTCTGTCCTGCCAGCCTCCTTCCTGACTAGAGATTTGAAGGGCTCTGCCCACTTCTGGAGGGAAAGTCTGGCCTGGTCCTGTTGCTGCTTTCTTGGGGTATTGAATGTCAGGTTGTTTCAGGGTCTCAGGGACAGCTCAGGCTGGGGACGTCTAAGTTCTCAGCGCTCCCAGAGTGGTCTGACCAGGGCAGAGTCTGATCCCTCTGCAGAATGGATGCTGTTGGACTTGGCCCCCGTCAGCCGGCAGGGAAACCCTGGGGGTTCAGAGCAGCAGAACTGTAGGCTCCCCTTTGGTCTGGGAATTCTCACTCTGGTTATTCCCCTGCAGCCTGGGCTAGAGGCTGGAAGCGAGACCCCGCCTGCTCTGATGCTGCTGTTGGCAGTGGTGGCGGCAGCTTCAGTAAACTGCCCAGGGCCTCCCTACCCAGCAGCGCCACTGCCCTTCTCACTCTGCCTTGGGACTGGGTAGTGGGCAGCGGAGATGCCAGTTGGCGCCTGCCCCTGCTGCAGTGGCCTGGCATAGGCCTGAGAGTGCCTGAGGCTGGATCTAGGATCTCCTTTTGTGTTGATGCACCACCTCTTCCTGTGTCCAGGCACTCCTGCCTGACGCGTACCAACGTCTTCAAGCCTTTCCATCTGTTTCCCTTTGCCAACCTGGGCCAGACAAAGGACTCACAGGGACTTTCTTTTTGGATTTCTCCATTAGGATTCATTCTGGTGCATTTTTTAGCTTGGTTTGGAGGAATTGTGGACAGGAGCTCAGCTTCCTTCTATCCTACCCTTTGGGTTTTTTATGGATCTCTTTATCTCTCCTCCCCTTAAGTTCCTAAAGTAGCCAGCGCATTGTATCTACTTAAAAGTTCTGTCAGCTTTTTAAGATGAGAAAAAAAATCTTTTATGAGGGCTTTTGACATTCATGAGAGAGAGAAAAGAAGCATTTATGAACTGGCTGCTGTGTGTGCGCAGGGCCTATGCGGAGCACTCCACAAGGAGCTCATTCGATGAGACGTACGTGGTGGCTGCATGGCATGTGGATGATGGAACTGAGCGGCGAATCCTGGGCTAGTAGAGCCTTTTGGAATTCAGGAAGGAAGGTCTCCAAAGGCAGGGGTGCACTCATTTCTCTGTGCTTATTCTTCACACATGGGGTGTTTCCTGCCCTCTGTGCTCCTGGCAAGTCGGCTGAAGAGCCCGCGAGTTCTGACAGTACTGAGTGGAGTCTGACTGTGTTGGCCCTTCTTTTGCCAGGAGGAAAAGACTGAAAGTAAGAAACCTGAGGACTCCCCCAAGCTAGAAGAGCTTGAGAGCGAGGAAAGTGACGTAGGTGAGGAAGGCACGGTCAGGCGAGGTGTGGGGGGCCCTCCTTAAAGCCTCCAGGTCGCTGAGAGATGAGTGTTTTCTTTGCCCCCTGCAGAGATCGATAACGAAGGAGTGATTGAAGCAGATACAGATTCCCCTCAGGAAATGGGAGATGAAACTGCCGAGGTGAGTTCAGAGCAGATGCCACAGCTCGGAGCCCGCACGTCCTGTCCACAGTTTTGTGGGTGCTAGGGCCACTGTCCCATCTTTTCTCTGGTTCCGGGAGGTAGCACAGGCATTAAGTGCCTGCTGTGTGCTCGGTGCTGTGCACTGTCAGAGGAGAGAACACGTGGTCCTCAGGAGTGTCCTCAGAAGAAGTACGTGGTGAGAGATAAGGGTCAGGAAAGGCTCCCTGTGGAGCATCTGGCTTCTTTAAGGTGGAGGGAGTGGCAAGTGCAGCCAGGCCTTTGACACCCAGTACAGAGTCGTGGAGGTGAAGGTAGAGTAACCTGTGTGACAAGCAGAGAGGACAGTTTGGCCCGACTGTAGTGGGAGGAGTGGAGTAATGTAGAATCAGGCTGGGAAGGGATGTGGGGGTCCTGCTGGAAGGACTCTTGACAGTCAAATGGAGGAATTTGTAATTTTTTGGTGGAGATGATTGGGAGCCCTTGGAGCGACATGGCCATGTCAGTTCCTTGAAGGAAATCATTTTCCCAGCTGTGTTGGGTGGACTAGAGTCGGGAGAGATGTAAAGAAGGGGAAACCAGTTAGGGGATCATTGCAGTCTCCAGGTGAGAGATGATGCCACTGAGCCTGGGCTAAGGTGGTGGCTGTGGGAGTGGAGAGGGGGGCAGATTCCCGGGATGTTGTGGAGGAAGAAAATTGGGTAAGTTTTTGGCTGGGTTAGGGTACAGTATCATGCCATGGTTCCGAATGAATGCCTGGTAGATGGGGTGCTGTACTTCTACAAAACAAGAGGTTAGAGGAAAATGCTGTGTTTTGTACATGTTTCTGGGACACCTAGTTGGAATATCCAGCAGATGCTGGGTGATGTGGTCCTGGAAGTCAGAGGCTGGCACGCCTGTCCATAGAGGGCATATGAATGATGAGCCAATTTTTTATGGCATAAGATGAATTAAATATACTAATAACAGAAGAACATCCCCTGAAATCTATTAAGAGGAAAAAAGGCTGTTGTAGAAGGTAATTTTCATAGATTTTGTTCTTTTTAATGTCTTAAGGAGAAAGACTTGAAAACTAAAGAGCATATTTAGAGAAAAAAAATTTCTGGTGAGGAAAATAAAGCACCAAGCAGAAGGCTGATCTTGCGCAAATGATGCCAAACTTCACTCGCTGCTGCCATAAATCTACCCTTGCAGGGGGAGAGCCTTCACTTCATGACTTTTTTCAGGGGCAGAAACGACGAGGGGAGTGTGTGTTATTTAACTACAGTTTAGGCAGTTGGCTAACTTCTCTCCCTTTGTAGAAAGACTTTTCTCACTTAGTCATTAAAAACTTGAAGCAGTATTGTTTCCAGTTTCATGGTGTGTTTGTGGGGGGTCATCTTGAAAAATTCAGAGTCAGACCTCCTCTAATCCAAGTACAGGCATTTATCGAGGATTGATACCCCTCAGAAGTGAGCTAAGTTCCAAGAGGAGCCAGCAACTTAGTAAGACGACACAGGCAAATTCATAGTGTAATGATTCTGATTACACAACAGAAATTACGGGTATTAAAAAGGCAGCAGGAGGGGTTTGTTAAGGGATCAGGTTATGGGGAGGGGTCCTTTCTATGGTTCAGTGGTCAAATGTTCTGGTCTTGCTACTTTCTGATTGGCCAGCGATTGAGGTCCTATCTGGTCAGGATGGCAAGTTAGGTGTTGTGGTCCTGTCTTGGGCTAAAATGGGTGATGTGATTGTGGTTCAGTACATGGATCTGGGAAGCAGCGGCTAGCTAGGGGCAGTGGCTGTGTTGAGTCTGGGGGCCTGTGATGTGGTTCAAGCCAGATCGTATGGTTAAATCAGCATGTGCCTGTTGTTTAGGGGGGCTCATAAGGAAGTTAGAGTATTGGGGCTGGGAGAAGCATCATTACGGTTCTGACAGCATTGTCCTGTGAGGTTGGGGCAGGTCGCGGCTGGAAGTCTTTTTCTGGACGTAGAGGTCAGCTAGAAGGAAGAGCGGAGCAGAGAGGGATCCTGTCTGTGAAAGGGCAGCGCCAGCTTTGGGGGGGGTGGTGGCGGCGGCGGCAGCAGCTGCTTTGAGCACTGCCTCCCTTGCCTACAGGCTTCCCTCTGTGCTCCTCTCACCCCTTCCCTCCTCCAGATATCATTGATACTCTTCTCTTAATCTTTCTCTAGATAACAGATGAGATGATGGATCAGGCTAATGAAAAGAAAGCGGCGGCCATTGACGCCCTCAATAGTGGTGAGTAGTAGGGGTTTCTCTGATCCCCCCTGACTGACCATGAAAGTCAGGAGGTGACAACCCTAAACATAGGCAGGTACATCGAAGGAAAAGCATTTGGTCTTTTTCCCTCCCAGTACCTTTGGGAGAGATCTGGCAGTGAGTTGGGTGAATGAGCCCCACGAGCCACCAGAGGGAGAAAATACTGTTTGGACAGTTTCTTAGCCTTGAAGGTGGGGATGACGCTTCTGGGCAAGGACTTCCACGCATCCTTGGTGGTTGAGGCCACTCCTCTCAGGCAGCAATGCTCTCTTCTGTCTTAACTCCTGTTGCTTTGCCCTCGGTCAGCCATGGGTGATTGTAGTGTCCTGGTCTTTTCCTAGATTCCCTTAATGGGACATCTGACGAGTCTCCAGCAGCTTTTTTGACTAGAGAGAACAACACCATATTGAGAAAATAACTAGGGTTGGCCCTGTGGGGGTTTCAGATTTAACAGTTCATTTCCTTCCCGGGCATTTGCTGGTCAGGAGACCCTGAAGCAGACAAGTGTCCTTGTCTAAAGAGCCATTTTGCACACTGATCTGACGCTGGTCCTTGGCTGGGCATGAGAAGAATGTAGATGACTATTCTAAGTGCTATTTGGAAAATATTGAATAAATGAACATCACAAAAATACTAAAGTGGTTTGATATTTGTTTTTTGCTTTTCCCCTTGAACATTACTTTAGGTGATCTTCAGACTGCCATTCAGTTACTCACAGAGGCCATCAAACTGAATCCCCGTTTGGCCATTTTATATGCTAAGAGAGCCAGGTGAGGAGCCCGAGGAGGTAAAGTAGCATGTGCCGCCAGGAACCCCCCCCCCCCCCCGTCTAGTTTGTGGGTCATTGGATTGGGAGGAGGAGGTTCCACATCATTAGGTTTTCCCCTTGTCATAGAGACTATTGTGTCAAGCTTTTGTGAAATTGTTTCTGAAAATATCTGTAAGTTTTATCTGAAAACAATGCTTTTTAATGCCACATCTCTCTTTTTAGTATCTTTATAAAACTGCAAAAACCCAATGCTGCTATTAGAGATTGCGACAGAGCGATTGAAATAAACCCAGACTCAGCCCAGCCCTACAAATGGCGAGGGAAGGCCCACAGGTGAGAGAGGACGTCTGGGCCGGGAGTGGTCTGGCCACAGTCGGCCCCATTGCTTAGTGGGCCAGACCCCGGTGGGGACCAGGGGTGTGGGGCGGGGGACCTCGGCCCTCAGCACAGCCAGAGCCCACCCAGGGGCTTCCTTCTGGAGTTCAGCCATTTATCTTACGCCCCTCAAGGAGATTGATGCTAGAGGTTTTTTCAGTAAACTGGTCATGTCCATGTAGCCCAGACCCTACAGTATTGTTTCCACTACACTTTCTGCACCTGCAGTGTGGTACATCGAAGGGTTTTGCCTTGATGGTGAAGAACTCGGCCCCCAGCGTTGAGTCTGAGGTTGGTCTCTTTATATTCGAGGCGGGGCCTGATCCCCGTGGTGAGAGCTTTCTCCCTCCAGGACTTGACTCCTCTGGAAAAACACTGACGTTCATTTTTAGTGTAATAACTTGTGTGCACATGGAAAATATATTTTCTTAGGTTTGATCTGTTATGTTGAGAAGGCAGATGGGAATTGAAAAGGTCGTCCTCCTTGACCAACTAAGGAATATGAACCAAGAAAAGGAGGCAAGAAAGCAGAGGTGGCTTAGTTTCCAAAAAGACCTTGGCTGACCACCCAGTCCAGCCAAATCCCCTTGGAGAGCAGGAGCACCTGGGGGAGACCAAGAGGAAAGTGGAATCATCCTTCAAGCCCCGAGTCAGTGAGGAAGGCAGGGCAGTGTCTGCAGAGCGGAGAGCAAGGGAGTGGGTTTTCAAAGCTCTGATGAAATGTTTGTTGTATTGACTGAAATACTCCGGGCATCAGATGGGCACCAAGATGCCTGGAGTCAGGGACACTGACCTCAGACACTTAATAGCTGGGTGGTCCCAGGCAAGTCACTGAACTGCTGCCTACCTCAGTTTCCTCATCTGCAAAATCGGGGTAATTACAGCATGTCCCTCTCAGGGTTGTTGTCAGGATCCAGTGAGGATAATACTTGTAAAGTGCTTAGGATGGTGCCGTGTAAACTGTTGCTGTCAGAGTGGGCTGGTAGCATAGAGAAGGCAGAGATCACTTTACTTGGGGCTTTAGGAGTGGGAGTATTAGATGGTCAGAGAAAGAGGGAGCCGTCTGGAGGTGGGTTAGAATTTCAGTAGGCTGAGATGGGGGAAAGAGAACTGTGGGGGCAGCTAGGTGGCACAGTGGATAGAGCACCGGCCCTGCAGTCACGAGGACCTGAGTTCAAATCCGGCCTCAGACCAAACACTTGACACTTAACTAGCTGTGTGACCCTGGGCAAGTCACTTAACCCCAATTGCCTAAAAAGTTTAAAAAAAAAAAAAAAAAAAGACTTGAAAGAGAACTGTGTAGTTTGTATCCCTGGTGGTGTCAGTCAAAAGGAAGGCACTGAATGAAATGATGGGTGCATTGAAGACTGATGTGCTCTCAGAAAGAGTGATCCCAGTGTGATTTAGACCCTGTTGATCAATAGGATAGAGGTTGTATTTTCCCCTCAAGGTCAGTCTTAAACTCTTTTCCCTTCCTTTCTCTCCATCAGTGAAAACAGAAGAAGCCAGATGAGCAGAGCTGTGGGTGCGGGGCAGGCATGGAGAATAGAGTGTGGAAGTCTTGGAATGCCCAGCAGAGGAGTTTGGGCTTGGTCCCAGAGGCTCCATTGGGAGGCAGGGAAGCTCTTGGATAAGGGAGTGAAAGGGAGACCCAGACTTGAGGCACGTCAGTTGGGCTGCCCTGTGGAAAGAAAGGAGCACCCCTGAGAGGTGGTTTGGATAGTTGAGGCAAGCAGTGAGGAGGGATGCTTGTGTGAATGGAGAGAAAGGGAAGGCTGGGGAGTGTGTTGTGAAGAGAGAATCATCAGGACTTAGCGACTAGTGGGATGTGGGGGAGGCAGGGCGGCAACGCCCCGTGCTGCATGGTTTGCTTCTGGTGTCTGTTGTTCGGTCGTGTCTGACTTTTCATGGCCCCTTCGGGAGTTTTCTTGGCAGAGATACTGGGGTGGTTTGCCGTGTCCTCCTCCAGCTCGTTTTATAGGTGAAGAAACCGAGGCAAGCAGGGTGAAGGGACTTGCCCAGGGTCACCCAGCTAGTAAATGTCTGAGGCCAGATTTGAACTTGTGAAGATGAGTTTTCTGACCCCAGGCCTAGTCTGAGCCACCTTTGTGCTAGTTCATAACCTCATTTAAAAAACTCCAGTCAGTGTATATGTGTTAGTGCACGTGGCTTTGTAGTCACACTGTTTTTATTGAGCTGTGCCAGAAATGAGTTATGAATCATATTGGGTACCCCTGAGTGTCTTAACCCCAACCCCGTCCACTTTGTAGACCTAAGGCAGCAAGTTTCTGTTTCTTATCAGCTGGAATGTTTCCGTCTCTGTGCCTTAGCCAGCCCCTCTTCCAGTTCCGTAGGCCCTACTCATTAATGTTAATTAGGGGTCTGATAATGACAAGCTTGAATGAAAGAGCTCTGGACAAAGACCTGACCCTGAGACCAATTACATTTTTAAGAAAAACAACTGAAAAATAATCATTTTCGTTGTTGGGTCCCTGAGGGCTTAATATTTCCCAGTCATCTCATGTTTTGTCATAACCCTGATCCCCCCTCTTCTAGATGATCTGCAGCTGGGTGGAGCTTTCAGGGCTCTTCCAGTTAGGGAAGGCTGTTTAGTTTTTCCTTCAAACAGTAGCCACTCACTGTACACACCAGTTTGTTTTTTTTGTTTTTTTTTTTTTCAGTTATGTCTGACCTTATAGTCCAACAGTGTAGTTAGTGTGAGGGGCAAAGTGAGAATCAAGTCAAGAGCACTCAGTACCACAAGCCAGCCGTGCTTTTGATTCTTACCCGGCTCATTCAGACCTTCAGAGTTATCCTCTTTTGGTTTGCTTTGGACTGAAAAGCAGGTGCTGTGGCCCACTGTTTGGGGGATGGGGACGGAGAATGCAGAGAGAAAATGGGAGAATTTCTCAATTAATTGTTAAATCCAATGTAGACTCCTTGGCCACTGGGAGGAGTCAGCCCATGATCTTGCCATGGCTTGCAAACTGGACTATGATGAAGATGCCAGTGCTATGCTGAAGGAAGTCCAGCCAAGGGTAAGTATAGCTGGGAAATAGCCCTGATATCCTTGGAGAGTGGGGGTGAAGGAGGTGCGTACATTTGTGTGGCAAGGGTAGAAAAAAGCAGAAATGATCCAAGAGTTGGGTGATATGCCGACCCAACCTCGATAGCCGGCCCAGGGGCAGGTGGAACACCACACTTAAATGATCCCTGGTGCCATGTTGGTATGTGCCTCAAAACCAGATTAGGTTCAGGATATTTGCTTTAGGAAGACTGGGATGTGTATGACTCCCTGATAGAGAGTGCCTTCGGGGTAAACTGAGGGCCAAGAAGACTTTGCTGCTGTGGGTGTCCAGTGTGTAAAGGTGTCATTGTGACCAAAAGGGGGTGCTCTGCCTCTTGTGACTTTCCAAGTTGGCCTTGAGCTCATGCCTACTGTTTCTTCCTGCTTCTCGTAGATAGCTTGTGCATTATTGCAGTTGGGCCTCTTATCAATCCTTCATTATTGGCCTTGTTGTAGTAAATAGGTTGCCAACAAATAAAATCATTGTTTGATTGGCTGTCCCAGATTTTTTAGGGTATTTGGTCAGGACCAGTCTTACACTTGACTAGGGGCCAGGAATTAGGTTTCTTAGTGATAGTTGTCCAAATGTTTTGTTTTGTTTTGCTTTTCTTTTCCTGGTGAGGCAATGGGGTGAAGTGACTTGCCCAGGGTCACACAGCTAGTCAGTGTGAAGTGTCTGAGGCCAGATTAGGACTTCCTGAATCCAGGGCCGGTGCTCTATCCGCTTGTTTTTTCTTCATACTTTAGAGAAAAATGTATTACCCTTTCTATTCATTCTACCAGGCCCAGAAGATTGCCGAGCATCGGCGAAAATACGAAAGAAAACGTGAGGAGCGAGAGATCAAAGAGAGGCTAGAAAGGGTGAAGAAGGCCCGGGAGGAGCATGAGCGAGCCCAAAGGGTAAAGTCTGAGCCAAAGACGTAAGATCAGGCCTTGTCACGTGGTTGGGGGCTTAGTGACCAGTGTGGGCCCCTCTGTAGTGAGTGGGCGGTTAGGAAGCCTAATCAGCCTGTGCCCGACTGGGGCAGCTTGTTTGTACCGGATCCAGGGAGATTGCTGGCCACTGTTATGAGTAGTAGTAGTATAGGATTATAATTTAATTCGGCAGGAAGCTTCCAAACTGACCAACTACTGAGGTGAGAGTTTGCGTCCCAGAAGGTATTTTTCCCCTCATTTACCTCATGCTTCCCTTTGACCATTGGAAAGAATCATAACTGCACAATTAGTCCTAAATGCTACTCCCTGAATCTCGTGTTTATCCTTTAGAAACAAACAGCCAGCCCAAAGTGTGCGAGGAGCCCACAACCTCCAGTACAGACAGCCTGGTCACAGGGAGCGTGGGGTCGTGATGGGTCATTGTTCTGCTGACACCGAACTTAAGAAACTTGGGTCTCCTGGAAGCCTAATCACATCGGTTTCACCGAGTATTTGTTGCACAGGCTTATATTTAAAATTCAGTTGAACAGTCCGCAGCAGCGCCACTTGTTAATTGATGGGCTGTGCTTCCGGCATTTTTCTTTTTCTGGTTCTTGTATTGGCATTTTAATGTTGGCCTGTTGGAAATTTTGCTATCTTTGCTAGGTCATTCATCTATTTAGGAGATGTTTTAAAATCAGTGAATGAGCACTTATTTAGCACCTACTGTGTGTCAAGAACTGTTCTGGGTGCCTGGGTAGCTTCAGGCCTTGGGGAGGCTGCAGCACCTCTAAGTCCATAACATAGAAGGAGCACGCTATGGTTCTCTGCAGGGTAGTTTGGAAGGGAAGAGCTCAGGGCCAGCTTCTTACCAAAGTGCTCCTTGAGCACTTGACTTCTCGTTGAGTCACGCAAGGAAGAAAGCGTGACTCAGGATGGTTCTTCTGGAGTGATGGACTTTTTTTTTTCTTCTTTTTTAAAGGAGGAAGAAGCCCGGCGAACCTCGGGAGCCCAGTTTGGCTCTTTTCCAGGTACCACCCATTAAAAATAAAAAAATGTCAGTGTTTTGAATTATGGGAGTGGATTTTGTTTTTTAGCCACTCCTGGAAGAACATCAATCTTTATTACTGTCATTTCCTTCCAGAAAATCTCACTCCTACTTCTACTGTCTGTCTCCTTTCGTGCTCTCACATTCTTTAATTCTGTAAAACTAATCTTAGAATAAAGGACCTTAGATCACCACATCAACCCACCCTGTCATGTGACAGATGAGAAAGTCCAGAGTCACACCGGTCATGGCAGTGACGGGAGTCTTGTGCCTGCTAGTACTGAATTCTTCTCATTGTGTCTGCCAGGGATCAATGAGTAGGCATTATGGAAATGTCAGTGTAAAAGGCCATTTTAATGAACTCCCAAGAAACCTTCAGGTTGCTGCAGTGGGATTTTCTTGTGCATATATTACTGGAGAGCACAGGCTAAGTTCACAGGATGTAGAGAAGAAACAGTATAGGTGGCACTGTGTGTTCCAGCTGTATAATCTGACATCTCAGGAAAACAAGATGGGGAAGGAGGAGGCATGAAACCCAGTTGGAATGGAGAGAAGTGATGCCCAGAAAACTGAAATGATAACCAAGTTCATTTTTCTGATCACAGACAGACTTGAAGTGAATGGAGTCTTTAAATGAACTTAGCACTTGCTGAGCCTGGGCCAGGGATTCTAAGAGGCAGAGACAAGGAGGACAGGCTCTCCAGGGACGTGGTAGGGACGAGAAGCCCAGGTGGACTGGGCTAAGGGAAGAGTGCTTTTAGTTAGGGAGAGGATGAAAGCATTGGGTCCTCCACCCTTTGCCCTTTCCTTCCCCTGTGGCTTAAAATGCTAGCACACAGTAGGGAGGGTTGGCGAGGGGTAGTGACGGTGCTCTTACCTGGTGACTTGCTTTAGGGGCAGGAGAGGTCATTGGGTGGCGCGTATTGAATATTGCTTTGTGATGCAGCTTCTGTACCTCCTGTCAAAGGCTCCAGAGCCAGAAAGGGCTTTAGATCATGTAACCCCTTCACCCCGTCATGTACGAAGGAAGGACAGTAAGTCCTAGAGGAGGGAAGCGATAAGCCCGGGGTCAGACCTTGGGCCTCTTTCCTCCCAGTCCTGTGACGTTTCCCTAGGTCCAGGTTGCTTCCATACCTTACACGAGGAAGCATTCATGCTCCTTGGATTGAGATCATGTGAAGTTTCCCTGGCTTTCTGTAGTTTGTACCGGTGGTGATGGAGTGGGTATTGATGGAATAGTGGAATAACTAAAATGTGAATTAGTAATCTAACGTTAGTGAGGGTTGTGCCACGTACTGTGAAGCACCATCCAGCTGGTGGAGGCAGAGATGGTGAACCAAGGGACATCAGGGGACTCGCTCACTAGGCTTCTTGGCTTCCCTGATCATCTGTTATCTGTGTCAGTAGGAACTGTGAAGCTACCGAAGATGGCTTTAGTTGTAATTTGCTGAAATATAAGATGGAGGATGAATGCTCTGTTGTAGAAACTTGAGCAGAGGCAATCTATTTGTCCAAAGCATATTCTGATCAATAGAATTATTTGGAAAGTCAAAGCCTGTTGTCCTTGTTCTGATTGTCTAGGCCAGCAGGTCAAGCCTAAGCACCCTTGACCCAAGACACTCCCTCCTGAGTGTGGTCTGAGCCAGATTAAAATGTAATTGGGAAATATTTAACCAAATAAATAAAAATACAGTGTAGCATAGGGAACATAAGTTAGTATGCAGCACATAGGGATCCTTGTGTATGGCTTAGTGGCCCCATTTCTATGGGAGTTACATGCCCCAGGCCTGGGCTACAGTCAGAGGCCTCCAGATGAAAGCCAGTGATTAAGAGTATGAGATAGACCCATAGACCGTAGGCCCAAGTTATCACTTAGTGGCAGTCTTGGGATACGGTTGTGACATCAGTGAGTGTTTGGTGAAGAGTGGGCAATGTTCTAGGCTTTGGGAGTCATATTTTAAAAGTGTGGCCACCATTAGGTGATTTTGTTTGGTTTTGTTCTTGTTTTGCAGGTTTTCCTGGAGGTATGCCTGGGAACTTTGGAGGCATGCCTGGCATGGGAGGAGCCATGCCTGGGATGGCAGGAATGCCCGGGCTCAATGAGATTCTTAGTGACCCGGAAGTCCTCGCAGCCATGCAGGTAAGGCTTGGAAAAGCACATCATCTGCTGATTCTTTCCTTACGAAGTGTAGGTAGGAGCAATTTTATTTGCTCACATTACCAGTTAAACCATTCTAGGAATTACTTCTTCTGTTGAGTGGCTAATTGATCATTCAAGGAACTCATGAAGCCTGCCCCCACTGTACATGGAGGTAGTAGAGAGATTTATAGTGTAAGGCTATATGAAACAAAAACAGCTTTTCTTTTCCTCCAGATTTTTTTCCCCCATTTTCCATCTTGACTATGTCTTAGTATCCTACCCACCAAAGACGCAAGGGTGGCATGGCTTCCAGGGTCTGTGGATGTGGTGTGTTAATAACACTGTCCTCCAATGCCTCCTAGTGGCCAAAGAAGTAGCTGTGGGTGCAGAGGGGTCAGGCCAGCAGAGGGCAGGCTCTGGTCCCAGTGTCTCATCTCAGGTTCAGCCTAGCTGAGTCTGGAGACTCGTGGCCATCAGAAGGTTGGCCACCATGGAGTTCTGGTCACACTGTCTCATTCTGAGGTGTGGAGGGACTGGATCAGGGTGGGCAGGAGTGAGCGACCCTGGTAAATCAGACCCCTCCTGGAAAAGGGCATCAGCACAGAGCTCTGTCCCTGGGTGCGGTCGTGGAGGCTTGTTATAAAGCTCCTTCTTCCCTTTTAAACTCCGCCTGGGCTTGGGATACTTGTATGTTCTACAAACATACCCTTACCAGTGGTGGATAATAGAAGAAGAAGGCAACATTCCTTACATGAAGGAATGTTGAGGTTTTCTGTACTTGTCCAGTGCTAACACAGTACTTTGGTAGCATGACCTGATAGAGAAGAAGTAGGTCTCGATTCCCACTGTAACCAAAGGCTACAAGATGGATTGACAGGAGAGAAGGGAGGGGAAGGATCAGCCCAACTCTCGTACTTAAAGATGAACTGGGCCCATTTTCTGTAGGATCAGTTGTTCTTTGTCACCTTTTAGGAGAAGCAGACAATTTTGAAAACAACTGAAACCAGGGTCCAGAAAGCATAGTGTCCAGCTGATTTCTGTCCGTGGCCTGACTAGTGTCCAGATGAAGGGGCAGCAGGATTTAGGCCAATAGATGAGTTCACTGGGGGCCTTTTTCCTCCAGGATAGTCTATCTAATGGGCGTTACAACTTTGTTTGCAGGACCCAGAGGTGATGGTGGCGTTCCAGGATGTGGCACAGAACCCTGCGAACATGTCCAAATATCAGAGCAACCCAAAGGTTATGAATCTCATCAGCAAATTATCAGCCAAATTTGGAGGTCAAGCATAAATGCCCTTTTAACAAATAAAGCCCTTACTGACGGAAAAACAACCCAGATCACTTAATGGACCTCGCAATAACACAAACCAAATGTACCTCTGACCTTCTGGTGAAGAAAACTGGGGTGCTTGGAAGATAATCCCCCCCACCCTGCCCCCGCCCCCAATGCAGCAGAGCATTTTACAGGGATTGGCCAGCCATTAGTCTAGCAGATAATGTTGTCCTACTCGGAATCATAAACTTAAGAAACACAGAAGCATTTTCCAAAACTTTAAGATTACTTAAAGGAGAAAGAAAAGAGAGTGCATAAAATTATTTTCTTTACTAATCATTTTGGCTTTCCCTTGGACTTGGTTAGATTTCAGGGTGAGGAAGAAGAGATTTGCATTAAAGATTTCTCATCTAGTCGTGGGGAAAGCAGACTAGTCAGAGGCGAACGCTGCTCATATAGCGTGTAAAATTTGAAGCGTGTTCGTGCCTCTTGGGATTTTTTGATTTTTTTTTTTTTAATCCTGATGTGCTTTTTAAAAAAAACAGCTTCTTTTGATGGCAAAACAAGATGTGGGACCACCAGTGATGTAGTGAGTACTTGGGCAGAGACAGGTCCTGCCTGCGGTGAGGGCTGCGGCAGTGTGACCAGCTATTCTCTCCCATGGCATCGCGGGGAGGAATTAAACAGTCAGGCCCTGCGGTGCCACGAGGCTTCTGTGAGACTGGCTCACCACCTTGGAATCTTGTCACTGTAAACGCCTGTGTTTCTGTTTGGGGAAAGGAAGGAGGGGGTCCTTTTCTTTCTTCTTGGATGCGAATCGGTGTCCTTTCCTCAACAGCAAGACTCCCGGCCCTCTCTGGGCTCTGTTTTCAGTGGTTTTCCACAGTCTATTTTTCCCCATTTTATTAGGCTAAAAATAGTTCTCATACAGTCAATATTTATGAAGGCCACCATTCAAAGTATACTTAATTGTGCAAACGTTGCCGAATGCTTGGTTTAATGTAAAATGCAACACTTACTGTTTCTGTATATGGGCTAATGCTCTTAACTTCTCGTTTGGCCAAGAAATTTCATTTTTATTCATTGGGACCCTAAGGACCCCAAGCATTACATATTTTTCTGTGCTGAAACATGGAGGGAAGAAGTTCATGGTTTTCTTTCTTTTACTTGGGAAATATCCCTTGAAAATTACATTTGCATTAATCTTTCCATTTTGGGGAAGGAGGGCATGAGGATTGGATTAGTGGATATACAAACATGTAGGTGAACTTGGCTATATGATCCATTATTAAATACGTGATTTATGAGTAGATTAGATTTGTGATTCTTTTTGCGTTGTAGGGTTGTTTAAATATTTTATGACAGATCTTATCACTGCTTTCTGGTAGGAAGGCTGTTCCTTTCAGTAGGTGCTAGCTGTTTCTCCAGCTGCCACTTCTGATAACAGTAAGCCATCCAGAAAACAGCTCTGGCTCTGCCTGTGTGGGCAGGGCCTCCCATCTAAAGACATTCTGTGTGTTACTTGTGCACAGCCTGGAGTAGCTGAGAAGTATGATGGACACGGAGCATCCCTGAAATAAGTCATCGGTTAACTGATGACCCTTTGCCCCCCCGTGTAACTGGGCAGGCGTAGTGTTGAGGGCAGCAGAGCTGGTGCAGTGAACACCCTTGCTCAGGCAGAAACACCTGGGCTTTTCCTGCGGTGTGCTCTCCCTTCTCACAGCCCCCAGCATGATACCCCTCATCCTCCCAGTGTCCTTGGGAGACTTTCCCTTGGTTTATTCAACCTTACCTCCTACATGTAAGCAGTGCAAAAAGCTGAGCCTGGGTAAGCCCTCTTGATCTTGGGAAAATGGCATGTGTTCAGAGTGTGTTGGGTCTGGTTGGTTTGCAGATACAAAGCTTATTTTCCAGTTGTCTAGGGATGCAACATAATAGCCAAGCCTGACATTTTTTTCTTGTACTAATTACCCTACAAGAAAGAAAAATGTGAAAGGAAAGTTTGTTTTTTGTTTTTGCTTAAAAATAGAAGTTAGTGGATATTTCTAGTCGCCTTCACAAATAAAGTGTGGTTTTCAAACCGGAAGCTTTTGTATTGTCTCAATTGACCATCCAGACTGGTGTAAAAGGTGAGGGCTATCCTGCCCCAGAATTTTTTACCCAGCTCAGGGGGACCACTGATAGTGAGGGGCTGTGTCTCTGGGAAGGTGAAGAAGAAAAAACCCCACTGAGATAGGGACGGGCAGCCTCCCAAGTTAGGCGGTACATCAGGAGGTCTCGTGGGACTGCCGCTGGCCCACCTGCCATTGCATTCAGCCTCCCTCGGGTTTGGGGCAACTTTAGTATTGGAAACATTTTTAGCCACTTGAGTGTGTAGAGGATAGGTTTAATTTTAGTGTTGGATTTGAGAACAAGTGCTTGAGGCCAAGAAAGGGGTGAAAGGTGTGAAGTCCATGATACTGGAGTCCTCTCAAACGTCCTTTCGTCAGACAAGTTGCCTGCTGTGTGAATTGGGACGGGTCAGGGACTAGAGGAGGTGAAAGGATGAACACATAGGTCCCGAATGCCCTAAGGGAGAGGTCCAGTGAGTGCTGATTATCTAGTATGCAGGGAAGAAATAGCCAAGTTTGACGTTACCTGTGTCTCCAAAGTTTTGAGTCCTAAAATTGCTTGTAGGCGCCAAGAATTTAGCAACCAAGTTACTGACTGGGCAACTGATAAACACAGGACAAGTAGGAAATGGTTTCTAGATTGTTGGTCTAGCATGGACTGTGCTTAAGGTATTTCTATATTTAAAAGGTAACATTGATAGAAAAAGCTAAGTGATAAGATATTGGCCAAATGTGTCCAAAAAGTAATTGTAAATTTAAAAATGGCTAAAATATCCCCCCTTCCTGGAGGAAAAAACATGCCAGTAGATTTCTTTTCTAATACTACAAACTGGGCATAGTTTGGGTATCCAATTAACTGCATTTTGGGTCAAATGACTTTGTATGGTGTTAGCACGAGCTCTGGGAGTACCTGGGAGGGAACAGCCCTTCCCCAGATAGTTTTCAAAATTGACTCAAAAGTATATGCCGCTCCTCTCTCTTTTGGAAAGAGGAAGGATGATATGGGTTGGAGAAGCACGTGGAGATGTTTAATTTCCAAATTAAATATTGTTTAATATTAAGTCCATGTAATTTAAATTTTTATCTCCTGGTGCCCAAAGGGTTCATTGTTTTTCCCTTTATTTGAGGAAGATTTTATAAACTGTCCCCACTAAAGAAATCTGTTGGGGAAGAGAAGGACAGAATTGCCCCAAGGAGGGGCAGCTAGGGAGCTTATGGTTAAGTAAGGTAATGGATGATGTAGTCATTAATGTGGTGAGCGTTTTACCCTACCAGGAGTCGGTGAGATGACCCAGGAGAAGTTCAAGCCTAGAGAGGAGCTCGATCCGCCCAGTGCGGAGCAGGCGAGTGACGGGTTTGAAGAAGTGCCCAGTGAAGATAGTTTGGAGTTGCTGGACGCTTCGACTGACAGTGAGCTTTGGATCACGGGGCAGAAGCCCGTCTCTGGCGCCTTTGTCCCTAACAACAAGGGCGCTTTCCCTAGTCACTACAGATCTCTAGAGGTGAAGTGGTGGGGATGAAAGAAAGTGAGAATTGAGGAGCTGGAGGGTCTGAGCAGCGAAGAAAGAAATGGAAGGCTGCCCTATAAGGAAGATTGGGTCAGTGACGAGATGTGAGAGTGGAGCTGGATGGAGGCTGAGAAATAAACTGTCAAAGAGAGCCGGCTCTTGTGGCGTTTTTCCTCAGGTCCTTCGCTCGCCTGTGGTCGTCCTAACTTTGCCCACCCTCACACTCCAAGGGAGGCAGGTGCCTTGGGTCAAAGTTGTGAGTGACTGACCTCTAGGATCAGAACAGGCAGCACGGAGGGAGACCAAAGGAAGCGCAATCAGGAATGGTGGGCCACTGGCAGCGCCATGTTTGAGGGCTCACCTACACGTCCCATTGTCCCCTCCCCTTCCCAGAGCTCAGAGTTCTGCAGAGTAACCAAAATCATAAAGTCTGATGTGATATGCCCTACCCTCCACCTCACAAAGAGGGGGAAGGGTCTTCCTTTATAGCATTGAGTTTCTACTATTTTCTGTTCTTTCCATTTATATTGTCATTGTAGCGGATGTTGTTTTCCTGGCTTTATTTGCTTTACACCAGACATGACATTCATGCACCACGATACGTTGATCCATTTCCCAATGGATGGGCATCTATTTTGTATTCCAGTTCTTTGCTTCCATCAGAAGTGCAGCTTACAAATACTTGAATGTGCCTGGGATCTTCCTTTTGTCAATGACCCTCTAGCTGTGGAATCTAGGTCAAAGGGCTTAAACATGCTAGTGTTTTTCAATCAATCAATAGGTCATTAGCTATTAAGTGTGTACTGTGAGCCAGACACCCTGTAGCTTCAAGGAATAAAGCAATCAATATTCTCAAGGACCAGACATTTGTTCATAGGGAGACAACTACTAATCAGAGGCAGAGTTAAATCCCAAAATAAGTTAGGGTGAGCACTGGCAGCAGGCCAGGAAAGCTTGGTGGGGTATGTACCAGAATATAAGTTCAGTTTGAGATGTCTGTGGATATCCAGTTTGAAATGTCCAATAGGCAATTGGCCATGTGGGACTGAAGCTTAGGGGAGAAACCAAGCCCTGGGTATGATAACAGCCAGGTTTTATGTGTCATTTTAAAGTCTGCAAAGTGCTTTACAAATACCTTAATTTTATCCTCACAATGCTGGGAGGTAAGTGCTATTATCTGCCCCTTTTTTCAGATGAGAAAAACAGGCTGAGGGGGATTGTGACTTGCCCAGGGTCACATAACTCTTAGTGTTTGAGGCAGAATTTGAATTTAGGTCTTCCTGACTCCCAGGTCTACCTACGGTGCCACCTAGATAATGGATCTGCTAAGAGATCCATGGTATCTGGGAGAGATGGTTTTCAGATGAGCCATGAGGTTTGAACATAGGTAACAAAATTGTGGGAGAGAGTAAATGGAGACATTGCCTTTTTCTAGAACTAAAGCTGATGAGAGTTTGCTGTCCAGAGTCGGGGCAAGCCTGTCTTTCGAAACCCCTCTGCATTAACTGCTCCCATCTTATGCCATCTTTGTTCATCCACCCATCTGAGGTGAAACTTCAAGGTTGCTTGGATTTGCATCTTTCGATGATTTGAAGCAGTCTTTCATAAGGTTAACGGTTTGCAATTCTTTTGGAAACCTTTCCTTTGACCAAATTTACTGTGCATTGACATCAGATTTGATATTTTTTTTTTTGCTAGTCTGCTACTTACCCCAGTATTATTTTTACTAAATATTTTTATTTCATATAATCAAAATTACATATTTAGTCTTTAGTAATTGCCTCTATCCCTTGTTTGACTAGGAATTTATCCCCTACCATAGCTGTGAAAGGTAGGTAGATGATGACTTCTCTTTTAATTTCTTACACTATGATCTTTAGTGTGCAGGTCATATATCCATTTTAAATTTGTTGAGTATGGTATAAGATACTGATCCAAACTTTATTTCTGACTTAAAGGGGCTTTGCAGAAGAATCAGAAGCAGGTCAGTCAATGCTGAAAGCAAATAGGTCCTTTTTTGAGTCATTTCAGGGAAGGTCATATGGTTTCTTAGGGCTCATCCAAGAGAGCAGGCAGAGAAGGGTGGGAGAGTGGGGAAAGCAAAGATAATTACAGAGGACCGGGGCCTCCTCCCCTTCCTCCTGTCCAGGCCAGAAAAGGGCAAGGAAGGGGTACTGGCAGGCATTCTGAGGCTTTTGATCTTTAGGAGGGAGGGGGTCCACATAGGGCAAGGGTTCATGGTTATCCCAAGCTCAGGGCCTCCTGGGGGCATCCATCGTGTTCAGTTTCCTATTCCAGAGGTCTAGCAGAGAGATGATAATGTACTAGGAAAGTGGAGGTTTCTAACAATGAAGAGAAGAGTTAGATGCAGGGGGCTCCAGAGGATGAGTGGGACAAGCGAAGCAAGGTATGAAGTCAAGGGAGAGGTTTAGCTAGGGGGCAAAAGTGTGGCAGTCGAGATGGTGCCAACCTGAGCCTTGGGAGGAACAAGTTTCACAAAGTGGAGGAAAGACAGGGCAAAGGCATCTCTGGAATGATGGGTCCCAGGAACAGCAGGAGCATGACGGATGAGAGTCGTGTAATAATCAAGCCCAGAAAGGAGCAGGAAGCCTGAAAGGGGAGTTTGTACTCAAAGCGCTGGCTGATGCTCCAGGACCTCGGGAGACGCCGGTGCTTTGGGAACATCAGCGTAGGGAAGGGTGGAGAGAGCAAAGATGCGGCAGGGTCAAGGGTCAGGAACTGAACGACCATCACTGAGAGGCTGCCCCCGAAATGTCGTGGCAGAGCCTGAGGGGAGGATGGCAGGCTGAGACCAGTATGGTTTGTGCTGGCTGAGGAAGGAGAGAAGTATATGACTGAGGGTCACAGCACAGAGGAGGCTGGATTTGGGGGAGAGAGGAGAAATAAAGCGTGTTGCATTTAGGATACTTGTGGGACAGCCCCGGAGACAGGACCTGGCTTCAGATCCCGGCTCTCTTATATGTGAGTGACCCAGGCCCGGTCACATCAGTTTCCTCCTCTGTAAAATGATGGGATTGGATTCATTGACCTCTCAGGTCCCTACAAGTTCGTAATGTAGGACTTAGGATTTAACTATCACTGTCATGGAGAGGAGAGACTGGAATCCTTGGGAGATGATGAGATCCCTGAGAAGGCAGAGATGCAGCCTAGGAAAAGGGCATCCATGACAATGTCCCTACATTAAGGACTAGGTCATCCTTTTTTGTTTGTTTTGTTGGAGGCAATCAGGGTTAGGTGACTTGCCCAGGGTCACATAGCTAGTAAGTGTCTAAGGCCAGATTTGAACTCGGATCCTCCTGACTCCAGGGCCGATGCTCTCTCCACTTCGACACCTAGCTGCCCCTGTCATCCATTTTGAAAGATTGGGTATCACTGGAGAGTAGCTGAAGGGCACAGTAGATAGGAAGACAGCCTCTGACGTTCATGCCCCTGATAACATCCTCGCTGGGTGATCCTGGGTGAGTCACCTGCCTCCGCAGTGCTCCTAGACTGCTTTGAAGACTAGAAATTAGCCACCTGCACTGGTTGAGGGTGTTTATTCCTCCAGTGACATCACTAGGCCTGTCCTTACCCCTGTGAGCTGGCATCCACTGCAGGACAGAGGAGAGGAGGTTTTAGTCCCTTCATCTCCCCAGGCTCCAGTTACCTTGTGTGTCCAAGAAGAGGGTGGAACTCAGCTTGTCCTCTGACTGCCCACATCTCCACAAAGGAGATTTATATTATTATACAAATAATAGTTAGCATTTCAGGTAGCACTATGTGCCAGGCACCATGCTAAGTGCTTTACGATCATGATACCACCTGATCCTCACAACAACTTTGGGAAGTAGGTGCTATTATTATCCCCATTCTATAGATGAGGTAACTGAGGTAAACGGAAGCTATGTGACTTGCCCAGGGTCACACAGCTAGTGTCTGAGGCCAGATGTGAACTCAGGAAGATGAGTCTTCTTGACTCTAAGCCCAGTGTTCTATGCACTGTGGTACCCCATGCTGCCATAATAACAATAACAATAATAATATAATGGCTAATAAGCCCAGCAAACCTAATAAAATTTAAATTCTGTATTTCTGACCCAGATGATGAGGGCCAGTGATGAAAAATGGTCCTTTTGAGAGCTGCTAAGTTCTTGGGTTCATGGCCCCTCCTTCAGTGGCCTGGATGCACCTTAACCCCCCCTTCCATTTTTTTTCCCTTGGCAATTCACCTGTAAATTTAAGTGATTTGCTGAGTCTTACAGTGAGTATATGTAGCAGTCCTGCCTTCCCCACTACACCCAGGGGCCTGTCAGCTAATTTATTGTATCTCTAGGCAATATTTCAGCCATGAAGGGAGCCATGGTGCATAGAGTGCCAGGCCTGGAGTCAGAAGACTCATCTTTCTGAGTTCAAATCTTAACCCTGTTTGCCTCAGTTTCTTCATCTGTAAAATGAGCTGGAGAAGGAAATGGCAAACCACTCCAGGATCTCTGCCAAGAAAACCCCAAATGGGGTCGTGAAGAGTCAGACATGACTGAAAAATGACTGAACAACCACAAATGGATAGAAACGTGGCAGACTGAATGAGGGGTGCCACAGGCAAACTGACATCCAAAGGAAGACCGGATTTAAGGAGGAAAATGAGCTCAGTTTGGGTTACATAGTGAGTTTGTGAGGTCCTTGCAGGATAGCAAGACCTGGAGATGCATTGTAGGCTGTTGGAGATGGAGCTCAGAATGCAGATCAAGATTTTAGTTAGGTATTTGGGAATGATAGAGAGCACTGTTGTTAAGTGGACTTAATGAAGGTAGTTACAGGATTGCTGGATAGGAGGGAAGAGAGCCAAGAACAGACATTTGGATATCCCACATGAAGAGGTTGGTTAGGGAAGGATAAGCCAGTTGAGGAGGACAATGAGAGGGAGCCAGAGAATCAGCAAAGTGGAATGTCTCTTAAGATGAAAGAAAATCCAGTTTGGGGGGAGGGGTCGTTAGTACAAGAGGGGAATCGAGGCCAAGGAGGAACAATGAAAAATGAATGTTGGGTCGAGCCAAGTGTTTACTGTCGCAGCTTTCGTAGACAGGTGGGGGACCAGACAGGTTGCAGGCGGCTGAAGAAAGGAACGGTGAAGAGGTAAGCACACGAGGGATGTCATCGGGAACCCCAAGGTGCTCTAGAACAGGCCCACCTTCTTACCTGCAGCCTTCTTTAGGTGGTGCTGAATGTCTTGAGTCATTGAGGGCCACATTGTTGGAAGAGTTCAGGCCTGTGATGGAGGGGAGCCGGCCACAGCACATCGGAGGAGCCACGTACAGATCCCAGAGCGGCCTCGGAGACTTGACAGTCGCAAAAGTACTTCTGGTGGTGCTGAGAACTAGAAACTAAGGAGATGCCCATTGATGGCGTGGCCTGTGAATGTAATGGAATCTTTCTGTGCTGTGGGAAACCTTTAATATAGTGAACTTGGAGAAGCCTGTGGTTTCCACAAACTGTGGGAAAACAATAAACACAATAATAAAGTATTTACTGTGTGCCAGGAAGGGCAGCTTGGAGGCAGGAAGACCTGAATTCAAATGTGATCTCAGACACTTACTAGCTGTGTGACCCTGAGCAAGTCACTTCATCCTGTTTGCCTCAGTTTCCTCATCTGTAAAATGACCTGCAGAAGAAAATGGCAAACCATTCCAGTATCTTTGCTGAGAAAAGCCCAAATAGGGTTACAGAGAGTCAGACAGGGTGGAATACCACTGAACGCTACCACCAAAACCCCCCAAAAGTTATCAATCAAAATTTATTCCCCCTTGAGCCTCCCTCTTATCTCCTCTGCGTTCATCTTGTATGTACATCCCGTCGTCCTGTACACTGACGTTTGATGTAAGCTCTTGGAAGGCTGGGACCCTTTTGGTTCAGTCCTAGCTGATAGATACCTGTGGAGCTCTGTGCTAACAGGGCGGCTATAATCCCTCTAGTTTGCCCTTGAGCACCACTGGCGCTTAATAAATGCTGATGGGTTAGGTGATAATTCTGGACGCCTCAAAACTACACTAAGACTTTAGGGACACTCTACAAGCGCCGCCCCCCAACACACAAGGAAAACAAAAAACCGAAAAGGTGGTGGGCTGCAGGTGCACAATGAGGCATACCCTGTCTGTCAACAGCCAAGGCACTGACTGACTTCTTTTCGGGGACCGCCCTTCGCTGCTACCAAGGCAGTGGTCTGAGGGTCTGGGGGAGACTCGGAGCTCTGGCGGCGATTTTGAAAAGGTGAGGGGTACCAAAAATCCATTAAAAGGAAAAAAAAGTTCAAGAACGGAAGAGGTTCGTGTACAAAGCCTAACTCGCCTAGTGCGCCTGCTCCGGGTACCGGACGCTCATTGGCGGGGCGTGCCGCCCTCTGATTGGCTTCCCCGGGGACACGCCCCCCCCGGGGTCCCGCCTTCTCTCTCCGCCGCAGTCGAGGGCCCCGGGCGACCCGGAAGTGGTTGCTATGGCGGAGGCCGGCGAGAGGGCGGGGCCTGCGGACGCTGGGAGCCCAACGCTGGGCCGCCCGCCGCCTCCCTGCCTGTGCCCACTGCGCGCCCTCCTCTCGCTCCACCCGCCGGGACAGCTGCGGCCGGAGCGTCCGCTGGGGTCGGACGGGAGCCGAGCCCATGGCCGCCGTGCTATCCTACGAGAGCCTGGTCCACGCCGTGGCCGGCGCCGTGGTGAGGAGGGGGCGGGGGGAGCGGAGCGGGCTTGGGGGGACCCGGATGTGAGGGCGCGAGCCGGGGGGACCCGGATGTGGACGGCGCGAGCCCGGACACCCGGATGTCCGGGCGCGAGCGGGGGAGGGGCCCCTCGGGCGCGTGCCGATAAGCGTCGGTGGGCGAAGGACCCTTGAGTCCGAGGGCCCTTGTCCCTTGAAGGGGGAGGGGCTTCCCGGGCCCCGGACCTCGGGTGGGAAGGTCCTGTATACTGAGCGCTCAGTGAAATGCAGCGAGGCCTTCGATTGCGAACTGAGGGGGAGGGGGTCCGGGGGTCCGGAGCACGGCCAGCCCCCTCATTTACAGAAAAGGAAACTGAGGCAAAACGACTTGCCTAGGGTCACCCGATCAGTAAATGGCAGAGACACGAGTCTGGGGCGGGGGCGCCCCGAGTCTCTCCCTTTGCTCCGCGGAGGGTCCGCCCGTCCCCCCCGGCGTCCTTTCCGCCCCGTCTGGGCCGTTCATCATCTGGGGTGGGGGTGTGCCTGGGGCCTCGGGCTGGCCATCTCCTCCCTGCCTGGGCCCCCACCCCCTCCCCCACCCCCACCCCCTTCCTCGGGGTCGGCCCTCGCTGACTCCCCGTGCTGCTGCTGCTGCTGGAGAAAGAGACCCGGCTCCTTGGCAGCGTTGGGGGCTGGGGGCGTGTGAATGGTGACCGGCCAGGTGTGAGTGACAGGTGTGGTCTTCCCCAGCCTCGGACACCTGCCCCCCGACTGCCCTTGGTGGCTCCGAGGCTCGAAGCTCTCGCCACCCTTGGCTCTCGGGGGCCTGGCCTCCCAGCTCCCTCGTCTCACAAAGTGGTTTTCCCATTTGCCTCCTCAGCTCCTCCCTGTTGGAAATTCGGACCCATTAGTTCCAATGCCCCTGGGGCAAGCAGAGGAAAATTGTTTCTCAGTGGGGCATCAGGGGAGGGAAGGAACCTTCGAGGTCATCTGGGCTGACCTTACCTGGCACTGTCCATGGCTCCGTTGTGTGTTGGGGCGCCCTTTGGGCAGTGTGGTATGATGCAAAGAGCCCAGAGGGCCTGGGTTCAGATCCTGCCTCAGTGGCCTTGGGCAGGTCACTTAACCGTGCCTCTGTGTCTCAGTTTCCCCCTCTGTAAAATGAGGGGATTGGACTTGATGACCTCTGAGGCCCTGTCAGCTTTAAATTTGTGGTCTTTGGAACCCCCACCCCCTTTCCCTACCCACAATTGTAATCAACCAGAAATTATTCTCTATTTTAAGTGTCTTTTCTGTGCCAGGTCTCATGCTGGGCACCGAGGGTCGTAGCAGGCCCTGCCCTCAAGGACTAACTTCTCTTCTGCTGGCGGGGCATGGGGAGAAGCGGTGAGAAAGTGGGGGTGGGAGAGTGCCGCTAGAGGCCTGTGCAGAGTCTTTTTCCGGGAGGTGACAGTGGAGCTGAGGGCCTCCCAGGCTGGGCTGCTTCATTTGGGGACAGCTCGAATTAGGGACTTTTCCCTTCGGGTTCCGCTGACATCTCCCTCCACCGACGCTGGTTGTATTCGCTGGGCTCAGGCCGACTCTCTGGGCCCTCGGGCCCGCTCTCTTCACATTCTCACCGCCGAGAGGATGCTCCCATCGCTTCAAGTCAGACCTGTATTGGGATGGCTGCTGGCCAGATCTAGGGCTCTGCCCCAACTCCAGCTTCTGCCAGCCCTGCCCCAGCCCCAGGCGTTTGGCATGTCTGTTTTTCTGGTTCCACAGGTTTGTGATCGTCTCTGTCCCCTGCCTCTTCACTTCCCCACGTTTGATGTGTCATGCCCCTTTCCCCGTAGCCGTTGCTGTCGGGTGGGCCCTTTCAGTGCCCCTCAGCTCTGCTACTCCCCGTAGCTGCTCTTGGTAAGCCAGTCCTTTGGGTAGCTGTTGGAAATTGAGCTAGCCTTTTTCAAACACTGTTCATCATGCCGCCCACTTGCTTAGCCATCTTCATGGTTCTCGACTGGTGGCTGACTTCTGCGCTTTCTCCTCACATCTCATTAACGCATTTTTGGTCCCTTGGAGCACTCTCCTCCTCTTCACCAGTCCCTTTTGCTCTCCTTCAATATGTGGCTCCAAAGAAGCATTCCATGAGTGAATAGAGCCTGATTATTCATAGGGTCCCACCCCCGGTGGTTCTGGGCTTGTATAGATAGTGCCAGTTTTCCTGGGTATGTTCTGTAGTCTTAGAAAGGTTACTTTTATCATGTGTGCATGTACTTTAGTTCCCTCTAGATTGAAAGTTCTGGGACCACGGTTTTTGTTTCTTTTGTATTCCTGGCCTCTGCTTTCAAAATGAACAGACTCGCTTAAATTCTTTGGTCACGTTGGGCCGAGGAAGCAGGCCTCTTACTTCTGTATTAATTCTACGTAGAATTAAATTTAGAGTTTCTGAGACTCAGACTTCAAGCTGGAGGGATATCAGCGGTCATAAAAACCAATCTCTACCCAAGTCGCAGTTCAGAATTCTTCCAATAGCCACCTGGTGGGCATCCGCTCTGAGCCGTGGCTTTGTGGGGCAGCCTGGTGAAGGAGCTGAGGGGTGCGTAGACGAGGCAGGAGGGCAGTAACGGGGGGCACCAAGAGCTGTAGGATTTCAGAGCAAGAAGAAATAATGTCATTGGGGGAGATATGTGACAGAGATGGCATTTGAGCCCCTTCTAGAAGGATGGGTGATGGAGCTGAGGAGGGGAGAGGGTGTAGAGGAGGGGAGGTGGTAAAGTGCAGATCCTGGTGATGAATGAATGAGTGAGTGAGTGAGCATCTAGTAAGCTCTTCCTGTGTGCAGTGCCCTGTGGTAAGAGCCGGGGCACTGATGGAGATGTAGCAGCCCCTGCCCTCGAGGAGGCCCCGATCGAGTAGGGGAGACCCCACAGAGAGGAGGGTTCAACTGCAGGGCCGATGGAGAGCCCCTGTGGACCTTCGGGACTGCAGCGAAGCAAATGGTAACGTCTTCTTTTGTGTCGTTTCCGTGGAGAAAACTATGTCCGTTTTTGCTGCTGAAGCCTTTGGCGGTCACTTGGAGTGTGGGACCAGAAAGAAATTTCTGGCCCTCCTCAGTGCCTCTGGCTGTTGCCCTGCCAGGGGCAGGTGCCACCTGTGTCTTCATGAGAAGGGGCTGCTAGGCTGGCCCGGGGGTGGAGGGGCCCGCTCCTCTGGGGCTCCTGCTCTGAGTCTTGGACTGAGAGCAAGTGGGGCCGGGGTTCTTTGCATCTGCCTGGAACGAGATTGCTCCTGCTGTTACCTCCGGATGCCTGCTTCGGAATGTGGCATTTTCTTCTAATATAATCCCTGCCTCCTCATGTAACACTTAACTTTATGTGATTCAGAACTTCAGTGTTGCTGTGTTTTTCTATTTCGCCTGTAAAATAAATTAAGAGTGTAAAACACGGATGTGAACATGTAATAAACACTTTGTTTTAGCCTCCGCTCTGCCCCTGGGGCACCCTTGCCCATCCCCAGAACACATGTATACCTACCTCATCGGTTGGCGCTTTGCCTTTTTTCTCCTACAGCCCTCATGTAGGAGAGCTGGTCTCTGACTTCATGTCATAAGGAAAGTCTACACGGATTATGTCCGTTCCTCAGAAACATCCCAACCAAATCCATCACCATGTGACAGGGAACACGGAGCCTCGCTTGGGTTGGGACTCCAGTGAGACATTAGCCGGTTTTTATTAAACATCGTAAGCTTAGGATCATAGAAGCCTCCATGGGGCTGTTGTGTAACCCTGAGTAGCAGCAGGTCAGCTTGCCAGACCAAGAGGTAGGCCCTCTGGTTCCACTTAAAGGATTTTTCCCCGAAAGAGCCTTTGGAGACGTATTGAGTGAACAAGCCTTTACTGAACACCACGTGCCAAGGTGCAGTTAGAAACACTTCCGCCCTCAAGGAAATCTGGTTCTGCACAGTCTCATGGCAAGTGTACGCGGATCATACGCAGTCTTTGAGTGGGAAGGGACAGCAGAGGTCGTGTAGTTCAACTACATCCCATCATGAATCCGCTTTCCTTCCATGACAAATGGGCATCAGCCTTTGCTAGAAGACCTCTCATGAGGGCCACTCCCTACCTCCCAAGGCAGCCCGAGGCACTTTGTGTTTGCTGTCGTTCTCGGGAGGTGTGGTCCTAGCTCAAGCTTGATGCTGCCTCCTGAGCACCACGTTGGCCCACTTCTCTTGTTTCTGCCCTCTAGGCTGAGTCCATTTCTTCTCCAGACATTTGGAGGCAGCTCTCCTGGGCCCCCTATATGTACCACATTGGTCTTGATAGAGGGCAGTTTTCTCAAATGTCATCTTTTTGAAAAGAAAACCATGTAGGTGTGTACTGACAAATAATTACCAAGTACGATTCTGGGCTTCTCTCAGGTTTTGTATAAATTAGATCAGTCTCAGGAAAAGCATATCCCATGTTGAGAGCAGTGTGGGATCCATACACTCCATGTTTGGGCATAGCTATTACAGGTGTAGACAGCCATTACTCCCACAGTTAGCTGCCCCACTAATGCTGCTTGTCAGCCACATGAATGCCACAGGAGCCTGCTTAGAAAAACAAAGCAGACAGGGTGACCTTGGCAGGCCCTGCCCCCTTGTTACAGTTTCTTCACTGTTGCTTTTTTCATATGTATAAAAAGTGGACTGAAATTGCTTTGATGTATGTGTTTTATTTTGAGTTTTGTGACAGGAATGATATTTTGTTGACAGTTTGGAATGTTGTAGAGCGGGGATTGAGGATCTCTTTTTTTTTTTTGGAGAGTAGCATTTTACCAGGAGCCAATTTAGAGACTGAAGCAATGGGCGGAAATCTCTTGGCCAAGTAGCCTCATATCTAGGCAAAGCAGAATCCGTAAGACTTCAGAGAAGCAATAGCTGCAGACAGGCCTATCCTTACTTATCTGGGTCTCTCTCGCCTTGACTCAAAGACTCATAATTTGTGGAAATAGAAATTTGGAATTTTAAAAGAATTTTACCCAGATGAGTTTGGTTTTTTAAAACCAGATTCTAATGCGCTGTAGTGCCACAAGAGCCTTATTTTGTTGGAGTTGTCCAAGAACATAGAGAAATCTTTGGTTTCAACATCAGAGCAGACTTTGGAACGATACTGATGATGTTAATCAGTGACTTTCAGGGTACATCTTGGCTGTGGCCTGTGGAGAGCCTGGCCTCAGACCTTTGTGGGGAAAGGGGCATGATTTCCCCGACACTCCTCCCTGGCTCCTGCCTCATCATTAGGCAGCCTCCTGGAAGCCTCTGCTTTCGAGCTGAAAGCGACCTTTGAGGTCATCAAAGCCACCCCCTCTTCTCACCAGCTTTTACAGATGCAAAAACTGAGAGCCCAAAAGATTAAGAGATTTGTCCAGTGTAACCTGGGATAAGCTTCAGCTCAGGCCCTCAGACTCAAAAACCAGTCTCTTCCTGCTGTATTACTCAGTGCTGAAAAAGGACCTGTTGGATAGAGCACCGGCCCTGGAGTCAGGAGGACCTGAGTTCAAATCCAGCCTCAGACCCAGAACACTTAACTAGCTGTGTGACTCTGGGCAAGTCACTTAACCCCAACTGCTTCAAAAAAAAAAAAAAAAAGGACCTGTTGTCAGGGGCCTGGCGTTGCACAGAGGAGGCTTGTGCTAAACGTGTCTGGCCTTCATCTTTTCCCCTGAACTGAAGACCCACAGCCTTCGGTCTGCACCTGGATGTGCTCATGTATCCAAAGCTGAATGCCCCCAATCTTGCCCCATACATGGGAGTCAGCATGGTAGAATGGAAAGGAAACACATTAGTTCTGGAGGCAGGACCTGGATTCCAATTCTGCTTACAGTGTTTATGCACCACCTGTGGATATGAGGCAAGTCACCATTCTCCTGCGGCCTCAGTCACTCGTCTCTGTAAAATGGGAGAATGAGGTCCCTGCAGGCCCCCCCCAGGCTCAAATGACATCCCTGCTGTCATTCCACCACCTGAACTGCTGCATCCAGCCGCTTGATGGTGTTTCTCCTAGCAAGGGGAATGACGTGGCCTCAAGACCGTTCCCACCTTTACCATGTAACCTTGGGCCAGTCGGCAGCCTCTCCAGGCCTCAGCTTCGGCCTCGCTGGGAACGGGATCAGCGGCTTTGTCCACGTGAGGCCTGTTGTCTGTGCCCTCATCAGTTCTGATCCCCTTTGAGAGCAGCGGCCTTCCAGTCTGGCCTGTGTGCACCTGCGAGACTTTCCTGCTAATGTTCTTTGTGTCCTCAAACCACCCAGATTTCCCCATTGCCTACCAGATAAATTCTCACTTGCCCTGGTATGTACGTATGTCCTGCCTAATGCTGCTGTCAGCAGAGTCTCTGAATATTAGGTTTTAAGCAGTTCCTTGAGCAGGGTGCATCGTAGGAAACTACATATATGTAGACCAAGCATCACAGTAATCCCCGCTGGCCGAGCTAATCGATGCTTCCCCCGGACTTCAAATGCAGCCTCAGATCATTGAGGTTCCTCTGATTTTTGACTCCACGGACATTTTAAGCCCATTTCCCAAAGCCCTGGGCTGTTTTGGGGCTACAAGGTCAAAAGTAACCTTTGCTGTCCTAGAGTTCATGGGGCTTCCTGACCAAACCTATGAACAGGTGACACAATCAAGGCTCTGACTGGCCTGGTCAGCTTCATACCAGTGTCCTTCCCATCTCCAGCTTGCCAGCTCAGCTGTGCCACTCACCCCTTTCTTCTCTCTCCTTGCACACTCCTGTGTCTTGTCATGTTGTCCTCTGTACTTAGAGTGGCCAGCTGCACGGCCATCTCTGTTGGAGCATCGCTCTTCCTTCAAGGTCCGGCTTAGATACCACCTCCCTCCTGGAGCCTCCCTCATCTGTGCCTCCTATCCCCAGATGAAAGTGAACTCTGCCTTCTCAGATTTCTCCTGGTGCTTTGCACCTCTTCTCTGATTCCATGTGTACTTCTCTTCCCCACCCCCATTAGACTGTAGTCTCTTTTAGATGAAGGCCTGTATACTACCCAGCATAGTGCTTTGCTCTTGTTCACGGGCAGGTTTGAAATGACCACTGAGTAAAAAATGTCATTGTCAGATGCCAGATGGGGCAGCAGTTTGGGGCAGAGGGTGCCCAGCTTCCTCTTCCTGCCTGTAATTTGTTCCTAGCCAGACTGGATGACTCCCTGTCCTTTGCCATCTCATCCCACTTGCTCAAGCTTCTCTGTCAGCAGCAAAGAAATCCCTCTCTGGGCCTGCCTGTAGAAATCCCTGGCCATTCCCAGGAGCCTGACTCTTGTTTAAGCCCTTGCAGAAAAAGCCTTCAGCCAATTGGGAAATTCCTTCTGAAATGTCAGCATTTCTCTTACCTCGACTCTGCTTTTTCACCTTCTAGATTGTATGGCAGTCTGCCCTGCCCTGTTAGATTGTCAGCTCCTTGAGGGAGGGGATGGGCCCCTCTTGGTCTTCTTGCAGAAGTACCAAATAGATGGTGGGTACAGAATGTTTGTCGAATTCAGTGTGCATTAAATGAGTAGATCCGTTCTTCGGTTTCCCATTCTTGGTAAAGGCCATATGTACATCAGAACATTTGTTGTACTTTGTATTGAATAATTTTAATAATTGGTCTAAAATGTACCGATTTTAACTTCACAAAGTACTTTTGTGTCCATTATCAATCAGTCAACAAACATTGTGTGCTCATTCATTTTACATGTGATAAAACAGAGTGATTAGGTACTTCCAGGCACCCCCACCCCTAGTCCAGAGAAGGAAATATAAGCCCAGTCTAGAACCTAGGTCTCCTGATTCCAGGATCATGGTTCTTTCAACTCTGTCACCTTGTTCCTCCGTTTTCTGATTTTGCAGTTTTTGGTTCCACTTAAGTTTGCTCATTAATTTAGTGTAACACTTTGAATCCTCAAAACAAAGTTGGTGACAATCGAGTTTACAGGTAGGGAAATTGAGACAGGGATATTATATAGGTTATGTAATTATACAACGAGTAGAGACCCAGACAGATAGTAGCTCCTATAAAAAAGAGCAGGGGAGAAGTGGGGGTTATGGATTACAAGCTCAGCGATAAAATGATTGAACAGCTTTGTCTGCCTTAATGGTCAGAGAGTTTGGAACAAAGGAGTTTGCTCTGCTGGCCTCTGTCCTGGTCTCACCACCTTGGGAGGCCTGGGTTCTGCATTGTGTATCACGTTTTAGGAAAGGACTTCATAAACGAGCCACAACATGTTTAGAAGTGACTGAGCTAAGGAGAAAATTAGACAGGACATCGTGCGAGAATTCAGGCTGTTTTCACATGAAAGATTCCATTAAATTTGAGAACTGTTTATTTAATGCCTCCTATGTGCGGAGTCACAGTATTTGGTGCTGGGCATCTAAAGATGAAAAATGACATAGTCCCTGCCTGAAGGTGCCTGTGGCTTACTCAGTGGGGATGCGTCACACACGCAAATAAGCAGAATACAAAGTCGGGTATAACAGGAGCAAAGGAGAGCCTAGACGATGCTCTAGAACGTTGGGGGAGGGGAACTTTGTTTTTCAAAGCTTTTTGTCGCTATCTTTGACTTTTACATCAGTGACATCAAAGGGACCAGTATGTCCCTCCCCCACCCAGAACCATCCCTCTTAGCAAAGAATAAAACATGGGGGTGGGGGGAGGGAAGCAGTTCAGCAAAAGTAACTCATAGAGCAACTAAGTTTGAAAGTGTATGCGGTAGAGAGAATGTTTAATGGTTGGGTCAAGCGAGACTTTCTAGGGAATTGGCCCCACAGCTGAGCCTTGGAGGAGGTGTGGGGGACGTGCCTGTCTAAATCCAGGGCGGCGGAAGATGGTCAACCAGGTTGGCTGGAACATGGTGCATGGAGGGGAGCCCTGGGAAAGTAGTTTGGAGTGAGGTTGTGGAAGTCCTCAAGGGGCTGGCGTTTTCTGCTCTTGGCAGGAGCTTTTGAAGGTTTGGGTGAAATCCTCTGTCTAGGCAACTCTTCCCTTGCTCCTCATTCTGCCCTTTGGGATTCACGAGAAAGCCCCTTAAGCAGCTCACTGACAAAGCTGTTAAAGAGTAGACTTGGATGGAGGCCGGCTGTGAACTGCACATTGGAAGGGACGTTTAGTCTTGTTGGCCTAGTTCTGCTTGGGCCCCAGGGGACAGGGCCGCAGGGCGAGTGGGTGGCAGATAAAGGCGACAGATTGATTGCTCCTGTGAGGACACACTTCCTTAATGGAGCTGTCCGCAGCTAGAATGGGCTGGTTTGTGGAGTCGCGATCTTCCAGGGGAGGCCTCGAAGCAGAGGCTCTGTGACTTCCTGACAGGGAGATTGCCGAAGGTCCGAGGGGCTCATGCCCTCCTGAAAGAGCTCAAAGGTGTCTTCCAGCTCTTAGGATTCTGGGAGAGGGAGCCGATGGGTCCATCGGACAAGGGTGTGAGCCCCTCCCCCTCTTTGTGGTTAGGCCCGTGCCAGCCTCATAATTTCTCTAGATCGTAGAAAAGAAGTGGCATCAAATATTACATGGAATCAGATTTCCAAGCTGGAAAAACGTTTCTACCCACGCTTCCTACATCATGGGTCATGACGTGGCTTCATTGAATTTTGGAGCTATTTTCTAATCCAATCCCTCATTTTATTTACTTATTTTAATTTTTCCTTTTTTATTACAACTTCAAAAAACATCAAACGTGAACATTGCCTTCCCTCCTCTCATTTTACGGATGAGGCCCGGAGAGGATCGCAGTGATACAAGATCAGATCACTTGTAGCAGAAACAGAACAAGGACCAGGGTCTCCTGGTAATAGGTGATCCCCGTCCAGACCCTCCGTTTTATAGAGGAGGATCTGTGGTTCAGCAGGGCGAGACTAGTCAGAGTTCACGTAGGTTGAGGGATCTCCCATCAGAGATGGGACAGTTCTGTGAAGCTGGGATTCAGGCAGAGGGCTGCACTTGAGGACCAAGAGGGCCACATGTGGCCTCGAGGCCCCAGGTTCCCCACCTGTTAGACCAAACCATTAAGCTGGATGTCCCTGCTCTGCTGAAGCTCTCTTGTTTCATCCAGATGAGATGTTTTCTTATTCATTCCTGTGGTTTTTTCCACTAAAAAAGTGGTGCTTTCCCCTTTGTGCTCCCCACTTCTCCTCCCACCAGGTACTGGCCTAGCTTTCCTAAGTGTTTTCGCACCCCATCCCATGCTGGCTCCTGTTTTCCCGAGATAACTTTTGAAAGCTCGGTGCTCTTTTGTTGGCCGGCCTTTTCTTTTTCCACCACTGACTTCTCCAGGAGAGGAGTCAGAACTAACAGCTCAGGACTTCAAGGGATTACCTTACAGGGCTGGCGCGCTCATCCGGGCCTCTCGTCTTTCTTTTCTTTCGTCGCCTCATGTGGACCCAGCATCAAGACTCTGCATTGTGTGGCCACCGTCACTGTCCCCAGAGTTTGGTTGTATTCACTGGGAGCTCCAGGAAAGTATGCTTGGGTGACCTTCCTCCCCAATCTCTGGCCTTGATTCCTGATGACCTATCCAGTTAGAGGTCTAATCTCAGGTTAGCTTAGTCGGTAAGCCTTTATTGAGTGTGTACCATGTGCCCGGCACTGTGCTAAGCTCTAAGAATGCAAAATGAAGTAAAAGACAGTCCCTGCTCTCAAGGGGCTCCCAATCTAGCGGGGAGATGACGACCAAATATATACAAACAAACTTTATAAGGGGTAAATAGGAAATCGTGAAGAGAGGAAAGGCACTAGAATTAAGAGGAGTTGGGGAAGGCTTCCTGTGGGTGGTGGGATTTTAGCTGAGACTTGCAGGATACCAGAGAAGCCGGGAGGAGGAAGTGAGGAGAGAAATCATTCCAGGCGTGGGAGACAGCCAGTAAAAATGCCCAGAGCCAAGCAATGGACCAGCCAGTAGGCCAGTGTCACTGGATCAGAGGGCACACGTTGGGGTGGAAGGTATAAAAAGACCCCACAGGTAGAAGGGGCTAAGTTATGAAGCAGACTTTTCTGTTAGGTCCCAGAGGCGCCGGGGCCCCACCGCAGGCTACATCTTTACAGTCGTGATTCCCTGGAAGGAGTAGAGAATACAAGTTCCTCAGGTTCTTATCAATTGCTGACGATAAAAAAGCGTTTTATTTAGTCGCCCGGTCGTCAGGCGTTTACGTATGTGCAAAGTGCTGAGGATTCAGAGAAAAAGTCCCAAAACGTCCCTGCTCTTAAGGGGCTCCTATTCTGAGGGGCAGACACCAGGTGAGGGCCCTCTTGTAACAGACTGCCTTCCTTGTATGTGTCACAACCACCAGTGATCCCTTTAAAGTTGTAACAGCAGAGACAGCCTTGACCTCTTCAGTATTGCTTGCAGGTTAGGCAAATGAGGAAAGGCACTAGAATTTGTTCTAAGGCTGTGCCACTGTCCCAGAAGTTCTTCCAGGCCAGGTTCCTGCAGGTGCTCCTGTTTGTGAAGGAGAGTGTGCCGATTGCCCCAAGACAGGAAACGCATTTCTGGATGAGATGGGTAAACGCCTAGAAGAGTGGCCGGTGTCTACTCTGTCACAGGCAGTCGGATGACGGGCCTGGGGCAGGGCCGACGGGACGTGAGCTAAGCTCAGGATTGAATCGGAGAGCCAGTTGGAGCAGTCTTTGGGAAATGGCCTACAACAAGCTTCTTCCTAGAGCAAAGGTCCATGTTTTTATTATTCAAAGTGTGTTCTGTTTTGTTTTCACACAAAATCACTTTTCACCGACCCTTCTGCAATTCCCTAGTTGGCCCCCTAAGTTTTTGTTCTAAGCCGCCTTTACCTCTGTTGCTACTCACTTGGTGGCAGTGACTCTGGGTACGGTTGTCTTCTCTTGTCGGTGACTCCTTGATTTCTAGATCCAGCCTCTGTTTCTCTCCCGAGCTCCCATAGGCTTCACCAGCCAGCTGCTCCTGGATTTCTGCTCCTGGATGAGCCAAGGGCACATCGGACTCGCCATGTCAGAGGCAGAGCTCCTGTCCCCCCCAGTCTCTATACTTCATGCTTGGCCCAGACATTAACTCTCAGGGAAGAAGCGTTTCAGATGGGTCTGAGTGCTGAGCAGCCCAGCTCGTCCTATCCCCAGGCAAAGAAATTGGGAAATAAAGGAGAGGGTGAGGCATTCTGGAAACTCTCAGGTGTTTGAACTCTGGTTGCTTACCACAAGTTGAGCAGGTTTTTTTCTATTGGCCTGCCCTTCCCATGAACATCCGCGCCCCTCCCTTTCACTTTGGTGACCTGAGGGGCACCGGGTGCGTTGGGAGATCTGCTGGGGCCCATCGTCAGATGTCTTGCCCACACTGCCCGGGTGAGCAAGGAGTCACCATCTCTCGCCCTTCTGGCAAGGTGCTGATGAGCCTTACACACCCTGCTGTGTAGAATCCTACGACCCTGCCAATGGCCTTGATGTTTGGTCTGCTGTTTGGAGCACTCACTTGCTCTTCCCTCTGTCCTGTGGCAGAGTCTTCCCTTGTCAGAACGGGCGCTTCTCCAGAGCAAGGACTGTCCGTATCTCCAGAACTCAGCCCAGTGTTGGGCACACGATAAGCACTTAATTGGTGTTTTCCCGTTTCGTGCCATCCTCTGGTTCTCAGTCTCACCCCCAGTCATTGCCAGATCTAGTGGCTTCTGTCCTCCACAGTATCTCATATATTCATCCCTCCTTCACCCCTTTAGTTATGAGGGATGATGGGACATCATCTGTTGCTTCTGGGCGAAGCCAGGCACGAAGGGCTTGCTTCAGATGGCCCCTAGAAGTTTGCATCGAAACTCAGCTTGGCCTCTCTGCCCCTTCTTCCTGTTCCTAGCACTGCCCTCGGCAACCAAGCCGAACCAACCCAGTCCGGCACCGATGGATCATTCAGCTTCTCTGGGACCTGGTGGATGGATGGCCTGTTCTTCCTTCTTTGTCCCCAGCAGAGCTCTGAGTCCATTCTGAAGGAAGTCTGGCCCCTCCCTGCACCCCCACAACCAAGCTTCAGCTCAGTCAGAACTTTAGGCACAGCACTCTGCTGCCTGGTTTCAGCCTCACATGTTTGTCCTTTTCCTGCTGTCTGTGCCTAGGACACAATATCCCACTGGACTGATCTTTGGTGACAGTTAAGTCCCAAGACCATTTCTTAGAACATGTCCTGAACTCTGGGAGAGCCACAGAGGAGGCCAGACATAAGGGGGCAACTTGTGTGCGCCATTAGATGGTATGAGTTTGTCATCAGCCCCCATTTAGAGAGAACATGCAGCCAAAATAACCAAATATGGTCATAAGGGTTTAATGTGTTCATGCAGCCAAAGGTTCTCAAAAAGGTCTTTAGAGTTTCGCTGCCAAGCCAACTCTTAAAATAGTTTAAAACGTCAAGGCTTTGTCCGTCCGCCCTCTAGGCTAATTCACAGAACGTTCAGACTCAATTTCTCTCATCTGAATTGATGGTGCCAGCTCCCTCTGGGGCTTAGGACAGTGGCTTCTTTGGAAAGATTGTAGTGGAGGCAGCTAGGTGGCACAGTGGATGGAGCATTGGCTCTGGAGTCAGGAGGACCTGACTTCAAATCTGGCCTCAGACACCTGATGCTTACTAGCTGTGTGACCTTGGGCAAGTCACTTAATCGTGATTGCCTTGCCCTCCCTCCCCCCAAAAGAATTGTAGTGGAGCTAGTCCAACGAGGTTCTCAGTAATTGTAGGGTTTGCCACTATGAAGTGGCGCCTGCCAGAGATTCCTGGGCTGGGGGTGGGGTGGTGAAGTCCACAGTTTTATGACTAAAAAGTGTCTGTCCTGGAAAAAGAAGATGTCACCTTTCTGGAGGCCGTTCCCTCAGATGGTGGCAGAACTCCCACTTGGGCAGTTAGGACAGAAAATCATGAATTTCTTTTTATTTGTGACTGGTGGCATCCTCTCACACTGGGCCTTCTCTGTGTATAAGAGTAACCCCCTTGCAAATTAGCACAGATAATTCTCAGGAAAAAATGACAGAATAGAATGATTCGGACTGAACTGCTAATGAAAAAACTGGGCTCACAGCCCTTGGCAGACGATGGCGTCCACAGTGGACGTTTTAGTGTAGGATCGGAGGCCTGGAACAGGCCTGAAATGAGGACGCTGAGGCTGAGAGCTGGATGCCTGACTTGCCCAGATGGCTCCAGGCATTCCCAGTTCAAGTCCAGCACTCTCTCCCCAGCACCTGATTGAAGTCATTGTGTACGCAGAGCTATTCATGCCGAGGAGGGAGGAGAAAAATTAGAAGGCCAGTTTGGGACGAATCTTTGTCCCTCTGGACCCCAGCAGACCATCCTCAGAATGATTTCGAATATTTGTTGAATTAATTTTTATACCATTCTGCTGTCTCTGAGCCTGAGTTTTAGAACACCCTTGGATCTTTGGCAGAAGAAAGCCAATATCCTTAGTTTATATTGCAAGTGATTACCACACAGGGCTTGCCCAGGTTTTTGGTGCCCACCAGTTTCACTTTGGTTTAAACCAGCTACTTTGGCTGTAGAAAGCTCAGACCTTCTTGAATTGGTGCCTTGGAAAAAGACTACGTCCCCCTCTCCAGCCCCCCCTCCCCAGCCACTAGCCAGCAGTGTTTGAAATGGTTTTTTTGTAAGCTGTTTGGAATTAGAAACAATTGTTTTAAGAAATAACCTTCTAAATGGCGGTTAGGTTTCTAGACTATACCATAATGTAAATGAAATACTATACATTGAAAATCTAAAAATTCTAGCAATACTTTTATGCCAATAAGTAAAAGAACCCATCTTCCCCCCGAAAAAAAATTCATAGAATCTTGGATTTAGAGCCAAAAAGATCATCTAATCCAACCCATAAGAGGAAACTGAGGCCTACACATGTGAAATGACTTTCCAAAGTTCACAGCTAGTAAGTGTCAGAGCCAGGATTTGAACCCAGATCCTTTGACTCCAGGTCAGTGTTGTTTCCACTATACCACCTTGATCTTTACTCCTAATGCTTCAGAAAACACAGTAACCAGCTGACTCGTTGGGCTGGTGAGTTATTTTTTAGAGCTCCTGTAAGAGGATCTTAACAGTGCAGTATATTGACCAGTGTATGGTGATTGTTGAGCGTGGAATGAGTGGTGGTGACAAGAAGGAATCTGGAGTAACCAGAGACCTTGGAAGGTCGGGGACTAGATGGGAGATCCTTGAGGGCCATCCCGGATGAGATGGCCATTGGTGAATCAGGCTGGGATGTATTTATTTGGGTACCAGTAGAATATTCAAATATAATCAGTATGGGCATTCCTTTCAGCAGTGCAGATCACAGACCATCCATGCCTGTCAAGGGACCTTCCTTGATGCCTCCAGACATTTTGAACGTGCTGGCACTGCACGCCATCTAACCCTCTATTTATTGCTTTTCTTTTTTGTCACGGGACCAGCCCATCTTCTTTTTCAGTCATCCTTTGCTCCTGTTCTTGTTTGTAATTTTCTTGTCCTGTGTTGTAATTGCTCACACACCCACCGTTGCCCTCTGGGTGATATTCTTGCTTAATTCCTGGGAGACTTTTGTGTTCCATGACTCATGGCCATACTTTAAGGCTGGTGGAATATTGGTATTTTAAAAGATGGCTCCCTGTTTCTTGGAGAAGTACGGGGTCTTTATTAAAGGAGCTTTGTAATTTCCCAAAAGCAATTTCCCAAACCCACTCTTGCCGTCTAGCAGATGGCTGGCTCAGGCTCCCTATCCTTTCCCACTGCAGTGTTTGTTGGAGGTAGAAATACTGATGGATGAGCTTAATAGATGCTTGTCCTGCCTTCGTAGCCAGAGCTGACATTTATATATGTTTACAGATGACTTTCCATCCGTTGCTGTGCAATGCAACTCAACAGACCTTAAGTACCTAACAGTTATTAGAGTGGGATTGGGCTAGAAACTAGAGTAAACCGAAAACAGCCTCTGCCCACAAGGAGTTTCTGTTCCAGTAGGTCAGATCCCTTCTCTGGGTTTCAGTTTTCTCATCTTTAAACAAGAGGATGTTGGACTAAGTTGGTCCCTAAGGTCCCTTTCAGCTCTAAATTCTGTGCTCCTCTAAGTCACTTTGTGTGTTATAGTTGGAGAAAATCTCAGAGGGACGGCACTAGGATTGAGGAGGATTGGGAAAGGCCAAGAAGTGGAGAGGGCGAGGGAGAACATTCCAGGCATGAGGCACAGCCAGGGGAAATGCCCGGAGTCTGGAAAGGGAGGATCGTATTCGTGGACCAGCCAGAAGGCCAGGGTCACCATCGGAGTGGGGGGGGAAGGGGTGAGCCAAACTGAGAACCCCGGACTTGCTCCTGAAGGCAGTAGAGAGCCAGTGGAGCTGATTGGGGTGGTGATGTGGGCTGATCCTCACTTGGGAACATCAGTGTGACAGCTTGTGGAGACTTTCCAAGCCAGGACAAGGGCACAGGTTGGTTCATGGGCCCCCTGGAGTCGGTCTCATCGTTTGTAAAATGAGGGGTTCTGAAAAGTGTGTCGCAAGGATCCCAGAGCCTGTGGGAAAAGCCCAGAGAGCTCTGGGTGTGAGCATTGTGCCCGGACCGGGACCCATTCGCTTCACCTCTGTGGGGGTCAGCGGCTTCCTCTGGAAAGTTGCCAGGCTGGGCCGGACGGGGCTCCAGATGATCCAGCTAATGATCCCAGTAGCTGTGTGACCTCGAGGAGCTTGTGTTTGTGTGTCTGTGGTGCTGCTTGTTTGAGGAGTAAACACATTTTCTCAGCTTGCCCGCCTAACTTTTGTTTCTGTGGGGAGGAGACCCAGCATTTTTGTGGGAAGCCATTGTGCCTATATGCTGGCTTGGGTTGATGGTAAAGGGGTGTGTGTGTGTGTGTGTGTGTGTGTAATCTGTGTGTTTAGCCCCCTTCCACCATGCTAGCCCCTTTCTCCCTTTGGGGGTTCCTCCCTGGGACTCCGCTTTGGGGAAGGGCCCAGGCTGGCCGATTTTCTTTCCTTCTCAGCTGAGTTTCTGCCTTTCCAGACTTGAACCCCTTCAGTGCCCTCAGCTGGAGCCTTTACCACCTCTTCCTTTTCAACTCCTTTTTGGGCCTTATTATCTTTCCTCCATTAGAGTGTAAGCCCCTTGAGGGCAGCTTTTTGATTATATTTGTATCCCTAATGCTGAGTACAGGGCCTGGCACTTATCAGTACTTAATAAATGCTTGTTGGTGGCCTGCCTGTCTGTGTATAGATTGTGTGTATAAAAGTAGATTGTGTGATATGTATCTGTGTGTGTGTGTGTGTCCAAGGTATATAAATGTATATGCCTAAACATACAGCTATCGCATGTTCCCTTTTTGTAAATAAACTCATATTTAAAACTCTGGTTTGAGGGCCGTTGTGTGCATCCGTGTGGGGGGGTTGTGAGAAATGAATTCGGGTTCTCAAAGCGGAGAGTCTTTAAATGAAGGAAGGCAGGAGAGCTCCAACCAGAAATCAGCCAACTGTTTCCTCCTGGCCTCGGTGTGGGACTTGGCTTCAGATTTCTCATAAATAACTCTGAGTTCTGCCTTTACGAAAAAAAAAAATAATAATAAAAGGCTGTAGACGTTTTCTCCGAAGCCAGGATATTACTCTTGTGTAATCTCTAAAACTCAGTTACAGTTGAATGAGCTTGGTTCACATTTGGTGATTACAAAGCATCATAGTCTCATTTGAATTTTATAATGACCTCGAGGTTGTATAAAGTTGAGAAAAGCCTTTTTTGAAAAAGGAAGAAACTAAAAGCAGGGCTGTGATCTCATTTGGTCCTGGAAACAGCCCTGGGAGGTATTATCCTCATTCAACGGACAGAGAAACTGAGGGCGCAGAGTTTTCATGATCAGACAGAGCTAGGGAAGTGCCAGAGATGGAAACCTGTGTTTTCTTCCTCTAAGCCCTGGACCCTTTGGTTCCCTTCTCCCGTGCCCTGAGAGAGATCTGGCCTCTTAGCAGGATGGGCACACCCCTCTGCCCTTCATCTTCTGACCTCAGCCTAGCTGCCCATCCGTGTGTTCGCCCGTCTTCTTGCCTTTAGTGGAGCAGTGGCATACAGGCTTCTTGATGCCAGAGGCTGCTGGGCGTGGGGCTTTGCATGTCCAGCATAGTGCCTGGCACATATGGGGCACACACTCTGTAAGGGTTTCTTGAGTTGACATCATGCCCAGGCCTAAACGTGATGGTCCATTTGATGTTTTGGCAGCATATCGAGTCTAGGACCCGACACTGTACTTGTTTTTAGCCCCCCTCATTATGGCTCCAACTTACCCAGTAAGCCTTTTCTTTGGCATTCCAGCGAAGATTGTCCGAGATTGTTATGGAGAATAAGCTGAACAATTAAATTGTATAAATCGAGTGGGAGAAGACTTGGACTTTCATCCTAGCTCTGCCAAAAGCCAGCTTTCCCTCTGGGCCTCAGTTTCCTCATCTTTAAAATGAGAGGGATGGGCTAAATGGTCCTGAGGCTCCTTTTAGTTCTAAATTCTGTAGGTCTTAGTTTCTCCTGTTTGAGGAAGGCAATAGAAGAAGTGTTGACTGAATAAATAATAAGCGTGAAAAGAGAGGTTTCCCGCCCCTTGACTCTTGCCTGGTGCCTCTCTGGGTAGCAGGGAGAGACTGGCAGTTTTTCCAGTGAAAGTTGGTCCATGTAACTTCGGTTGCCCAGCTCCTGCATTAATGCCTTCCCCAGGGGTCTCGTAGATGTACCCCAGCATTTTTAGGACCTGTTTGGATAAACGCGTGGTCATGGATTCCTTTTTGTTTTGGAAAAATCTTTAAAATGCTATAGAAATGTTGTCATTCCTATTGCTATTCTTAGCAGAAGTATGACATGAAGAAATAACTCCCAGAGGGGCTAAGAGGCTCCCGGAGCCTGGGCTTTTGAGGCTGGGGAGGCCAGCTAGGACGGCCATCTTGTTGGGGAGGGAGGTGCTCCCAGTCAGCTCTGGTTTGGGCTTCCCCTTGTGAGACTGTGAGCTAAGTGTTCTTTCCACTTTCACAGGGAAGTGTGACTGCCATGACGGTGTTTTTCCCTTTGGACACTGCCAGGCTTCGACTTCAGGGTGAGTAAACCTCTCCCTTGGGGTGAGCATGCTCCGCTTGCTTGATGGTCAGCAGCTGCCCACTCCGCCTTCTTGGGAGCAGCACACGGGTGACGGCTTCCTTGAGGGACCTGCCGTCGCCCCCAGCTCCAGATGTTAGCTGTGAGGGCCCATGGCCAGTGAGCAGGAAGAGTCCCCCCGCGCAGCCCTTCAGCCGCTCAAAGCTGACCCTCTTGGTCCCCCTCAGTCTTCACGTCTCCCTTTCCTTCACACACTCCTCATCTTCACGGTCCCCAAACACGGTGCCCAGGACTGAGCGCCTTACTCTAGGGCAGGGCTTCTTTGTGCTCCTTTCTTACCTTTCTTTCTCTTACTCACTTGCTTTCTTACATGAGGGATTCTCACATCTGTGGAAAGTGTTTTGAGGCACATGCAGAGATAGCGGGTTAAAGTACTTTGCATGACTGATGCTTAGAGCAGAGGGCGCTAGTCAGGCCCAGTCTGCTGAATCGAGCCTCCTGGCAGGTGCTTGTCTGGAAATGAGGTGTCTGCGGGTGTCCTTTATTTTGCCTACTCATTTCTGAGCTCTTAACACCACCAGAAAACCTCTAGGAGCAAAGTCAGTGTCGAGTCCTGGGGGACACACCACAAAGGGGAGACAGAAACAGGAAACCCACTCCCCTGTCCTCTGCAGGTCTGGATAGGCGACTTGATCCCCAGCATTGGCCATCATCCCCGCCATTTTGGTTCTCCACCCTTTGTTACAGATGCTCGAAGACCGTCAGGACATATGTGGCAGCCAAGGAGAACAATGTAGCTTTGAAATAACCAATTCTTGTGTTTAGCGAGCCCTTCCTACCTCACAGGAATGCCACTTTAATTCTCAGGAAATTGGCAGGTTTTTAGGTTTGCATGCTTTCAAATTGGCTGCTTTGAAAAAGGTGGAAAGCAGTTTGGAGCTCTTCCCCAAAGCCCCTAAAGGGTACATGCCCTTTGACCCTTGGATACCACTGTGAGGCAGGCATACGCCTTGAAGACATTGCAGAAAGAAAAACCCGTCTGTACCAAAAAAATAATTGCAGCACTTTTTGGGGTAGCAAAAAGGAAGTATCTACTGACGTATGCATATACATACATACGTGTGCATGTGTGTTTATGTGTTTGTGTGTGCATGTTCCCCCCCTCCCCCCCACACACACCCCATCAGAATGTGAGCCACTTGAGGACAGAAGTGGTTTGGCTTTTCCTTAGTAAGTACCTAATAAATGCTTACAGCTTACTTGATTGCCCATCAGTTGGGGCATTGGCTTAACACACAATGATACATGGATAGAATGGACAAGAAAGGATGGATTTATAAAAACCTGGGAAGGCTTGCATAAACTGATGCAGAGTGAAAGGAGCAGACCAGAACGACGGTTAATAGCTAACGCAGTGACCACAGCGCCATGACGCAGGCCTTCTCCCCATTCTGTGTCCTGGGGCTTTTGGACCATCTGGCAAAGCCTTTGGAGCTTTCCTCAGAATCATGTTTTTGAATTCATGTAATAAAATACATGGGATTCTGTAGGAAACCAAATAGAATGAATTACAGATGTAGCTTTTTTCTCCATCCAAGTTCACAGATCCCCTGAAATTTGAGGGGTCCTTGGACCCCAGGTTAAGAACTCATGCTGATAAAGAAAACAACTTAAAAAAATTTAGTAGCTTTGGTCAGTACAACGACCAGTCATGATAAAGCCTGCCTCCCACCTGGAGGACCTAACCCTGTAATTTCTCCCTCTGTGGGAACGTTCCCTCCAGCAGTACGGGTCACAGACCGCCGGGCCTGCCCACCCAGTTCTGCTCTGGTCCATGGCCTCCTCTTCCCTGGGTTAATCTGGGGGTATCCAACCAACTCGTGAGAGGTTGCCTTCGTCTTTGAGATTGCCAGGATGCTAGGGAGCCCGTGAATGCATGTGAGTGAGGGATCCTAACGGTCTCTTCTTCGATCTGCTAGTTGACGAGAAGCGGAAATCCAAGACGACGCACATGGTGCTGATGGAGATCATTAAAGAGGAAGGCCTGTAAGTGCAAGGCAGCGTGGCCCGGGGATCCTCCAAGCATGCCGGGGCAGGGAGGAGGAGCTCTGACTGCTCTGGAGGACGGGGCTGCGGCCCTTGGGACGGGAGGCTCTCTCGTGCTCCCCGTCTGCCCCCATAGTCAGGGCACCAGCCTGCAGCTGACCCAGCCAATACCCGGCTTCCGTTAGGGGGCCGGGTGTCCGCAGGGCAGTTACCGGCATGAGCCCTCACCACATACATCTGGCAGGCGGGCGTTTTGTGCTTCTGCCGAAACCAGGATCCTTTGGGAAATAGCAGTGCCGGCTTAGCCATCAGCCCTGGTGTCCATTCCAGCCTGTGTAGTGGGAGTCACACTTGTCTTAGCTTGTGGAGCCCCCCACCCCCACCCTCCTGCCCCATCTCCCAAGTACTCAGCTTCTTTCAGAATATATGACTTCGAGGGGCAGCCAGGTGGCGCCACAGTGCACAGAGTCAGGACGACCTGAGTTCAAATGTGGCCTCAGACACTGACTAGCTGTGTGATTCTGGGCAAGTCACTTAATCCTGATTGCCTCTAAAAATAACCCCCCCCCCCCCCACACACACACACATACGCGCGGGCAAATAGCTCAGGGATGGGCGGGGGAGCAGGCCACTCTGGGCCCGTTTCTGATGATTTTTGTTCCTGACGGTTTCTTTGTGTTTTTTCCTAGCCTGGCACCATACCGAGGGTGGTTTCCAGTCATCTCCAGCCTTTGCTGCTCCAATTTTGTCTATTTCTACACTTTTAATAGCCTCAAAGCTGTCTGGGTCAAAGGTCAACATTCTACAACAGGAAAGGACTTGGCGGTCGGATTTGTTGCAGGTAAAAGTGCTTCTGAGGGAAATACATGTTCTTCAAGCATCAGTTATATTCTGTATGTGCCTTAGAAGGATAGATTTTAGCCCCAATTAGTGCTGAACAAGGGGTTGTGACCTCTACTGGGTTGGCCAAGTCAACAAACATTTATTAAGCACCTGCTGTGTGCCAGGCACCACTCGAAGCATCGGAATACAAAGAAACCCAACACACAGTCCCTCCCTCCAGGAGCTCACATTCTGACGGAGAGACCGCCAGCAAACACCTGGGTACAGACAAGCTAGACCGTCTCAGTTGGGGATGTTGGGCCCAGGGAAGGCACTAGAGCAGAGCCAGAGGCATCCTGGCCCTCGTAGGGAAAGTTCAGGGAGAGGCCATGGGTGCCATCCCCACCCCCATCCCCGCATCGCAAGAGTGCAGGGAACAAAGGCTTATGAGGGTGAACTGTGTGGCAGGAGCTATGTTAGACTTGGTGAGGGGTGGCAAAGAAACCAGATGAGGAGAATCCAGACCCTCAAGAAGTACACCAAGCACTCAACCTGGAATCAGGAGGACCTGAGTTCAAATCCAGCCTCAGACACTTAACTAGCTGTGTGACCCTGGACAAGTCACTTAACCCTGATTGCCTCAAAAAAGAAAAAGAAAAAAAACATTGGGTTGGAATATTCTGAGTAAAGGGAGCATCTGAATGGCGAATGGATTATATTTTTCTACCTAAAGACAGCAAGCTTTCCCTGGGAAAGCACTTTCCCATCATCCCTCAGGGGACGGTATCTAGTGACAGTGATCTCATCTACCCATAGTCCTTTGCAGCAATGTCAAGTTTCAGAAGCACAAGAGAAAAGGACAGGCCTAGAATCTCGTTTCTGCTGTGCTTAATCAGTGGGTGTTGAACTTACCAGAAAGGCCCCCTTCAGGGACTCTCCCAGATTTGACAACTTCTCAGCACTGCCGGGGTCATACTCAGCCACTTCCTCCTTCTCTCCTATCTCTGTGCTCTTGGTGGCCTTGGACTTTTTTTTTTTCCTTAGGTGATTGGAGTCACACAGCTAGTAAGTGTCAAGTGTTTGGTCTGAGGCCGGATTTGAACTCAGGGCCAGTGCTCTATCCACTGCGCCACCTAACTGCCCCCCCTTGGACACTTTTAATCAACGTGTGTGGTGGAGTTGGGCCGTGGAGGCCCTTCGTTGTCTGGGTGGGAGTTGTGCCCTCTCCTGTGGGCCCTGGGGAGTCTTGGGCAGCTGTGTGGTGTCCCCTCCTCTAGCATCTGGACCGAGGGGGTGTTGGGGAAAGCCCTGTTGGGCCACATTGGAAACGTGCCCCTTTCCGGGACACCCAAGAAAATGCCCAGGCTGCCTTTCTCCTTCAAAGAAGTGCATCTTTTATTCTAGTGATAGTAACTGGCCTTTCTCTAGCACCTTAAGGTTAGGACAGCCTTGTTGAGCCTCACAAAAGTATTAGGAGATAAGTATGGGGAAACTGAGGCACAGGTCTGCTAGGTGGCTTGCCCAAGACCTCATTATGTCAGAGGCGGGATTCTAGCCCAGGCATTCCTGACTCTGTAAACTCTACCACCGGCCCTCTAATTGTGGAGTCTCTGAACCCTCCTAGGCCCTAAGCCTGGCTTTGGAGGAGTCTGTGTTTGTTTAAGCTAAGTGTTCCTGCTGTGAGAGGATTCTGTCTTGCAGATGGTCCCAGTGTTGATTAGTAGAATAGATGCAAATGAAATAATGAAATTATGTTTTCATTCCAACCACCTTGCCTTGCCATGCTGATCCTTTCTGACCTTTCCACTGTCAGACGGGACTTTTCCTCAGGCCGGTGCAGGGGCTTGTGCGCAGGGAGGCCCCTCAGGGTCACCTGATCCAACCACCTGGGGGACCAGGAGGTGCTGCTGTTGAAGCAGAAGACTGTTCTTTGCTTTGAGCCTCTCTATTTCTCCTAATAACTGTTGTTTGGGGTTTTTTAATCTTATTGCCAATATATTCTCAAAGTAATTAGAGAAAATGTTGCTTTTCCTGCTGGGAACCTTGTCACGGTAGAATAAACTGTGTGGGAACCAAGCATTGTTCTCTCCAAAGACTGGCAGAAACCCAGCTATTGTTACTCAAACTCTGCATTAAACTTGGGAATTTATTCCTTGCTGCTGGGTTTGTGCCTCACACCCACAGCAGTCAGCCCTCAGGCCCAGGAGGTTCGAACAGAGCCTGCTCAGCTCTGGATGCTGCCCGGGCCCTTGGGGCTCACGTCTGCTGGGGCAGGCTGGGGCAGCTGGACTCAGGAGGTCTCTTTACACTGTACGTCAGGGGCGTCAGCAGGGGCTTGGAGGCATTGCCCACTTTTCATGGGCTTCCTTGAGGAAGTTAAGTTAAGGCAGATCAGAAGGCTTGTGGGCAGGATTCCAGACATCCACTGAGATCCACCTATCATCTGTGTAGTGCGCTCTCCTCTGCTGCACATTGTTGGGCTGGGGCCTGGCCCAGAGAGTGGCCGACTCCTCCTCTTGGGGTGCTCCCTGAGGAACTGGGGGGTGGCTCCTCACACTGGTACTCACGAGCCCCCACCGGCGTGCTCCCTATTGAGTATCTAGTAGCTGAGAGCAACTGGCCAGCCAGAATTAATTTTTTTTTTTTTTGCTTTTTTTATGAGGCATTTGGGGTTAAGTGACTTACCCAGGGTCACACAGCTAGTAAGTGTCAAGTGTCTGAGGCTGGATTTGAACCCAGGTCCTCCTGACTCCAAGGCCAGAGCTCTATCCATAATTAGTGTTTTGTTAAGGGCAGTTGCTAGAAAGTCTGGGATCTGAAAGTACATACAGAAGCCAGGGCAAATGTGGGGTCGTGCTCAGAGCACATGTGGCCTGTGGCTGCCAGAAGTTCTTTTCTCTTTTCATGGCGGTCCTTTTCCTTTTCACTGTAACTTTCCACTGGGCTCTTTCTAGAGCTGCCCTTCCTCAGGGTGTCTAGTTTATCCTTGGCTACTGCTCCTGGCTCTGTGGGAAGTGCAGACCCCTGATCCTTTGAGGTTTGGGGGAGGGGGCAGTCAGCTCCTCCCTCCCAGCCCCAGGTCTCAGTGGCTTGGCTGTTGATTGATTGATTCAGTGGAGGAATCTGGGCTTTTCATGTTCATTTGGGATGGGGCTGACCTCCAGCCTTAGATTCATATTTACTTTCTGTTGGTCCCTTCCCCCTGCCCCAAAACTGAACCCTCCCTTCTAGCAGATACAGCTCTTCATTTAACAGTGTACACAGTGTTCTGACCCCTTAGCCCCCAACCTCTCTCCTGAGAGGAGGGAGGTAGATTTCATTAGCTTTTATTTCTCCGGGAACAGCAGTGTTCAGCAGAGGTCCCTAACTGACTTCAGCCCCTGCTGGGTAGAGTATGTTCTGGGCATATGATGAAGCATAATTAAATCTGTGTAGAGGTGGGAGGCTGCTAGGCCACAGTGTCCTGTATGTTGTCTAATGAGGCACTGATGGGCTTTGTACCCTGGCCTATCAGTACGCCAGTAAGCATTTCTTAAGCACTCTAGGCCCAAAGACAAAAATGGAATAGCCCCTGCCCTCCAGGAGTTTCCGGTTTCCTGGGGGAGGTGTGTGTGTGCACTTCTCTCTGAGGCAGCTTGTGGAAGAGTTGCTATAGCAACAAATCATCGCCTGGTGCTTGAGCGTCTCCAAAGACAGACCCACAGCTAGTCCATCCTTGAAGCCTTTCCCAGGTGGGCAGGCTGGCCACTGTGACCCCTCCGAGCACGGGGAGGCCTAGGATATCAAATAGAGCCACAGCAAACCTGGGGCATGACAGGCCCGGGTCACTTCACTGGAATTTTCATTTGTCATCACATGCTCTTGGGGCTTGAGTCAGCAGCCTCAGTTTTGTAATTCTGTACAGCAGGAGAGGAAATAGATCTTGTCTCCTGGGCACTCCCTGCGGCATTCTTTGAGGAAGCGGCGCTCCCTGTGCGCCTGCTTTGAGATTCCTAAATCAGAGCCATCTGGGTCCTGGAGCTTCAGGGACACCACTGCTCCCTGGGGTCCTGCCTGCCATGCTAGATTGTTGGCACCTCTCCGAGTGGATGCTCCAGGCCTGCCTTCTCGGCCCTAGTAAATGTCACTCTCCTTCTGTTAATTATTTCAGGACTGTCCTTTAAAAGAATATGTTAAAGTCTCAAGATGATGTTAAATTGGGATGATGTGTTTTTAAAAGAGAAGCACCTGGCCTCACTGTGTGGTTCCAGCCCAAGGCCTCCCTGTAGGAGCCAGGCCCCTGCCCCTCCTGAATCTTGTAAGGAGCAAGCGGAGCGTGCTGCTTGTGCCACTGTCCCCAGCCCACTGCTTGCTGCCTGCTTGTCTGAGTGGACGTGTGAACGTGTGAGAGCCGGGGCTTCTCCCCACCGGGCCCTCCCTGGGCCTCACTGTGTCTCGGGTTTGTCTTGGTAAAGACTGGCCCCCGCTCACATCAGGGGCCGGGAGCGGTGGAGGTGCCTGCTCGGGGCTCGTGCTGCACGGTCAGCAGGTCACTTTCGCTGGTCTTCACGTTGCTCATTTGGAAAGTGGGGGAGTTTTTTCCTCTAAAACAGCCCACAGCCAAGATGCTGTATTGCGTCTTGGGCAGCGCCCACAGCAGGGGGGTTGCTGTCGCACCGCGTGAGGGATAGAAGGTTGTGCCTGCTTTTCCAATGAGGAAACTCCAGTTTTCATGGTCAGAGACAGTGCTATTAGTGGTTCTCTCTCTGTCTCTGCATGTGTCTGTGTCTCTCTCTCTGTCTCTATCCCTCTGTGGTCTCTTTGTCTCCCACCAGCCATGTTCCCTTCTGAACCGCTTCTAACAGTAGAGGCTTGTGTGACCCCCAGCCCAGCCCAGAGAGGCCCAGGCCCTGCTTTGATGTTGGTGTCTGTCCTCCATGTCAGAAGAGGTGGCAGCCGGGTCAGCGGTGACACTTCCCTTAGCCCCGCCTCTACTTCCTTTCCCGACCCAGGTGTGGTGAACGTGCTCCTGACCACGCCGCTATGGGTGGTGAACACGCGGCTGAAACTCCAGGGGGCCAAGTTCAGAAATGAAGACATCGTGCCCACCAACTACAAGGGCATCTTAGGTGAGGGCCTCCAGGCGGTGGCTTCCCACTCCCAGTGGGATGCTTTTTCTGGACTCAGGTGTCGATCCCCGTCCTGTCGATGACCCCACCCCAGGGGCGCCCGTTTGTCCCTCGTTTCCTCCCAGTCTCTGAGTTCGAGGGGCACAGCCAGTGGAGAGGAGGAGCAGGCGCGCTTCCTGCATTGGCCAGACCTCTCCCAAGGCTTGGCTCATTGCCCTGGAGTCGTGCTGGAATGCAGCGTGATTGCCCTGTGTGGGAAGGGGTACCGGCCGAGCATTCTGAGCTGAGAATGGCAGCCTCTGGGCAGGCGTCTCTGTGACAGGGTTTGCTGGCCCGGTATCTCCACTGAAGCTGCAGGGCTAAGGCAGGGAGAAGGATGGGGCCAGTGATTTCCTTGGTAGGAAGAAGAAATGCCCTTCTCCAGTGCAGGTTAACCCCTTCCCTCTACAGAGCCTCAGAGAGCTGCCTGGGGCCCTGATAGGAGACAGGACGTGCCTAAGGTCCACAGTCAGTGGGCATCAGAGGAAGGACTGGAAGTCAGCTCTCTCCCTGCTGCCGCACGCAGCCTCTGTCAGGGGCCTGTCTGGGCCTTTCTGAAAAGCTGGTCCCTAAGCTGCCCGCTGGGCCCTCTCCCCTCTGCCCCTTTGGTTCTGGAGCTTCTTGTCTCCTCTTGTGCAGACGCTTTCCACCAAATCATGCGAGATGAAGGGATCCTGGCTCTGTGGAACGGCACGTTTCCCTCCCTCCTGCTGGTCTTCAACCCAGCCATCCAGTTCATGTTCTACGAGGGGCTCAAAAGGCAGCTCCTGAAGAGACGAGTGCAGGTACAGGCCATGTGCGGGAGCCAGGCCTGTGAGGCGGAGGGCCAAAGGGGCTTTGGGTCCTGGCCCTTGTGGCCTGTGGCATGGGGGCTCTGGGTCCTGCCCCTTGTGGCCTGTGGTGAGGGGACTCTGGTTCCTGCCCCTTGTGGCCTGTGGTGTGGGGGCTGTGGGTCCTGCCCCTTGTGGCTGGTGGCATGGGGGCTGTGGGTCCTGCCCCTTTTGGCCGGTGGTGTGGGGGCTGTGGGTCCTGCCCCTTGTGGCCTGTGGTGAGGGGACTCTGGGTCCTGCCCCTTGTGGCCTGTGGCGTGGGGACTCTAGGTCCTGCCCTTTGTGGCCAGTGGTAGAGGGACTCTGGGTCCTGGCCCATGGCGGGGAGGCTCTGGGTCCTGGCCTTTGTGGCCAGTGGTGTGGGGGCTCTGAGTCCTGGCCTTTGTGGCCTGTGGTATAGGGGCTCTGGGTCCTGGTCCTTCTAAGGCTTAACTCTGTTTTCTTCCTTCTGCTGGGCAGCTTTCTTCTTTGGACGTGTTTGTCATTGGGGCCATCGCTAAAGCCATCGCCACCACAGTCACTTACCCGATGCAGACACTGCAGTCCATTCTGAGGGTGAGTATGGGCCTGTCACGGGAGCCTTTTACCTGGAGCCCAGGGCAGCTCTGGGGAGCAGAGGCTCGCCAAGCCCCAGCTGCAGGTCTTAAGGCCTCACTGTTTGATGAGACCTGCTGGGAAAACCAGAAGGCTCTGTCTCCCGTGTCCCATCGTGTCCCGCAAGAAGCTCACAAGCCCAAATGGACACATGAACTTGGCGTAAAAAAGATCACATTGTAAACACATTAGAGGAGCTTCATACGGCACAGGGGGGAAAGAGAAGAACGTGTAAGATGAAACGGGCTTTGGATGACACAAAAGTGAAAAGGTTTTGTACAGTCAAAATCAGGGCAGTTAAAATAAGGAAAACAATAACTGAGGGAAAAAGTAGGCAAAACATAGGTCAGAACCACGACCTTGCTTTTTACAAGTGTTTAACCATCCCACCTCTCCCCCGAAACTCTGAAGGGCAGCTGTGTCCAGGAGCAGCAGGACAGACCCTGTGTCTCATGCCCGCTCTGCACTCTTCTCTGGGTGGTCTTCACTGTGTAGGTTCCCCTTGGATTGGATGGAGCCTTGCTTTGGGCCATTTCTTGAGACATATGGGCTTTCAGAAATCTCAGATTTAGAAGACTCAAATTGGGGATGTCTTTACATTTTGAGAACAAAGAATTTTCAAAACCTGCGACATTGCCCCCGAGACAGTGAAAAGCTTGAGAGACAGTGTCTGGGTAATTAACAATCAATTTATTAATTAGGCTGGCTGATAAATCAATAAATTGATGAACAGTGGTCTCTCTCAGTAACCAAAGACAAAACCATGAAGATCACTGAGTACTTAAATACCTTTGGAAAAGGGGGTCCCCCTGAAAGGTGAAAATCAGCCCTAACTGGTGAACAATTAATGAGGGGGTAGGCTTTTTTTTTGTGAGTCATTTGGGGTTAAGTGACTTGCCCAGAGTCACACAGCTAGTGAGTGTTATGTGTCTGAGGCCGGAATTGAAATCGGGTCCTCCTGACTCCAGGCCCAGTGCTCTGTCCACTGCACCACCTAGCTGACCCCAGGGGGTGGACTTTCAAATGAGGAGGTGGGGCTGAAAACCCTCAACCCCTCCTGCAGAGAACAGCCTTGATCACGAGACTCAGGGCCCCCCCCCCCCCCCCCCGCTCTCAGGACAAAGGAATCCATTTCTACTCAGACCGCTTTCGATGGTTTTCTCCTGCATGAGCTGAGTCACCCTAAACTCCCGTGGCGGGGTGCAGGGACATGGGCTTAACGGATTCTGCTTACACTCCAAACAGAAGTAAGGTCTTCCAGTTGGGTGGGGTCCTGCCCAAGGTCACAGAGCACACAGGTGCCTGAGGGTTAGGCCAGTCTCATCTGTCAGCCTTGTCCTTCAGAGACTGACTGAATGACCTACAGGGGCTGTCCCTGAATGAGAAAGGACAGAGAAAAAACCTTTATGCTGATTTCATAATTGGTTGTTAATATAACAAAAAAACAATCACTTCTCTCACCCCTCTTGTGCTACTCCCATGCCCCCTTTTCTTCTGACTTCTCCAAAGATGGCCAGGGTGGCCTTTAGCAGATCTGCGCAGTGTGGACCCCCAGCGGCCTTTGTGCCTGGTGCCATGGCAGAGGGTCATCACTGTGCTGGCCCCAGGGGGATGAAATCGGGGTCCCCTGCCAAGGCCCAGATGAGTGTGAGGGCTGGGGATGGCGGAGGAAGGACTCATTGATGAAACTGCAAAAGAAAAGCAAGATGGGGCCCGACTGCTCCCCTCTCATTCTGACACAGCAGCTGATCCGGGAGCTAGGTCTTGGCAGTTACAGGCACTGCCCAGGAGCCCAGGCTCCAGCGGTCTCTCCAGCTTAGCCAGGAGCATTGAAGGGGTTAGTGAAGTCACAGCTTCGTTTTAGGGCTCAATAAGTCGATTCATTTTGAGTTCCATGTGGGAAATCCACCAGAATGCTGGTGGATTGCTCCTTGCTCAGCTCCTTCTTAATCATACTTAGCTTTCACAGTGGCTACTTAGCGGAAATGTTTGTGCCTGGTAATGGCCCTCCTCAATGGCCCCTGGTGGTCTGGACTCCTCCCAGGCAGTGCCAATGGAGCCCATGCTTGGGGAGGACTGACCATGTGGCCCCCAGCTAAGAACCAGCCTGGAGGTGTTTGCCAGGGGCTCCCCCTAGGTCTGCTGCTCAGAGAACATGTGAAGGGCCTGCCCTCTGGGTCGCTGGAGGGAGCACCTTGCCAGGCCTCATGGGCCCTGGGAAGAGGGAAGCCCTCAGTCCAGTGGCTTCCAGAGACGCTCATGGGAACACTCACGTGATTGGTTCCCCAGCTGTCTGCTGATTAACCTCAGGTGGAAGAGCAGAAGAAAGGAGAGATGGTCATCGTGGCCTTGGTTAGCTGGGGCTCTGTCCGCTTCACTGAGGAGGAGAGGCCTCTGATGAAGTGTGACAGGCCATTCGAAATGTCCTCATGACTGCCTCTCTGTGCAGATGCTAAGGTGAGTGCAGCTCAGAAAATAACTGCTGGGGGGTCTCTGTCTGCATCCTTTTCCCAGTTTGGACGTCACAGGCTGAACCCTGAAAACAGAACGTTAGGAAGCCTTCGGAATGTTCTTTATCTTCTTCACCAGCGAGTGAGGTGAGTCCCTCCCTGCCCCTCCTGGTCCTCTCTGATAACAGGGAGACCTCTGCCAGTGTCTGGGGGGTGGGAATGGGCTTCATCCCATGGCTTCTCTGTTCATTTACACACTCAAAATTTATTATTAAATAAAATAGGCTTAAATTCAGGGCCCCCACCAAAAAAAACCTGCAAGAATTCTCCTTACTGTCTCATTGTGAAATCTCTGCTGCTCTCCTGCTCTCCCAGACAGACAGGGATCTTCTAGTCCTGGCTTCTCCTGAGGGGTGGGAGTCACCTGGGCAGGAGTTCTAGCCACTTTGTCTCTCTCTTCACTCTCCTTCGTCATCGTAAAAGTGAGGGCAGGAGCATAGGGGCCAAGGCTGTTTATTGGAGCTCTGCCACTGAGCCTGTAGAAAGAAGCATCGCGTGATGCATTCATTCACATGACCTTTCCCAGCCAGCAAAAAACCAGTAGTCACCTCCTCACTTAGTGCCTCTCTTCCTTTTCTGTAGAACTTGTTGGGGGCTG